AATGACAAAATGAAACCGTAACACCTTATAGGATGAAACTGCAGTAACGTTAGTTACAAATAAAAGCGGTAAAAACATAAAGAGTTTCATTTCTCTTTTCTTCATTATGATTTCCTACCACGTAGTAACGGCTACATCCACCAATTTATTAATGATTCAATATCCATCTCTTTCAGGAATAAACGATGATACGAGCCAGTGAATATCATATCATTTAGGACCCGTCAGCACTCTTCACAGTTGAAACTCAGCTCCGTTCACAGTTGAAACTCAGCACCCACCACAGTTGAAACTTAGCTCCCTTCACAGTTGATACTCAGCTCTCAGTTGAAACTCATTTCCTGTGGCAGTTGGAACTTGGCTTCCATCACAGTTGGAACCGGCTTCACGTCACAGTTGAAACTTTGCTCTCATCACAGTTGGAATTCAGCTCGCGTCACAGCTGTAACCTGGCTCCCGCCACCGATTTACCATATTTGGAAAAAACACTCACGAAATCCTAACCTAATCCGACCTAACCTAACCTAACCCCTCCCCTGATGAATAATTCGGTAGTTTTTGTAACGAAACTTGGTCATGCCTAACCCAAACTGCCGAAATAAGTTTCAGAAAACAAATTATAGTCGGCGTCACCGCCTAAAATAGTGCCGTTATCGTTCTTGAATATTTCTTTCGAAAGAGTCAAGTCGGCTCTAATCCCTTTCCTGGTTATCCCCAGGTAATTACATTTTTTAATGAATCTAAAGTAGCGTTTAGGAAGTGAGAACGAAAGAAGTAGGCCCTCCTCTTGCTTGCTTCTCTCATGAAATTTTTGTTTGAACTCTTATTCATCATGAACTTCTAACCCGACCTATGGAGTCATAAACCAACCTATTTTTTAATATTTCATTTTGGGAAAAATGTTCTTACAGGAACATCTAATCTAGCCTTCTAGTTGAAATACAAACGTATTTTCGAATAATAGTTTTGAAAAAATCTAATAATAAAACTTCCTTGAAAATTGAATAATTATGTTTTGTTTATTGCTATTGGGTCGAAAAAAATCTTGTTAAAAATACTTTCACACTAGTGTTGAAATTATTTTTAATACGCTACTTTGTGAACTTCATCTTTTAATAGTCTTGACAACTGACAACCATTAAAAATGTCACTTTTATTGACATATTTTCAACGCGTAGTTTCACCTTTTTACCTTTTTTAACCCACCTTGGGCTCCTCTCTATCCCTCACCATTCTGTAAATTCGTAGGTTCTCGGGGAAACGATACGAGTTGAAGAAATATATAAAATTTGTCGATTTTCGATTTTCTTTCGCGTAGTATAGATGGCGCAACCGTCGAAAAATGGTATCGTTATTCTCTTTGTTTTTTCAAATTCAACTCGATCTTACTTTCTAAAACTTCTTCCATTTTGTGAATTATTTTTTTGCACACAAGTATTACAGCGAAATACTTAACGCGCACTCAGAGCGGTGCCTGTGTGAAGTGCTTCATTCAGAACAAAGTTCTCAGCGCTCCCTTTTTTCTTATATCAGTCAACCTTCGTACCGAAAGAGACCAGTTCCCTTTCTCTTTTTTGGTCATCTCCCAGAGAATTGCATTTTTTCAATGGTTCTAAAGTGAGAACGTGAGAAGACCCTTCTCTTTCTTCCGGGCATGGGACCGGCATCACGGCGATGTGTCCTATCTAAAAAGTCCATATCCCTATCCAAGACAAAATTCCTAACCTTATCTAACCTAACCTAACCCATCCTAACTTAGGCTAACCTAAGTTAACCTAATCTATCATAAGATAACCTAATCATTGTCTAAATCTAATTTAACTCAACCTGAGGTTCACTCCTCTTTAAATAGATGGCGCCATTTTTTTGGTGTGGGTCAATCGAAAGTGTATCATTCAGTCGTATTTTTTTATTTTCTAATATTATTCGATTTCTTTTTTATTTTTCAATAGTATTACACTTTGGAAAAACTAGTAAGACAAACATGTAACCTAAAAAATAAGTCCCAATATAGAATTTCGAAAAAACTAGTTTCACAGTAACATCTAATCTGACCTCCGAATTAAAAAACGAACGTATTTTCTAATAATCTGTGCATACTGTTTTGGGTCAGTCCCGTTTGTATTTCTTCTATATAAATAAATAAATTTGAAAAAAATTACCTATTCTCAAAATTTAATGTGACCTCCGAATTCAAAAAGGAACCTATTTTAGAATATTTCATTTGTGAAAATTATTTGTCCTTAACATCTAATCTGACCTCCGAACTCTAAAACCAACATATTCTTGTAACGATACTAGGCGGTAGCGCGGTAGCGTCGAAATTAGTTGATCTGAAAAACCGAGAGTGCCACCCAAAAACACGAAAGTACAGAAAAAAAAACGTATTCGATGGAACGTATGTTCAACCTATATACGTTATTTACCCTCCCTGGACCCCTCCATTCCTCATAGTTCTCCAAGCCAATTGCATGTTGGAGAAACGATAGAAAATTGCAAAAACGACAGAAAAATTGTATGTTTGGTGAATTTTGTATGTGGTTACACCTAACTCAAACTGCCGAAATGAATTCAAATAATTTTTCATAAAACAATCTTAAAACAATAACGAACGAAAAAGACTAATATTAGGTATTGTGAAAAAAGCGACGGGCGCTTGATATACAAAAAATATGGCACAAAGCGCCCACGTTTTTTTCTCAATAATACTAGTATTTTGCGTTCGTTATCGTTTTGAGCTTATTTAAAAAAAATTATTTTAAACTCTTTGATTCGATGTTTTTTAAAGGCGTGTTTTTTAGTTTTTTTAAACTATATTACGTCATGCGATACGCATGACGTTCCATATCGCTTAGTGTGGTCGTTCCTTATCGTGCAGTATTGTTAGGTATGCTGTGTTGCAGTTTCGCTGTATGGTATTACCTGTTCATTATTTATCGCAATATCACAGGTATAATGCTTTTAGCTTTATACTCTGCAAGATTATACGAACAGAACTGTTTATTGTGTAGAAAGGTTTCGACACTTACCTAAATCCGTTTTGAGTTGCATTCCATTTAATGGTTCAGAATCTGTCGAAAAATTGATGAGTGTGTAACAAGGCTGTTCCATGGTGCCAAGGTAGTCATTTTCAGATTATTTAAAAAAAAACAACTACTATCACAGTATTCGTAGTTAAAGAGTCATAAATAACTCCTTTGTATTAAATCCTAACACATTATACTGTTTGTGTTTTTTTGAACATACCCTAATCTGTCAGCTGATTGTGACTAATGACGTTGACACTGTGACATTGACATAAGTATGAATTATGACTTTTATCTGACACGTACAAGCCGATATTATTTTATAAAGTGAAATACTTTAAAATACACCTTCGACAATCTACACAGTGTTTATGGATGTGAAACATAGTTTTTCAGCTCTTTAACTACAAATAGTGTGATAGTGGAATTCTTCAATTGTACGTGTTTTTTAAAGTAATCTGAAAATGACTACCATGGAACAGCCTTGTTACACACTCATCAATTTTCCGACAGATTCTGAACCATATAATGAAATGCAACTCAAAACGGATTTAGGTAAGTGTCGAAACCTTTCTATTCATTGAACAGTTCTTTACGAATATTCTTGCAGAGAAGGGCGATGTGAAAGTCAAAATACGAGCCTTAGAAAGAACCATTCACATGATTTTGGCAGGAGAACGCCTGCCGAACGGTTTCTTAATGACGATTATCAGGTATGTTCTGCCGATTCAGGATCATTTGGCCAAAAAGCTGTTGTTAATTTTTTGGGAAATTGTGCCAAAGACCTCACCTGACGGAAAACTGCTACAGGAAATGATTCTCGTTTGTGATGCATATCGGAAAGACTTACAACATCCCAATGAATTCCTCAGGGGGTCAACGCTGAGGTTTCTTTGCAAACTTAAGGAGCCTGAGTTGTTGGAGCCTCTGATGCCAAGCATCCGGAAATGTTTGGAGCACAAACACAGTTATGTGAGGAGAAATGCTGTTTTAGCCATATTCACCATTTATCGCAATTTTGAATTTCTTATACCTGATGCTCCTGAGCTGATTTCCAACTATCTCGATGGAGAACAAGACATGTCATGCAAACGCAATGCTTTTCTCATGCTTCTACATGCAGATCAGGAGAGGGCTTTGTCGTATTTAGCGTCTTGCCTGGACCAAGTTACTTCGTTCGGTGACATCTTACAGTTGGTAATTGTGGAGTTAATATACAAAGTCTGTCACACAAATCCCTCAGAACGTTCCCGATTCATCAGATGCATTTATAACTTGCTGAATTCCAGTAGTCCTGCGGTTCGTTACGAAGCCGCAGGGACTCTGGTAACTCTATCCAGTGCCCCAACGGCCATCAAAGCTGCCGCCAGCTGTTACATCGAACTCATCATCAAAGAAAGTGATAACAACGTGAAACTCATTGTTCTGGACAGACTGATTGCGTTGAAAGATCACCCCAGTCACGAGCGAGTCTTGCAAGACCTCGTTATGGACATATTAAGGGTTCTCTCAGCCCCGGATTTGGAGGTACGCAAGAAGACTCTTAGTTTAGCCATGGAGTTGATTTCGTCACGTAATATTGAAGAGATGGTACTGATTTTAAAGAAAGAGGTCTCTAAAACGCTTGACAGTGAACACGAAGACACAGGAAAGTACCGTCAGTTATTAGTTCGCACTTTGCATTCCTGCTGTATCAAATTTCCAGATGTGGCCGTTACCGTAATTCCAGTGTTGATGGAGTTTTTGTCCGACAGTAATGAATTGGCAGCCACTGACGTACTTGTGTTTGTGAGAGAGGCCGTACAGAAGTTTGAGAATTTGCAGCCTCTAGTTATAGAGGTAAATAGTATTTTTTCTTTGAATAGTTTTTTTTATTATTCTTTACATCCTTATGGAAAAGTAGGAGCCATAAAACTTACTTATGTGCATGTTGTTTTTCAAATTATACCATCAGCCTCAGAGATTCATTCATAATATCACAAACATATTTTACACCATTTAGACATTTTCAGAATTGTATAAAATTTTCAAATTGGCACACAAGAGAATTAACTCTCCTCCCCATAAATGAATTCATAGGTAGACAATTATAAGACCGATTCAGTTACATTCTTTTTTGTTAGATATTTATCATTTGCAATCAATGTATTTAGTCATCAATTTCTAAAATTGGTTTCATTCGCCAAGATTAGAATACTTTTTTTGAGTACTTTATACACAACTGCATGTTTATAGCAAATCATAAAATGGATTTATCAATAAAATTATGGGCGAATATACAAGTAAATGAAAATGGCAACACATTCAAAACAGATCATATTATAAATTAAAAAACAACAATCAAGAAATTATTACAAATTCAGCATCACTCATAGTTGTAACCCCTTATTTCACACTCTTCTCATATTCTTCATGGGAATAAAAGAAATTACCAACTAAAAAGGATCGAGTGATTTTTTTATAAACAGAACATTGTTATTTTTTCATTTTACTAGGAAATATATTATACATTTTATAGTTCAGCGAGTTATTTGAAGATTTGGTTAGCTATATCTGGGTATACTAATAATGTTTGTTCCCCGGATGAGAAACAAAAAAGAAAAGCATATTTCGCTGAGGCATTATTATTTATCTCGACACAAATGGTAAAATATCATCAGAGTGCATGTGCAAATTGGAATTTCTAGCCACACCCTAATCTAATGTTCAAACTAAGAATTATTATAATGGAATAGTTCTGAATCGGTTTGGAAAAAACTGAATTGAGAACCGAAATAAACCCTATAAGTTGATAAGGACACATAATTCATTTAGACATTAAGCCTGCCAATTTCTTCAGAATCTCACAAATTTTTAAATATTTCTCTGTTCAATATTGAACAGTGCATTCTCAGGACATTTTTCTTTCAGAAATTATTGGAAACTTTCAAGGATATCAAATCTGTAAAGGTTCACCGTGCAGCCCTTTGGATATTGGGAGAATATGCTACCTCTGTTAGTGATATAGAGATGGTAATCAAGCAAATTAATCAAACTTTGGGTGATTGCCCCCTCTTGGAAGCGGAGCAGAGACTCGTTTCTGGAGATGCAGAGGAAAATATTTCAAACATAAGTAGTACCACTACAACGTTGGTTACATCTGATGGAACTTACGCTACCCAGTCATCTTTCAATACAGTTCAGTAAGGAAGTATTTTGCTTTATTTCAGTTTTGCACATGCTACATATTTTTTGATACTGGACATATTCAAACAGATAAAACCTGAATCTTGGTATTATATTTTCATTATTATTTGCTTTAATGTACAATTATTTTAATTTTTTCATGGATCATTATTCATAAAATGAACTGTTGACAACTAACCTAGTCTGGGAAAATGGCTTGTTGATATGTAAACTTAAACTTAAATGTCTGATAAACCCTTTAAACTAATTTCAAAGAGTGGCTAATTCTGTGGTTTTCTTCTAGCAAATCAAGTAAAGAAAAGAGGCCTCCACTTCGTCAATATTTAATGGACGGCGATTTCTTTATTGGAGCCTCGCTCGCTTCCACATTGACAAAATTAGCTTTGCGCTACGGAAATCTCACTTCTCCCTCACAAAGGAATAGATTTGACACTGAAGTCATGTTGATCATGGCAGGAATTGTTCATTTGGGAAAATCAGGTAAGTTTCAAATAAAATTTTGAAAATGTTTTATATTATTTGTTCATTTAAATCATCAAACTGTATGAATCAATCACTCACATAGGATTTCTTTTGTGTGTGAGGATGATGTGTCCCTTTTGGTAAACAGTAGCGTTTCTAATCCATCTTGAGTAAATCCATCTATTAATATGGAAAAAGCGCATGACAATAACAATAACTACCTGTATTGTTATTTAGGCTTGCCAACGAAACCGATCACGAATGACGATAAGGATCACATCCTGTTCTGTCTGAGGGTTCTCTCCGATCGTACTTCCGCCATCATTCAGATATTCACAGAGCGCTGCCGGCTCGCTCTCAATGACATGCTTGTCGCCAAAGAAGCAGAAGAGGCGTCGACTCTGAAGACGAAAGAGAAATCCGGCAATACGATCCAAACAGATGACCCGATTAGCTTCCTCCAGCTGGAGGCCGACAAGAATGGAGAACTTGGCGAAAACGTATTTGAGACCTCGCTGTCGCAAGCCCTCGTCGGTGGAAGAGGCAGCGCGGCAGATTCTGCCACAGGAACAAGTGAGTTTCATTTCATTGATAATAATAATAATCTCTGTATTTGAAAAAATCGTTTCGACAAACTTTGGGAAATTGGCCATATTCTATTATTCATTTATCTACGGATGAATGCCATTTTATTCATTTATCAACGAAAATTCTTCAGTTTATACAATATTGGGTGAAGTATACATATACAATGAATGCAAAAGGACTTGAAACACTTGTTTAAATACTTGAGAATACCAAACTTTTGCAACATGATATCAGTTCTATTTCAGTTTTCTGTAAGTAGAACGATAGCCCTGAATACCTCTGAATTCAAAGTGATGTCTTCATCTACGAACAAACATCCCATAATCAGAACATAATTTAGTAACAATGTTTTGTAGAAAGGAATGCCAATAAATAATGACATAATTTTTAACAAAATATTTCGACTTTATGTTTGGAAAAACACACATTCAAACATATTTCCATATGAATTAATTTTCATACAATATAAGAGGGAATCACTCACCGAAATAAATCATCACATCGAATGAATAAAGATACCCACACTAAAGGTGCCACTACACAATTGTTTTTTTTGTGCAGATAAGTTGAACAAGATAACGCAGTTGACAGGTTTTTCGGATCCCGTTTATTCAGAAGCTTATGTCCACGTCAACCAGTACGATATTGTGCTGGACGTTTTGATCGTCAATCAAACTAATGATACTCTGCAAAATTGTACTTTGGAGCTGGCGACGTTGGGAGATCTGAAACTTGTCGAAAAACCTCAGCCAGTAGTTCTTGCTCCCAAAGACTTCTGTAACATCAAAGCCCACGTAAAGGTAATTTTTTCACTGTTATGTATTACAGAGAGTAAGGGATTTTATCATGTATATTAATAACTAATCACTGAATTCTTCAATAAAATATCACCGTATATTAATTTCTGTCGACAATCGCAAACGCAAACTTCCTATCAACTCTCTTGCTGCTTTTGCTGCAAACAAACAACTAAATAAGGCAGAAAAAAATCTCCTTTCCTGCTCTTATATTCTAATTCTAAAACATACAATGTTTCTTGGGAAAAAGGGACAAAAAAACAATAATTAAAAAAACTAACTAAACCTAACTAAGTATGAACAGAGCACATAAAAAAAAGGTAAATCAGAACTGAAACTTGAAAAAAAAATATATACATTCATATACATACATATACATACTTATACATTATTATCAACATGAACAAAAATGTACCCATCAGATAATAGTATCTACACAAACAATAAATATTTTTTCAAATTAATCTGGAATTTTTGTTTATTAAATTTTTTTAAAGCATTCGGTAGCGCATTGTAAAATTTGATACCTTTATAATAAATCGAATTTTGCCCAATATTTATTTTAATTTTCATTAATTTCAGATTGCCTGAATATCTTGTCAAATGGTTCTGTTGGTCACCATTGATTTTGAAAGTCAAATTTGAATCCTTGAGTTTATTTTTGGCCACATGAATGAAGGTACATATTTGAATTTATGTAAAGATGACAAATCTAATAGTTTTTTTAGTTTATACAAGTTGACTGGAAATTTCGAAAGATTTATTTACAACCAGATCAAGAGGAACGGTTTTCATTTAATAATTTTTTTAAATATTCAGTTTACTTTGTATTGTTTATAATTAGAAAAAGAACTGAAATGGAGAAATAACTTTAAATCACTCTTATGAGGAAATGTATAATGTTAGTGAATGTGTCTAATGAGGAAAACAATTAAAACTTCGCCGAAGAATACCCGAGGTTTAAAGTGTTGGAAATATTTATTTACTCCTATAGATTGAAAAAGTATCAACCATTATTTCAGTACAGAAAATCAATAATACTTGTATATATTCCAGCATTTAGGTGAATGTGTTACCAATTTATGAGAAACTCATGTAATTAGAAGTAAAAGATCAATGTATTAAATTATATTAATAATAAATTGCGGATTGTAGGGCAACGATTAATATTGTCTTGGAAAGTAGATATATCTGATAGAAAATTTATAGGGGTGGTAATTTTGGATTTCCAAAATCCATTTGAAACAGTTTATGGGAAATTATTTCTTTTGAAAATGCAAAAATATGGTACGAGTAAAGTTTTGAAACGGTTTACAGGTTTTTTGACAGAAGAAAGTATTAAAAAAATTAATAAATGAATAATGAAACCACAAGGTTGCACAATAACAAGACCAATTGTGTTCATAGTTTTCATGAATGAATTTGCTACAAGAATGACCAAATGTAAAATAAAGTTGTTTGCTGATGATGAAATGCTATATTATGCAGGAACTTCAGAAGAAATAGAACTCAATATAAATACTGATCTCTCAAATATGGGTGCACGGCTTGGTAATAATATGTTTTTCTTCCACTACTTGGGGGCTGTTTGATTTGTCCATTTTTTCCCAAGCCTCCGGACAACACTTCAGCTCCAGGGGCTCACTGTGTTTTTCCCCCTTCTTATTCATCACACACATTGCAACAATCTTGCTTTCTTATACTGCTCCCTTATTGGATGTATTTCACATTTTTCTGAACATGATTTGTGTCGTCCATAAATTTGTTGTCTCTTATTATCTAGTTCCTCACTATTTCATTATATATAACACTCTGCCTTTGCATTGTCTGCAGATGAGGTCACCAATATAAAATCCAATTAAGTTCAGGTGGCTCATGAGTAGCCCTGTAATTGTTCTGAGCCAATCCCTGCTTTATTGTGCAGTTCTCCAGTCCTCATGTTGGGCGGTACATTCGTAAAGGTTTTCCCGAGGATTCCCGTGTATGTTTTTCCATTATTTGTGTTTTATATAGCAGTGAAATCTACCGAATGATACTGTTGGACTCGATGTGAAGATATTAGGTAAAATATAAAGTAGCGACTAATAGCAAGTCGTGTACTTCTGCTAAAAACGATCTTTTGTGCATTTGAAAAAAGTTCGGGAACATTCACAATTATTTATAAATAAAATTTAGATCATCGAAAGTTATGTATTTCCTCAGGTTGCTTCCACTGAAAACGGAATCATCTTTGGAAACATCGTTTATGACGTGACGGGCGCGGCCTCAGACAGGAACGTAGTCGTCCTCAATGACATCCACATCGACATCATGGACTATATTGTTCCAGCGTCTTGTACCGATTCAGAATTTATGAGGATGTGGGCTGAATTCGAATGGGAAAATAAGGTTGGTATAGATATCTTGAAGTGGGATTTTTGTTGATTCAGGAATATTATTCTAGGTGACTGTCAACACACCTCTGACGGACCTTGCCGACTATTTGGAGCACCTCATTAAGAGCACCAACATGAAATGCTTGACGCCAGAAAAGGCGCTCAGCGGTCAGTGTGGTTTCATGGCAGCCAATATGTACGCTAAATCCATATTTGGAGAAGACGCTTTGGCCAATTTGAGTATAGAGAAACCGTTTAACAAACCAGAAGCACCTGTAGCTGGACACATCAGAATCAGGGCTAAGAGTCAGGTGAGTTTGCAAAGTTTCAAGGGACGGGACAGAATATCAAAGATTGAAAAAAAAATAAACCCATAATTTTTAGAACTTTTTGAAAAGAAAGTCGGTCTTGTGATACTTCATCTGATTGGTATTTCAATTCTGTATCCAACAATGTATCAAATCTGTCATTCCTGAGTAATTAGTGGTTTTATATTCATTTGAAGAATTTGCAAACAAACAAATCTAAAGCAAATGGAACTTCAAACGTTCAAGCCAGTCTCTATATACCTACACAGTAGGTTTAATGGACTGACGCCTATCAGAAAACAACTACTCCCCTGGCTAATACCACGAAGGGCGTTGGATTATATCAGACAGGCGTCAGTGCAGGAATCTTCACAGAAAATGTCCTGCATATGCAATTGGCATTACAACTGAAAGAGTCGATCTTCAATTATGGAACGGGCACACTTGCAGACCGGTTTCGGGCTTATTAGCCACTCATCAGTGCAAGATAGTGACCATCATCGACCTAAAGTCAATGATATTCCACAATTGAAAATCGGAATTCTTTCAGAGTATTACATTCCTCTTCCGAAGTTGGAGCGAACATCAAAAATGTCACTCCATCTAGTGGACGAGGTACTAACCTTTAGATTTGTTTACTGCCAGTCTTCAAGCATAGCCCATTGACTAATAAGAAAGTTGCAAACAAACGATGAATATGATAATTTCTATAAAAATCATTCCAGTGTATCCCAATTAATATTCGAAATGTTCACCATTTACTTTTTACAAATTTATAAAGATAGATAAAGATTGTGGTCTATCCACGAGTTCTGAAATGAACTGTACTATTGTATTGTACACTTCAGTTGTCACATATACCCTCAAAAACATCCAGAGGCGTCACATCAGGTGATATAGTGGCCTCTTCTGAAGGTCCATTATCAATAGATATTTGATAAACCGATATAAGTTTTCAAGTGATGGTAAGTTCGTGCTAGATTTGGTATTCTCTCATTACAATATTTATTGGAATAAATTCCACTGGAATGAATTTTGAATATATTTTTTCTTGAAGTTATGATGTTTATCATTTGTTTACAGATTGTTTTCACGAATATACATTTGCTAATTACTGAAAGGGCTGATCCGATTTCCATGTTAGATAGAAAATTGGAATATTTATCAAGAGTGCCCCAATCTTTTACATCTCCCCGGAGAAAAAGACAAATTATTATTGGAAACAGATTTCAATGAAATACTTTCTTTAAAATGCATGTGCATTGTTAAGGCTATTACAAAAATGTATTATTACACAACAACCCAAACAAAACATCCATTCTACGGGCTCCACTTATTGATATATTTGAAACAAATATGCTGCTATAAACGGACTTTAAAATGTCCCTTCTCATATTGAAGTTATTATGTCATTTTTGACAACCTTCACTTATTTTCTCGTGTTTGCTTGAAAAAAGCTAAAAATGCAAGTATTACTCAAAAACTCATGAGCGACACACACAGACACCAATATGACAAATCTAATAACGCAAATTCTTAAAGTTGAAGCGTGACTTCTACAATAATTTGTGATGATAAAAAAAAAAACGGATCAATATACATATTGATGTACTCACCTGTTAAAATTAACGATTCACACTGAACTATAAAAAAATGCCACAAACTCGAACATTTTCTATATCATGATATAATCTGTCACTTGTTATCACCACAGATGCGACATATTAGTAAGAATGTATAATGAAACAGCCATTATATAGTTAGAACCAGTCAATTCATGATATTATTTTCTATTCCTGCACAAGTTTATTTGAAGTTGCGCTTTTTCATGGTTGTTTCCTTGAAAAGTTTCAATCACAAATATTAGAGCTATTTACCTTACTTAATCTTTGAATATTCCTTTCGTTTTTGTGTTTTTAGTATAAAAGTGAATAACGGAGTAGTTTGAAACCTTCAACTAACTAAACATGTCGCATAAATCTAGGAGTCAAATTATTATAATGAATGTTCATGAATTCAATCAACGCAGTGTTGCCGAACATGTTTTCAGTTGATTAGGAATTCTCGTTTATTACCAAAAATAAGACAAAATAATTCTTTCATTTGAAACAAAACTTCCTGGCTAGTCAAACTCTTTGAATACTGTCAATATTGAAAAAGACAGAATACATCCTTGAATAGATATTTTTGTTTTGTAATTTTCATCAATTTTCTTTGCAGGGCATGGCCTTGAGCTTAGGAGACAAAATAAATATGACTCAAAAAGGCATACCAAGTAAGATTGTTGCATCTTGATTTGTATGTCAACTATATTTGTTATTTCGCCATTTCATTTTATAATCATGTCTAATATTAATATCTACATAGATTCTGAATAAAAAGTATCAAATAATTGTTGAATGCTTCATTTTCAACTTATTCCCCTTTTCTGTAAAATAACGATTTCAATAAATATTCCGTTACACCCATTACCTTTCATATTTGTCGGATCCTGTCCTAACTTTCCCTTTTACTCTAGTTTTTCTTATTTTTGTTGTTCTATCTGAAGAACCTAAACCTCTTCTTCCTTTGTCTCAATTTTAACTCCTCGTTATCATTATAAATGGCGTATAAGAGCAATTGAGAATCAGTTAGAAATTCTTGCGCTCCATATGGAAATGAAGATTCGACATGCAGATATTTTCAATGTCATCGACGGTAAGAAAATCAAATACCTCGAGTCGTCAACATATAAATAAGGAATTGGATGAAAATAACACAATAACCAATACTAGGAATTAGTTTAATTACTCTAATCGTGTAAGATGATGGTTCGTCCAGATGTATATAAAAGTCCAACGTAGCTGCAAGATTGGTTTTAATCACCTCCAATGATGCTAACTTGTTTTGGTGTTTTCAACAGTTGAGATCAGTGCTGTGATATAGTACTGGTAGAAAATGTCATTATAGTTAGTTATTTAACATGCGGCTTCTAGGCTGAAGTGTATGCAATATTGCAGGATGCAAAAAATATCAATAAATTTCCACTGTTATCATATGATTGAAGGTTTTATTCATATATTAAAAGGAGGAGGAGGTGACTGTGTCCCAGAAAATCTCTATACGAAAGGATGAATTTATATCATTTCATCAACTTATTTAAAAACGTTTTATTATTGTACAACAAAAGTGAGAATTTCGTTTTAGAATCAACTTTCACAAGGATTCGTTGATGACTCTGGAAATGGCCATGACATTGTCTCCTGTTAAAATCGTAAAGTGATTTCCATTCACTTTCATGACGTCCACTTCCTGTTGGCAAAACTGAAATTTATATGTGAATAAGTAAACCAGAATGCGTTTCACTTAGAACTAAATCATTACCTCCTGCAAACCGTAATCATTAGCTGCCGTATATTGGTTTTTGCATTGCACCCTGATCAAGGTCACTTTCCCTTGGATTTTTCTTCTCGGTCTGTAAGAGTACCCAGCACGTATCCTGTTGTAATACTGAAGGAGAGACGCATTGACTAGGTCCAAATCAGCACCTATTTTGCGGGCGACAATTGTACTTATATCTGGTAAGGCTTCCTCCCAAGTGTGCGCATCAATGTTATCGAACTGAAAAGAACACCACTACGTATGAATAAGCTCAAAACAGAAGCAAAAATGTGAAATCTACTCCACTAGATTTCTGTTATTGATTTAGTGATTCGAATAGAAGTAAGGAAGGGCTGAAGGCTGTTAGGTTACAAGTGTTAGATCTTTATCTCTAACGGGTAGATACAACCAATAGTAGAAAAGTCATAGAATTTCTTCTTGATAAATCTAGAAGACACGGAAATCTACGTATACATTAAGATGTACATATTTTTCGAAATTCAGAAATTATATTAATGAAAATATATAGTAATGCTGATTCGCCAATTCCAAAATGAAGATAACAAAATATTGCCATTGGTTTATGTATCGTTCTGTTATTTCACGAAAGTAAAGACGGTCCCCTTACGGAGACGCCATCTATGGGAAAGACAAATGTCTCAATTTAAACGAGGGGCGGTCAGCTGCAAAGTTTCGATATCGACCGCTGAACTAGATTTGTTCTCGTAACTTTCGCTGCAAGTTTAAACCAGAACTCAATAACAAAATATTCGTGATTCAATATCAGACGGCGATGTTTCGACCGATGTTGCTAGGAGCATCCACGGCTGGACTCAACAGTCCTTAAGACCAAGTAAAGGCGATGATACCTTTCCCTACGAAGATGCCATGTATGGGATCGACAAAAGACTCGATCCACAGTCAACTCAATGAAAGCATACTGCTTATTTTTTTGTTTATTAATAAGCCACCATGAGACGAAACTTGGTAAAACCCCAAGTTCGTGACAATATTTCAACAACATCCGTATCTTTTGCGGCGCGTTGATTATGCTCGTCTGCACCAGGTTTAATGTTCTCGGACGGTACTTACTTCGCTTTGGGGAATATCGAGGATCGCCGCCCAAGTTTTTTTCAGATATTCCACTGGTGATTCAAACAGAATCTTCGCGGCACCCTTCATGAATTCGGACGATCCGTCCACAGCGACTATTGTTACTTTTTCCCCCGCTTCTTCCATTTGTAATGCGATCTCCTGCGACAGAACGGCCCCATAAGAGTACCCGCAGAGGTGGTACGGTCCTTTCTGTTGCTTTTCTCTCATAATTCCGATGAAATAACTGGCAAAGGCGGGAACGGTGTCGAAATTAGTATTCTTTGTACACTGCAATCCGTAGACAGTCGCTTCGATAGCCTCTGCCAAGGCCTTCATTGAATCCACCCGGCCTATTATCGGGTGGACGAAAAAGACGATTTTATCGTCGTTTGGCACTCTTTTCAACGTCGTCAACGGTTCTGTAGATAGAATATACGATTGTCCCTTCAGAGTTGTCACGTCAAATTTTTTCACTGCGACGATCTTCTTGTCATTCTCTTCCATCGACGTCAAAGAATCGAAAGTGAGTTGTCTGATTTCGTTGACGCTCAACTCGATATGAAAGTTGCGGTATAGCGTCTGTTTAATTTCTGCCATCATCAGAGAATCCATCCCTAGTTGGATGAGCGTGGAAGATTTATCGATAGAATCTGAAAATAAGATTAAATTACATTAAATCTAATCAGGACAGTGAAAACAATTAACCTACTATTTTGTATATTATAGTTTGATTTTACAAAAATCAATCACCAATTAGTATAATCTAATCTAATCCAACCTAACCTAACGTAACCTGCATTACCTATTATAACTGTTGCATATCTCAATGCCTTGTATATTACGAAATTTTGCTTTGAAAAATTTCAGTGGTACACAAAACACATGTGAAACTTTTATAATCATGAGACGACAAAGTTTGATTATGTGGGAATCAGGCATTAAGATAACTACTTGAAGGAATGTAAATTGGCTACTTTATTTGTCCTATGTAAGTGGACATACTTTGAAGACTGGCAATAAATCAAATCATCTAAAGGAATAATTCGTTCAGGCTAGTCTTCATTTACTTACGCAGTAGGTTCATGGACTGACGGTATCAGAAAACAACTACTCCCCTGGCTAATATCACGAAAGGCGTTGGATTATATCCGACAGGCGTCAGTGTAGGATTCTTCACATGGAGAAATGCAGCTATGCATAAAGCATATGCAGGAATTTTCTTCTGCAAAGAATGATGCACTGACACCTGTCGGATATAGTCCAACGCCCTTCGTGGCATTAGCCATTAGCCAGGGAAGCAGTTGTTTTCTGATAGGTGTCAATCCATGAACCTACTGCGTAGGTAAGTGAAGACTGGCTTGAACGAATTGTTCCTTTAGATGATTTGAACTCTATTTGTAATTTGGTTCACTCTCTATACCGAATGGTTTTTCCAGAATATTTATAGACAAATCATTTCACGCGATTGAATTTTCATATTGAAATGTAATTTATGTTGATAGTACTGGTTCAAGAACGGAACTTTAAAAAAACAACGTTCGTGATAATCAAGTTTACATTTGCCAATATATGGACCAATCTTCGCAATAATAATAATCCAGTGGAAGTGGAGAAAATGTTGAAAATATATTTATATTTCAATTGTCACCACAAATAAATTCTATTGGTCAAATAAAATTTTTATGTTTTGAAAGTTTAATTTTCTTATATTCTATAAGAATGTTTTCGAGTTTGAAAAAAATTAACGTTTGGTGAAATAAATGAGTTACAATTATATAATTGATGACTTTTTCAATTTCTTCGAGAATCCGAGGAAAAATGACTGGGTTATAACAGGCGAGTTTTTCATTGTGGTTTTAACCGGTTACAACCACCCGTTATATCGAGTTGGATATAACCGTGTTGACGAAATGTGCCTCATTCGATCCTCAACATATTTTATATTTCAGTGGCTAGTGCCCCTACTTACCTAATTTTGTGATTCCTAATATATGAGCTGTAGCTTCAGCTGGTGTTCGTCTTGTCGCTGAAGTAGTAGATGCGGTTGTACAATCCGGAAAAACGACACTACAACCTACAACGTGATCTCCCAACAATAATGTCTCCAGCGCCTTTAAAACGGAGATTATGTCTTGGAATACCAAACCCAATGATTCCTAAAAGACAATATCATTAGTTCATTGTTTATATTTCAGATGGGAGTTGAACGACCTCTAAAAGGATTGGAGAATATCAATGAAAATAAACAATCACCTGGTCCTCCTTTCCAGCTAAAATACCCACGTCTCTGATGGGTCCCCATTGAATTGCTAACCCTGGCAGTTTATCAGTTTTTCGTTGCTCGCACAACCTCTCTAAGGCAGAGTTCGCCATCCCGTAATTCGTTTGTCCGGCAATTCCTCTGGCCGAAATCGAAGAAAACATCACAAAGTATTCGAGATCCGGGCAGTGTTTGCGAGTGGCTGCGTCCATATTTTGACCGGACACGATTTTGCACTTGAATACATCTTCAAATTTCGCTTTTGTTTGGTTGCTCAATATTCCGTCTCTAAGCACCAGTGCGGTGTTGAACACACCTGAAGGAAATTGAAGGAATATTGCCACATAACTTGTATGCGTATTAAAGAACACTTGTTATGATATACATGTTGAAAGTTTAACAGAAAATGAAAGTTTAACACGACTGAAAATCTGAAAAACTAAAACCGTGTGCAGTTCTAATTTGTATGTAAATATCGATTTATTCCTACAGATCCAGAACCACCCACCATTTTATTTCTGAGAGGGCTGAACTCGGAACGAAAATACATTTCAAAATTTCAGCAGAGGATATAGAAGTTACAAAAATTTAAAACTCAATAATCAATGAAGATACAAAAACTAAATGATCATATATAGCTTGATAAGTCTAAGAAGACAGTTTGAAATGCGTACACTCTGCGCGTTCTCTGTACAATAACACAGAACTCTTCCTACATTTGTAGGAGCTGTACTAAACTTTAAAATAGGTCCCTAGGAACTATAACCCGACAACCCCCCTCCGTATGCCTTGATTCATGAAATTATTGCTCACATGATATGTTGAATACAAAATCTTATTCATTACCTACAGCTTTTCGTTGCGCATTTTACAATAATCGTTCAAACTCAAAGACATCTTGATGACATTTGCATACATTTTATGAATCAATTTTTCAAAATACTAGGCGTTAACATAAACATAACTAATCGCCTGGTGATAACTTACCTCCGACAGACCCTAATTTCTGCGCCTCAAGCACCAACTGGCTGGCTCCTTTTAAACAACCAGTGTCTGCATCGGAAACTTTCACGGTAACGTTTTTGAAAGACGACCATTTTTTTAAACAGAGCCCTTGGTAGCCGTTCAACGTCTTCCTTCTAGAGTTTAAAACGATTTTGGTGGCTCCTCTTTCAATCAACCAGTTGGCCAGTTCGAGCCCGATGCCTCCCAGGCCGCCTACTATGATGTACGTTTTCGACGGGTCAAAGTAGATTTTCGGGGTGGCGGCAACGGTTCTCGCGGGCGAAGGAGAAGACGCATTTTCATTCCGGATATTTATAAGGACTTTTCCTTTGTGGGTTCCCGTTGATAAAAACCTGAACGCGCTTTCTATCTCATTCTCGTTGAAAACGGTCGACGGTAGAGGTTTCACCACACCGTTCTTGATACCTTGAAAAATTCAGTAAACATTAACCATCTAACGGAAACTTCTAACTGAACAAACACTTTATTTGATACTTTCAACAGTTTCGAGTGAAGAAATGTCGTCATGCGCGAGAAGTATTGAACGTTTTAGAATTTTCAAACTTTCGAAAAAAATCCATCCATTACCTTCTTCGAGTAACTCGTGAATTTTTCTAGTAACTTCGTCCTTCAAGCCGAAATGATCCTCTAATTGGATTCCGTGAAAGCTGCAGTCTTTCAAAAACATACTCGAATCTATAGGAGTCCCCCGTGTGAAGTCCATTTTTCCGATTTCCAGAAATCGCCCCCTCTTCGCTATACATTTTAAGGATGCTTGGAACAAATCTCCAGCCAGCGAGTTCAATACCAAGTCGACGCCTCTGCCATTCGTTTCGCACATAATCAATTTGCGAAAGGACTTATCTCTGGAATTACCTGCAAACATATATGAATAGTTTACTGTTCTCGAATTATCGCCTATCACTCGTCTCACCGATATATTTGTCCAGCAATTCTGGAAACATATTTTTCAGGAATTCCCTTTTTTCTAACGTACTGACAGTCGTGAATACTGTGGCTTCCATGCCGAGAGCTATGGAAATAGCAGCTAGACCGATTCCTCCTGTTCCAGCTTGAATCAGTATTGATTCTCCTCTTTTCATCTGCCCCTTCATTATCATTGCATAAAAACACTGACGGAAAAATGCAAAAGGTTATTCGAAATGCTTCAATGTTTTAGTTGAAAAAAACTCACCGTCGAGTATACGACCGGCACCGTTGCAGCTTCTCGCAGATTCCACGTTTCGGGCACTTCCCACGTCAGGATCGGATGAGCTCTCACTTGCAAAGCCAAACATTCGACCGATATTCCCATAATCCTTCGTCCGGTCGAAGTTATTCCGGAGTATTCAAAACCCAGATTGGTTTCGACTGCCGTCGCATTCTGATCTAGATCTATACCCAACGATGCTGTCGCAACCAATACATCTCGAAAGTTCAACGACGAATAGTAAACGTGAACCAATTCTTGATTAGGAAATCTGAAAAAATAATTTTTACCCAGATCAAAACGGCAATTTTGCTCATTACTATCTCGTGGTGGCCAGGAAACCCCATACGATTTCTTGGTCCGCCACTCTGGTTAATGAAAAAAGTTTCCATGGCTATGAATCGAACCGTGGTCGCCTTGATGAGAGGCTGGTGCTTAGCTCTGCGCTAACGCTGCCGTTGTATCCCACGATCGCGTAAAAGTTAGTGCTATGATGATACTGATAGTATGCATGTACAAAATTTATCACTTTACGATGAATCATGGCAAGTTCTGAAAAATTGCAGTCCACCTCTAATTCGTGCTCGGATCATGTTCAAACTGGCATCATTGTCGATGGAGACAAAACATAGCTGCTGTCGATGGCACATTGTTCACGTATCATTCAAAACGAAAAATACACTATAATTCATACTCACATATTCAAACACGAATAGCACAAAAGTGAAAAGAAAAGTAAAAAAAATCCACGTACATTCTTATAATTCAAGAATATAGCTTTTCATGGTCGACGTCACCATGGGAGGTTGGTAGGCTGTGGTTGAATGGAACTTGTAGCAGCAAATTTTTCGTCTGCTACTGCGGAGCAGTAAATCCAAGTTGTCAGCGTTGCTGAGACTTTGTGTTCGCAGTCACGCAAATACCACTGAAGATGTCTGCCAAAGTAGCAGATGAAACGTTTGGTACTACATGGCCTAACCAGCCCAGATTTTGTTCTCTCTGATTCTCCTAATTATTAATAAGTATCTATTAACTTTCGATTTCAACCATAAAAAATTATAACGAACTCACTGCGGCAATGACAACGGCACGGGTCTCTGAATCCACTTGAACGTAGATAAATCTCCGAGAGTTTCGATTGACAAAGAAGCGTTCTCAGCATTTGTCGTTTTGCTCTCCAAGACTGGCAAATAAGAGAAAGTTCCCCACTCGAAGTCCCTCAATACGTTGATAGTAAGATTTTTCTTCAGCTGTGTCCGAAACAAGTCGACATCCATAGAAAATTTCTTGGTATTCATGTCGATGAATAAACATTTATAAGATACATCGCTTTCAGCCAGCAAGCACTTCGTTAGGCCTACGATTCCGCTGGAAGGTTCTTCTTGGCTTAGTAGGTACACAGTGCCATGCCAGCTGCGTCGACTCACTTCTTTCAGGTCCTCTAACCATCTGAAGTCGTTGTTGCTGATGCGGATTATTTCATATTCCTTGGGGAGTTCTGAAAATAGGAGATTAATGGACAAGCTTATACAGAATTTGTGAAACTTAACAGAAGTTAAACAGCTGAATGTCTGAATGTCATAACTTTGATGCCACAAAAATTCCGAATTCAGTTTTCAATATATTTATATTTTACTTTAACGAAATAATTCAGAAATCATAAACATAGTTTACCTGTTCTGGGCTTTAGAAGGTTGATATTATTTCGGTTAGAACCAGCTCGGAAAACGGGTAGAAAAAATTCATCAACCGTTTTAGAAACACTTCCGAAGTGTAGAACAAATCCATTCGGTGTCAAACTTTGAACCATCGAGTCCATCTGCATGTCGGTAGCAACTTCTTCATCCACAATGATCACGTCAAATTTAACGTCATCATCAACTTGAGAAAATTCTTTCTCGAAATACTCGTACCTTACCAACATCTGCTTGTCGAGAATCGATTTCATCCTGACCCCAAACTCGAGTTCGGGACGGGTGCCTTTCACTTGCAAAATTTTCAATTTTTTGTTGAGGCCGATGGAGTTCTCTGCGATTATCTGAAAAGTAATTCTCATCGAAGTTTCAACATCGTACCGGCTATTCGAAGGGGATTCATAGCTGACGAAGTGAAAAGTCTCTAAATACGGGTCCGGCTGGGTTCTTCGACGACGAGGCGCTCTGGACATGCGGGTTCCGGTTATTTCTATTCCTCCCGCTCTGAGTACTCCACAGGAACGGTTCTGTTCTAAAGGAATTACTGAAAACAATATTTACTGTATTATACTAGAATCAAAATGAAGGTCAGACAAGATATAAGTTTTTTATTAAACTTGGGGACGATGCACTACTCTAGCATTGTTTGCTTCAGTGACGTAGCAAGAGATGTTGCACTTGTTGAAGATGTTGAGTTTGTTGGTTAAGAAAAATTACAAAAATAACCGTGTGCGATCCAGAGGCTATAATTTATCTGGAAGTGTTTGACGGTAAAGTTAGGTGCTGCATGCAGCCTGTAACCTGATTTATGAATCAATCCAGGAGAGATACATACGCATAAGAAAATAAATATTTCGAAATAAAATCTCGAAACAGAGCCTACTGTGTAGGTATGTTGGGCAAAGAACATATCCCTTCTCGATACAGTCTTCGGACTTATTTCGATTTCTGTTAGAGAGTTAGTACGAGGGATGTTTCTTTTTCGCTTTTGGGGCTTTGTTGAAGAGAGATAGAGATCTCAAACGAAGGTTTATTACATACAGTGGAGCCGCGTTGAAGTCAGTCGAGTCCCAGCACACTACTGTTTGGGTCGGATCATTCCTGCACCGATTAGAGGTAATACCTTGACTTCTCTCTCTTGTGGAATTGGCCGTGGTGGTAGTGCGCCCGACTCACGATCGGAAGACCGTGGGTTCGATTCCTGCCTCGACCAGATATTTTTCTCGAGAGAATTTATCTGGTTGAAGCTGGGATGATTCTGCCACCGTGTTAGGAATCACACGTTAAAAGGTAAGACCTCGTTAGTCCTTAGCTCGCACAAGTTTCTCAACTTCTGAGAGTTGTCGTTCGTATGGGGACGACAGCTGATTAACGGAAAACAGATTTTAAACAGATTTTTTTTTCTTTTATAGGTATACAAGGACAACTTAGTATATTCATTTTGAAGTTTGAAATGATGGTCACATACAATGAAGTAATTTGAAAGCTATTTAGACGATTACGATGTTATTCTTCATTGAATGAAACGTTAGTACACATTATAATTGGTCTTTTCACCATAAAATTCAAATCTCTTTTTTGGCCTCATTATGAAATCAAGCAAACTATCAAATCGGATGTCTATCTCTGTTTTGAAAGTAAAACTGAGAAAGACATCTGATTTTTCTCTCGATGCGAGAGTTCACACCCGTATTGAAAATGAGATACCCGAGAAGTTATCGCAAAAATGAAACAATCGCCCCAGAAAATGAATTCAAGCGGAATGACAAACGCGTTGCGTCTCAATTGCGTTGGTTTTGTTTTATGCAGTCAGTCAATCATTTTGCAGATCATCTTCGCATTTTAATTTTGTCTTGTTTTGAGGTGGATAGGAACCTATTTCAGAATTGAAAGTGATAGTTGCGAATATAATTTTGTTTGAATGAATTAGTTACTAGTTAGTTTACCTCGCTTTGCTGAGGGAGTTCATGCGATTGTGTGATAGTTGGATCAAAATGATGAACAATGAATCTTGCTTCATTTACTCCTACCAATGAGCAGCTCAATCCATACAATCCGTTCAAACGTTCCAGACTATTTCAGAATGTTCCAGTATGTTCTAGGATTTTGTGGGATGCTCTGGAATATTCTCGAATGTTCTGTACTGTTCTAGAGATCTAAACGTTTAGCTCATTTATCGTCAAAAGCACGCCCTCCATAAAAACGGAAGGGAGACAAAGAGCTGCTACACCTTATAACTACATTGATGGTTTCAGAATGATTTGGAGATATACCAGGATGTTAAAGGTTTACAAAATCGTGGCACGTGTTTTGCTATACAATATAGCTTTCCCAAGTATGAGTACCCTAGAACAGGAACATTTTCCATGAATAGATGAAGATAGGGGGCTACTACACCCTTGATAGTTCCACAAGGATCCAGCATGTTGCGGGATTTTACAGAACTTTCCAGACTAGTTTCGAACACTTCACAACGTTTCGGGATGTTCTAAACTGTTTTAGAATTCTATAGAGGGCTCCGGAACTTCAAGCCCTTATATCTTGAGAAGCATGCCCTTCAGCTAGAGACGGTAATCTTCATGGACAAACTGAGGTGACAATTACGACGAAAAAAAATTTGACTAAATTTTGTGATGAGTGTGCGAAGCCGGGCCGGAACCCTAGTGAAACTTTTAATAGGAATATGTCGCGAATATTTCAAGGCACGAAGGCAAATCTTCCAAAAATAAAAATACTTCACAAACCTCTATGAGCATTCACGACTTTCAAATGACCCACTGGATCTATAACCACTTGTTCGATACTTATCGGAAAATTCAGTCCTCTGCGATGATCTGTCAAGATCATCGGATGCAGCATCCCATCCATGAAGCTAGTGAAAGTTCCGGTCCATTCTATTTTCGCTGCGAGTCCGTCAACGTCGCATTCAGTGATCGCCTTAAACGAGTCTCTGTACATGTAACGCCTCAAATGGCATTCCTTATACAGATCTTCGCGAGATAGTTTGGGATACAGCCTGAAAAAAATTGGAATTAAATTGCTGACAAGATAAAATATTCTAACGTATTGTACCCGTTGAATCTTGAATCAACTTCGGGTGGCATCTCAAGGAATTCTTTGGAAACATCTTGAGGTACTCTTATTTTTCCTGATACCACTACAGATCCACCCTCGAATATTTCAAAGTTCCCAGATTGTTTGAAAATATTTATGATGAATTGGATGTTTTCTTTGTCCGATAGTACTGTTGCTCGATTGAATTTTATGTCCTCTATCACTACAGGAAGTTCTTCTGTTTCTTTCATATATAATTTGGCCATCACCTTCCATATCAGTTCCTAGAAAATAAAGAAGAATTAGCAATCAGAGAGCACTTTTAGATATAGATCTGACAATTGCCCACAATTAAAAATGGCGGCACTACATTTTTTGTCACCGTCTCTCGATATGCGTTCCTATAACCAAGTTAGCATCATCAGGAGATTATTATAAATCCAGTTTCTTATCTCCTGGTGACATTATACCTATCAAATAAAAAATATTGAATTGTTTATATAAATTAAGAGTGTTTGTTGATAGATTATCTACATTTACAGAAAAAAATTCTGCAGTGGTGAGTGTTCTTGGCAAATCGGCAAAATATGAATTCCTTGGCCCAATTATAGACGAAAAATTGACCTGGAGTAAACAAATGACTTTGAAAAAAAATTCATTACGTTCCATACAGAGTGCGTCGTCATATGTTCTGATTCGAAATCGAAGCATCTATTTTTCTTCAACTTATTCAAAATTACATTTCTTGCATGTTTGTACCTCGATTCCAAATCCACGACGGCCTACTTGTTGTTCAGTCATTTCCAGAGTAATCAATTAATCGACTATCAAGTTAGTGGCGTTTATTGTTCAAATTCTATTGAAGATTTATATTATCATCTGTATTTTTGAAGTGAGAACTAGAATTAAGTCAAAATTAATTGTGAAAATTGCATAATTACTATCATGGATAGTGTTATTCATTTTCATCAAGTAACGAGTCAGTGTATTCATAATATGAATAAATGAATGAAGAAATCGTATTACTACAAATTTTTAACGGTTTTTTACTTCCTCTTGATATCTTCACTTATTAAGATTGTTTATATTTTGCACTACAATAATACTTACCAAATATCCAGTGGCAGGCATCATGATTCTGCCGTCGATGAAATGCCCCTTGAGGTAGGAGTATTTCTCGTCAGATACGTCAACCGAAATAGCATGGCCAAAGTGGTCTGCGTGCTTCCAGAGCTCACTGAACCACGAGCTGCTGTGGTCCCATTTGACTAGTGGAGACAGCATTTTGGTTCCGCGACCAACAGGAAAGGAAACGTCTGGATAAAAATTTCTGAGGTTCGGTTGCGCCCCCTCCAGATACATTCTGAAATAAACCTTAAATTTCAGTCCTGCATCAATGATTTTAATCAATTGATAATTATGTTAATGAAAGAGTGTCGCTGTTCATGGTTCTTACCGCCCACTTCGTTATTTCCAAATGAAAGAAGTATCCAATAAGAGTCTAATGACCTATACTGGTCTCAACAATTTTTATTCTATGGCAGTTTTCCAAAATGTGTGAGCGACACCGGACTTTTCTGGTCTATGGAATCAGATATGCGCCACGTGCTCTTGGAAAAGTTTTATCAGATCGTTTAGTCTAAGCAACATACTGTTTGTTGTATTCCTCACGACTTATGTGAATGAGTCTTTATTCTACATACAGTCTAGTACACATATAATGAATCTGTTCCTATTGATTGCTTACCTGCCAATAGCAGAAAGAAGAAATTGCTCATTCTCGTCGACCCATTTGCTAGCCAAGCTGACATTCACCACATCGGGACCGAATTCTGTCTTCAACATTGACTGAAACAATCCGTGGGGTGCGATTTCTACAACTAACGCGTTTTCCGGTATATGGTCGTATACCCGTGCGAACAATACGGGATTCAGGTAATTCCTATAGTGATACTCGGGACTATTCCACTTTGTCCAAGGTTCGTCCATCTCATCGTCAGGCACAGAAGTCGTTATCCATCTTGCAGATCTTGGCTTTACCGTTTTAATCGCTTTTTTGCAATACTCTAGCATCAGTGGTCCAGTGTCGGCAATATATTTCGAATGAAAAGCAATTTCGCGTGTGTCGAGCCTCTTCGCAAAAATTCCTTGAGATCTCAGTTTATCAAGCATGGTTGTCATCGGAGCTTGCAATCCAGATATGGTTAGATTCGACCTTCCATTGTGGCATGCTATGAATGTGTCTTCCGGAAGTATCTCTTCGGCCTGTTGTTTCGTGAGACCGACAGCTGCCATCAATCCCTTGGGAAGCGGCACCGAAGTGCTCGCTTTCCCCCTAGCGTAGGACAGCAGGACAGTTTCTTCAGGGGTCAAGGTTCCATCAGCGTAACCGCAAGCTATAAATATATAAAATATAATTTGATCTACTACATGTAGTATATCGCGTCGTAATTCGATGTCTGCAATTACCTAGATGTCGTAACCTTCATAACTCTATTGGATGGAGGCATAACAAAGGGCCAGAGTCACCCTTTCACCCAAAGGAAGACAAAAATACATACAACAAATCCTAATTTTTCGTGGCAGATCAGCGGATGAACTTTACAACCTGCACTGAAAATGTTGGAGAAAGCTTTCGGCAATTATATCAAGACAGGTCACAGAAATCTATATTTTGATGAGGACTAATTGTGTGATAAGCCTCTGGTAAGGAAACTACTTATAATATCAGAACAGCTCAGCAAAAGTGCGGACCACCAATCAGGAGTTAGCATTTGCATGGATGCGTCTCTATCGTCCCTACCATTACAACCACCACACCCTGAAATTACAACACGTGTGGACACACTCGTGTTTGTTATATCTCGAAGTCTCAGTCGTTTCTGAGACTTCGAGATATAACTTTCGTTCTCGCAGTCAACGCACATACATCTGATGTTTTTTTTTTCTGATTGATTCGGCCGTTACTTCATGAATTAGTAATTAGTTTTTGAAATTACATCTGATGATGTCTGCCGCAATAGCAAACGAAACATTTGATACTTCAGGTTCCATTCAACTACGGCCTATTAAACCACATATAAATTCAACACAAACACTATCCTTACGAAAAATCAAAACTGAATAAATAGGAAAAACTTAACAGTTCTTGGGACTCAACGAAATTAAAGACAATAGTAGCAGCTAAGTAAGAAAAGAAAAGAGAAAATTTCATGCGTGTGGTGATCAGTAATGCTATGTAGATGGTAGTAAAATTGAAAAAAAATGGATCGTAAAACTCCAAATACACGGAAGCTACGATCAAAAAAGTTCGAAGAAACAATTCTGCGCATATGGGTAAAAATTGTTTGCAGAAGAGAGAAGAGACAGTGTATAGGTTTTCGTGAGAAAGTTGACGAAATCTCTACTTGAATATTTTCAGAACTTTGAGCAACTCCAAATTAGTTGGTGAACATCATAGATTCTAATGTTCGCCGGAATACCTATTCACAAAAATAACCACATTCGGTTTTCATTCAGATATCCTTTTTTTGCTTATCAAAATATCAAAGATTGTACTTCAATCAAATAACTTCTTACCAGTTTCCCCCAAGGAATGGCCAGCGATTCCATCTGGAAAAATCCCCAATGAAAACAAAACACTCGTCATTGCAACTTGAATGGCCGTTATTGAAACGAAAACGTTTACGTAATTTTCAAATAGTTTCGGCGATCCGTTCATTATTACATCCTCTAAGTCAATGTCAAAAGGTTTGAGAGCTTCGGCACATTTCAATAAAGTCTCTCTGAACACTTTGATATGCATTAAATCTTTACCCATTCCGATCCATTGCGATCCCATACCTGGGTAAATGAACCATACCGGTCGCGTTTCGGGAGTATATTTTTTGATTTCCCTAACAGGGTGATCTCCCAGAACTAAAAACCTGAAAAAATTCAATAGAAACCGGGTTCGGTCTACAGTTTATTTATGGATATAGCAATACATCATTGCTATCAAACAACAACATTTTGTTACCTACCCTCTGAAAGGGTGACGTTCAATGTTATTCTTGTGAATTTCGTCGACGAGTGCCAAGAACTCTTCGTCGTTTTGGCCTTCTTCAACCCCTTTCAAAAAGTGAGCCACAGCTTCTTCGGTTCTGCCGGATACTAGAACTAATCGATTTTTTGGGAGAATTGCATTCCTCAAATTCTGTTTTTCATGTGACTTCAACACAGCGTGGGCGTTTGCGCCTCCAAGTCCAAAAGAATTCACCCCCACTATTCCACCTTCCCAGTGTAAGTTTTCTGTCACAACCTAAAATTGTACACGAAATATGTGAATTGATTAGGAAATCGTCGATTCTACACAAGAAAAATATGAAACTGCAATGAGTGCGATGATTTATTTAAGGATAGAGAAATTGGTAAGGTACTGGTAATGTATTTGAATACTTCAAAGATAGAAGTGAAAATATACAAAGAAAAAAAATTCAGAACTGATATAAATTGTGTTGATAATAAATGAAATTATTTTCAATATAATGTACAATTCGGATGATATGTTGATTCAATGTTGAAAAATCACGCAGATGGTATCTTTATAATGAAGAACGTCACGTATTACGACTCATGGCGGCCTGTTGCAAAGCCAAACATAAACCAATTTCTCAATTAAACCTGTGCTGTCGTTTGTAACGGCTCTATCCGTAATTGGAATCAATTGGAATTCACACTAATTTCCAACAGATTTTTAACAGTTTATTATACTGGCACAGATACGTAGATGATATCTTAGAGTGTTTTACTGGTACAGGCATAGGCAGTCGGGCAAGTGTGTGGATTTTGTTTATTAGATTCACCCATCAATTAAATACATTTCTGAAATGGATATGAATAATTCAATAAATTTTCTAGAAACGACTATTACCAAACACGATCCATGTTATACTGACATTGTCATACATAATTCATCGACACATCCCTATCAAAAATAAAGTAGCAGCATTCAAAAATATGCTTCACAGATTATTTGATATTCCACTGTTGAAAAATAATTTTCAGATATTACTGAATTTTATCCAACAACTCGACATCAATAACGGTTACTAAGTAGATCATATCGACTCTATTCTTTCCAAAAAATTACGAAATCAAGTTATTTACCAAGTCTCAGGACATTAACATACTTTGGTGAACGCACCAAAAACATCGCTCGTTTTTTAAAAAGGTCAGACTTGTACGTAGCTTACATGAACCAACAACGACTGTTGAAATATTACATTTCGAAGACAATGGTTCCAAATTCAATCTTTTGGAATGCTTAGAAATTAATAGATTTAACAATTCTGAAAATCTACCGAATCACTATATAGAGTTGAATTTTCCACCTCGTCTGATCTAATGAGGAAATTGGTATTATATGTCTTTGATATTATATGTCAATTTAATGAGTTTGTTAAAATTCTTCTCACTATATTTGAATTATCAATAGTTTTCACTAAATTTATGTAAAATGTTTAGTCAATAGGTAGGTAAAAGGTCATATGATACAAAGTGTCATTATATAAAGCACAAATTCAGTAGAATTAACTCTTGAGAGATCTATTGTATAGCGAAACACGTATTGCGGTTGTTTCAGTTTTGTAAACTGTCCAGTGAAAATCTCACAATGAAGTGTAACTTGAAGCCAAATTTCGCCTAATAAGAAACCCTCTTTTGTCTTTTCTGGCAAGCAGACCGGAACCTGAAAGCTTTGCATTTATAATCAAAACGCAGAGCTGATCTGATGTTTACATATCAGTAATAAAGTTATTACTAATCAGTAATAATATTACCTTCAGTTTGTTATCCGATATTCCTGGTAAAGTTGTGTCCAAACTATTCACATGTAGATTTGCTGGTATAACTCCTGATTCCATCGCTATGATGACCTTCGTAAGAGAGGAAAGGGCAGCCGAGTATTCTGAATGTCCCATATTGGATTTGATGGAACCGATAGGTAGAGGTTTCTCTCGTCCTTGACAGAATATTTGCGATAAGGCTCTACATTCTTGCAAATCTCCAACGGAGGTTCCTGAATATATTGGATAGTAAGTGGTAGCAAAGGTTTTAAATAAAAATATAGGTAATCCGTTAATGTACAAAATAATAAGTAATAGAGAAGACATTCTGCAGGTGAATAGACCTTACGTTCGAAAAAAGAATGGCAAAGAGGATCCTAATAGAGCTGCTTTCAGAGTCTCATCTCCACTGTGATGGAACTTTATGAATATTACTGGAGTTTTTTCCCAAAACCAAATCGTTATTTTCAACACCTCGACACGTGTTTCGATCACCAAGTGATCATCTTCAAAGAAGAAGACACGTGAAACTAGCCTCGACAAGATTATCAAACTCATTTTCCGGATTTATTGGACGTGGTCTACAGGTTTTTTGACATTGTGTGTGTCTATTGCAGTCGTAGACGAAACTTCAGACAAAAAACTGGAGACCACGGTCAACAAACCCGGAAAATAGCTTTGACACATTTGTCTCCGATCGTAAAAGTTCACATCAATTATCTTTTTCTGTACAGTAGAAGCAACGGTTTTAATGGAAAACTCTTTATTTTTCTTTTCATTTATTATATTTAAAGGAAGAATTTTGAAAAATGTTACACCTGCAAAAGATGGACAGTTTTCAAAAAACGATGTAGAGTGTTTTCGACGCTATATCAAATTACCATGTCTCGGACTCCCAATTTGGTATTGTCTGACGTTTCCTACCTTGACCACTGATTTACAGAGAATATGTTCCATGATTCATGAGTAAACGGCCTCTATTTTATCGTGAGAAATATAAACGTGCGACCGATGATTTGGAGAGTTATCAGTAATTATTTTGTAATATATAAATATCGATTTAGTGCCGAACCTTACCTGTTCCGTGTGCTTCGACGTAACTGACTTTCCTGGGATCCAAACTGAGCTCCTGGTACATTTCCTTGAGCAGTATAACTTGTGCTTCGGTGCTGGGAAAAGTCATCCCTTCTTTCTTGTAACCATCCGCATTCGTCTTCGCCCCGAGAACCGTAGCATAAATTCTCCTGCTGGTACTCTCTCGCTGTATCAGGAAACTGGCTACAGTTTCAGAGCGAGTAAAACCATTCCTGTCGCTTTGGAAAACTTTGCATTTTCCATCCGGAGAGAGAACATTTAGGTCTGTGAACCCTTTGGTGTCGTTCGGGTCATAAAGGATTTGACCCACACCCACTATTGCGTTCTCTATCATTCCCATTTTCAAGTCTCTTACGGCATTTGCTAAGGCGTACATTCCGCTCGAACATCCCGTATCCAAGGAAAAACTGGGACCCCGGAAATCGAAACAGTACGAGATTCTATTTGCCGCAATGCTCGAATAAAAGCCTGTAATAGCATACCCTCTGGGGTTTTGCTTCCAGACCTCGTCCAAGCTCGTGACTGAAGTTATTCCAACGTACACACCTGAAATTCAATCGACCGTTTCACTGAACTATATATCTAGTGAATACGAATACCTACCAGTTTTAGTTCCCCTTAGCTCTTCTGGGTTATAGCCCGCATCCACAATGCATTCGTAAGTTGTCTCGAGCAAAATTCTATGGCGGGGATCCGTATAGTTGGCTTGGGTGGCGTGGATTCCGAAATAAGCATTATCCAATTTATCTATTTGCGGTATAACACCACTCCTACGAGGTGTTCCATACATTCCTGAAAATACCTTGAGTAGAAAACGGCGACGAAATCTGCCCATACCAAGACATCTAAAGACAGAAGATAGAGTCCACGTTAAAGTAGACTGCCCAAAACGGGCCGTTACGATGTTAAGCTTCGATATCGACCGCCCAACGAGTTTCGTCCTCTGCAGGTTTCACTGTAAGGCAAATAGCATTCGTGTTTCAACAACAGATAACGCTGTTATGGGACATGGTTCCAACTAGTTAGCTAGATGTGAACACTGCAAGATGACGGATGTCGTTCAGCAGGCTTTACAGCAGACCTATTTGGGGGAGCCCCTTTTATTTTTGATATTCATGGGTTGAGTCGTCTGTCGATCCTATAGTGAAATTTTCAGCGGAATATATTATTGCCGTTTCCTGCAAAGGCTTCTACTTCAAGGGCAGTTGGTCCAGCAATGCATTCGCCTAGCACCACTAATGAGACCTATTTTGATCTAAACAGTGTTGTTGGTTTTAGATCACGAACGTTTTCTTTCTGGTATCTGGTTTCAATTATGTCGTGTGTTTTGATTCTGATAACGATGGAAGGTGTATTGAAATATTATTAAACGGATATACAAAACAAACGTGATTAATGGAGATGACGACTGTACTTACGAACGACGTTTGAACTATCATTTCCTCAAGAAGGAGTAAAAAATTATGACGACTCTCTCTACAAAGACGTCATTTATGATTAATCTTTAATAACCGCCATAACTGACCAAAATTTCTTCAGTAAGCTGAAGAGAACCTCATAAGACTAGAAACCTACGGCAGCTTAGCACCCACCGTTTCTGGTGAGGAACCGGAAGCCAAGAAGAAAATAGTTTTCTTCATCTCATGAAAATGCCAACTCGGTTGTGGTGTTTGGGGAAAGTTTTTGTTTTGGATTTATTCTGCTCCAGAGGTTCCAGTTGTATTTTTATTATTTACCATGGATAGTTATATTAATTCAACGAAAGTCATTTTTTGTGGAGGAAAAAATCAGTTTTTTATCGACCTTTTTTTTGGTTAATTGTTATATTAACTTTCATCAAGTAACGGGTCAAATTATTTTAGTTTTTGTAAGGTGTCTTAGCCCATATACTCGTATATTATGGTTGCGACAATTCATCCAGAAGGAAGAGAGATAAAAAAATTAGTGACATATAAGAATTATTTGATTCTGAATCACGAAAGATAAACATCCGATCTACAATAAATTCATAAAAAATTAAAGAAAAACCTGCTAGAATTTAGATCAGCTGAAAAACAGGTTGAGATCACCCCTTAACTCCGGAGTAATAATTCAAATTAATTGTTTCTCCCAAATGTTGAATGCGTTTCGGCCCGGTTCAGAAAAAAAAACATTATCTCTTTCATACGCTATGTTTGATGGTTTCTAATGAGTGATTTCTTTCGGTGAAACTATGTAATGAATTATTATGAAGCACCTTCGTTAGACGGAAAAAAGATTTTAGCCCGGCAGTTAAACCTTGCGGTACTTTTTTAATAACTCACTATGTATCCGCACAGACAAAAAATAAACAGAGTAGGCTAGATTGTATATATGTATAAAAAATACTTGTATATTTATTGTAATTCTTCCTACAATTCAAAGAAATACCTATTAAACCATTATGCATTTTAACAAAATCGTCTGATTAATTTTAAATAGATCCTTTTTTAAACCATTATTTCTAAACACTTATAATATTCACGAAGAAATCAATGATATCCTGCCCCCTGGTAAAACACTCACCTGCGGGATATCTTTTATCGTTGTCTGTAACCAAATCAACCCCATTCAAGAGGGCCTCTTTGAACTGATCCACATTTTCACACTCTGGAAATCTGCCGGCAATCCCAGATATTACTATTTTGTCAAAAGTTTCCATTATCACTTAAAGATGATTATTTTACTTTGTCAGATAAAAACTTATTGAAAGCGTGGAAGAAGACCGACAAACGACAAATGTTTAACGGTTTCATACAATAGGAAGTAACAGTTACATAATTCTGATTGAACTTGTGTTTTGATGATGAAATGGGTCAAACCTTTTGGATAATTTATAAAGCAATTCATTCAAATGCATTGTCAATATTTAGTAGATAGAAACTAAATTATGTAAAGTCATGGTTGAGATTCATCGGCACATGACACACTGTTGAAAAAATATCTGATTGGTTGCGGCTACTTTGCAAGTGTAGATATTGTCTTTCGATTAACGTTGAAATATTTTTTTGCCTTTCAACTTTTCTAACAAAGCCGAACTTCGACATTGAAAGCCGAACGAAATTCATTTTCTTCCTTTTCCTGCAATTTTCACTGCAAGGCAACTGATTTCAACTACGTCTCTACGATGAAATAAGTTCTAATAAAAAAATCAGCTTGTTGCATTTTCATCAGTAACAGAAGTCTAATAGTTTTGGATTATATATTTTATATTTTCAATTTATTTCTGAATGGATTTTTCCTTTGTTAATTAAGTTGTTGGAACAAACGTTTTTTTAAATAACTGCTGAAGGGAACTACCACGTCAGCCGATGAAGATATTATGATGTTATCTAATGTTGATTTCATGATTATCTTCTGCCTGAAATATAATCAAAGTTAATAAAAATATTCGAGAAAAAAAAATCAATGTTCCCTCCTAATCTTTATCATATGTACTTTTTGGCACAACTTCTTACCTTGGCATTCACTCTTCTTCTTCTTCTTCTTCGTCATCCTCTTCTTCTTCATCGACCTCGACTTCCTCTTCTTCCTCCTCTTCTTCAATTTCAGCTTCGATTACAGGCTCCTTGAGGTCGTCATCCTCATCAATGACTTGTTTGCCCTCCTCCTCGCCTTCTGGAGTTTCGGGATCTCCAGGTTTTTTGCCAGGACGTTCACCGAACCACTTGGGAAGTCTTGCTGTTAGTAAAAAAATGAACAATCAATAACAAGCGACTGATAATTCACTCGAACATTTATGGTAATAGTCTCATCATTTTCTGACTTAAAATATCATTTGATATTCAGTTAAATACCACCCCACCAAGAGATACTACTACTAAAATGTGTAACGGTTAACTTAACAGTTCGATTGCAACAGGTGCCACTTTCAAAACGCCCTGTGGATCCCATCAGCACTGGAATGGGGTTGATTTTTTGATAAACCTGTTAGGTAAACTCTTTATAGGGTTTGGGACTTTAGAATGATTTTTTTTAATGTACTTCAAACAAATTTAGTACAACTATCCGACAATAACGATTAATTCTAGAAAATTTGTATGAAAACAAATTCAATAAGGGAGAGAGATTAACTTCTTGTTGGTCGTTTGATGAAGAACCTGATTGTTTTCTGTATTTTCATAATATAAATAGTATATTATGAAAATTTGTAATTATTGTCATGAATAGTGTCATTTATTTCCACCATGTAATGGGTCAGTGTATTTAAAATCTGATTGTTTTCGTTTACCAGGGATTCCAACAGGCCTAATTTTTGTCCTTTATTTTCTGTATGTAATATGTTGTAGTTCTTTTCGAAATCGAAATCCTAATAGGTGCAACGCATAGGTGGAATTGGTTTTATAAAGTTCAATTTTTTTTTGTGTGTTTTCAAATTTTCGTTTTGAAATTTCTAGACGTTCTTCTTATGTAAACTTTTGGGCAGACTCCTGATTTATTATCATACCATGTTTGTATTGTTCTATCATATGTTTATCAAAGGTATTTCCAGTCTGGTATGTTTACTCAATAGTATTTTATATTTTCTGATGACTTTCCGTATTTATCCCATAGATGGTGACTTCGACAGTCCAGCAACGCATTTGTGGTCCAGCCTACCACCACTGATGATACCTACGGCGGGTCGATATATTACAAAAAGTTGCGAAATATCCTTGATCGAAATACTGACAGGACTCACAAATCGAAATTACTTTCAAGCTGTCGCTTCACCATTCATTGGTTGTTATGATGAAAACGCATTGATTAGGAAATTATTCTCACTCAAGTGCTGGTAAAATCTACAAGGGCTTTTTGAAAATAATTCTATAATTATCTAGCTGAAAAAGAGACCACACCACTGACATAATAAAATAGTCCAAATTATGTGGGTCATAACGTAAACTCATTTCACTATAACATAAAGAAATCAATGCAATCGAACTCCTACTTTAAAAGTTCTAACGTTCAAAAAAGTGTTCAAAGAAACGGATGAATATGAATTCGAACTAGGGGTGATTGATTTCTCTATTCTCTATATCTTCAAAGTAAAAGACTCGCATTTGTTTTACCTCAGAATGAATTTGTGTCAAATGAAAGGAAACCTGAATTCATTTTCTTCACAAATTCATACAGCTGAAAAGATTCTTAGACGAGTAGAAAATTAATAGATGCCGAAACATAACATGCTACATATAAAATGTTCTGATTTTCGGAAAACAATTTTTAATTTATTTCAACATCAAATAATGAAATTAAAAATTATCAGTTTCAAAAAAAGTCGGTGTTTTCCGAGAAAAAGAAACAAGCTTGAGAACGTATTCTGTTAAAACATTTACCCTTTTGTCTGGAATCGAACTGTCCAAATTTCTCTTTCCAGCTCTTTTCATTGGTCTCTTTAATGATTTCTTCTAATCCCTGTTAAACAACGGAAAACACACTCAAACAAAAAAGAAATGACATTGACAAATAATAAACATATAACAGATGTTATACAAGGTACTAAAAATAGTTGTCGAAAAAAGAGCAATACTACAAAAAGACATCGTCTGACAAACATCACAAGACTTTCTGAAAAACGAGTGTATTTTCATGCACATACCATGCGGTCTGTTCATGAATTCCTCGATTCTTGCTCTCCAGATTTTTTCCATTTGTTCCATCAGGACCATATCAAAACCCTGAATTAAAAAAAATCTAGTTTGCTCTATATTTTCTACGAACCGATCTCATCAATTTTGTTCTAACGTGTCCTCATAGTGTCTTAAGACATATGCTATGCTGTCTTGTGTATTTAGTTGATTTGTAGTTTAGTGTGTGGTTTTGATTCGTTATTAAGAATCTAGAATCTAATTAAAACTAGTTGGAACAAACATGATCGAAAAATGACTCGCAATAGTAGATGTTTATGAATTACTTGATGTAATCCATACATTATTCAAATAGTCTGTTGTTTTGGATTGTGTTGAAAACTTAATTGAAAATTATTCGCAACAAATACGACTGAAGCATGGATTTGTATTCAAATTCCGTATATAACTTGATTTAGTTAATTTATGTGAAAAAATGCGCTATCTGGTGTCAACAAGTGAAAGGTTACATTTGCTCCATCTATTCAAGAAAAGATAGTTTCCTGCAACAATCACCTCTAATATTTGAGGTTATCCTGATCCGAATACTGAATCTTTATCGTTTTTATTGTTCATTCTGTACTTGACATTGTCTGTGTCAAGTTTTCGAAAGAAACTTAAGTATCTCATCTTGATTTGAAAGACCAGTGTGACTTACCCCTTCGAATAGCTTCTTTTTGTCTCCATACGACCTCGTGTCAACACGACGTTCATATTTGGAGGCTACTTGGATTTTAGGCTAAAATGAGAAGTAAGTTTATGGAAATAAAACAATATTGACAACATTTCAGAGAAATTTTCGGATATGATGTTTTTTTTCAATTTCATTTGAGTGGTGTACCGCGGCTTTTGAAAAATGAAACACTTACCGGGTATTTGCCGGTTAGGGCTTCTGGGTCTAGACCCTTCTTCAAGGCTTTGTGTCTCAGCTGTTGTTTCTGTCTTTCTTTCAGCTCTTTGAGCTGTAAACACGAAATAACGTTATTCGTCACCATCAAAAAACATTTAAATCGAACTTACATCGTAGTCTTGACGTTTCTGCCTCTCTTCCAAGTCGTACTTTTCAGTCTCCAACTTGACGATGCATTCCCAAAGTTCTTGTGCTTTCAGACGGAGTTTATCTACGCCCAGACCATCAACGACCAAGGGCTTGATGCGGATGGAAAGGGAAATTTTCTTCTCTTCCTCGAGTTGCTCCTTGGTCTTGTTGCGTTCCAACTGAGCGGCAGAAAGGTTAGACTGTTGAAAGAAATCGTTAGTGTATTTTCGTGTCCTTCATTTGATATATTCTGTATATTGTTAAATATTCTATAGTTTTCATTTTATTTTCTTCGACGATAGGTTTCAGTCAGTAAACAGCTTCATAATTTAACATTGACAATGTGTAAATGAATTTCAACTTTTAACGCTTATATTCAATATCCCCGGCATTGCAGATAAAAATATACTATTAAAATATTTATAAAAGTAAATTTAAACTATAATTTGATTACATTTGAAATTAATTATTTGTGAAAATCAAATACTTCTTTGTATCAGTTATGTCTGTAATTTTGAAATCCCTATTTTTTCAGTTCAATTATGTTGGTATGTATATACCTGTAATAAGAAATTTGGTATTCTTATTTAAAAATGATCTTCATTAAATTCAAGCCATGCATCATGTCGAGTTTCAATTCGTAGAGGTGCAAATTCAGGTTGTAAGTATGTATAAAATGCACAATAGTTTCACAATAAAAAATTCAGTATAAAAATACAATTTACAAAACGCGACAAAAAAAGAATCATTTTTTGTTTTTTGTTGGATCACTTGAAATAGTTTTTCTTAGGGAACGGGTTTTCGTACAGACCTCTAGTTCGTGCAGAAATATTTTTTTCTTCGTGGCCTCTGAAATGAGCTACGTATCGATATAGATTTTCATTCGTGATTTTGGGGTGCAGCTCCCTGGTGCCTCATTTGCAAGGGTAAAAAAGTTGCATATGCGTAAAGAAAAAGATTCCTTAGTGATTGCCAAAATTTTGTATTTCTATTTTCTTTGACTTCGGAGATATTAGCCCGTACTGAAACTTTTCATACACCCGGTATGTAGAGGGGAACTTCTTTTCTTGTAACTTTACATATTAATGAAGAAGAAGAAAGTTAAAATTTCATCTTTCTTATATTTTGCTGTTTCATTTGACAGTTTAGTCATTAAATTGATGCGAATAATCTAATGGGTAACAATATATAATAGATCTTTCATAATATTCAAGAGTGGAATAAAAATAATTGAATCTAAATATTTGGTAAGTCGAGAATGTTCGAAGATGTTTTCTATACTTCTATTGTTTGTAAATGATAATTGTGGTTTATAATACAATATATTGTTTTTCGATATTGAATCTATGGCCAAAGACAGAGTAACAATTATGTGAAAACTGTCTGAACAAAATACTTTTCTGATATTTTCTCCTGTTGGTTTCAACATTTTTATTGGTTTTCAATTTCATCTGTCAACTAAATATGTAGAGATAAAGAGATATCCAGAAGGTAGAAATAGCAGTCAGTTCTAATTCCAGCTAAATTATATTATGAATATCGTAGCTCTTATATGTGGGAGAATATCTAATTGTTTCCAAGACAAAAGTTTCAGATTATTCGAAACCACACCTTTTATATGATATGAACAGAAAGAATGTAACAGAGAACAAAAAAGGGCCAAACATCACAAAGACTGCCACAAATTAAAAAAATGAATGAGTTGGTTTATTTATTTCCACCCACAGTTGTTTTCAATGATACAACTCTAGCGATTAAAAGGCAGCATTCGATCGAATAGGCCGTTCTTAGTTACACCTCAGTTACCTCTCCTATAATAAGTATAAAGAACTTTGTTGCTTACTGAAGCATCCCTCTTGGTGATGGTGAAGTTGGGCCCCTTGTTCTTGTTCTGGTCCTTGAGGGCCTGCATCATGGCCTGGCGTTTCTTTTCAGCCTCTTCGAGGCGTTGCCTCTTCTCCTCGATGTCGCGCTGTTTCTTCTCTTCGATCTCGCGAACACGACGTTCTTCTTCTGCCTTCTTCCTTTCAGCCATCTTCCTCTCCTCATCTGCGCGCGCGATCTTGCGCTTGGCCTGCTTCTCCTTCAGCTTCTTGAGGTCGTCCTCTTCCTTTGCGCGCTGCTTGCGCCATTCTGTGATGTACTCGCGCAGCTGCTCGTCGAGGTCGGACCTCTTCTGGTCTTGCCGTTTTATGAATTCTGGATCGCCGGCTCCTTCCCTGCGGGACCCCACAACATGATCAGAACGACGAAGCAATTATAACGTTTTGGGAAACGCATTAAGTACCTACTGAAGGATTTCGGGTATCGCCGTTTCAAAAGTTTTGCCTAGTCTCGCTCTCGTTTAAGAAACGAAAGATCAGATTTGAATTGAAAGGGGTTTGATTCAAAGTTAGATTAGTTGTTGGCAAATAACGATTTTGGCTTTCTACCTCTCCATCTTTATAGAAAACATGTGTAGTGTACTCGTAGTTACATCTGATTAATTCCATAACGAATGTTTGTACAATTCAATGTTCGTAAAAAAGTAGTTGTTTCGAAAGTACTTTTGCTTTCGTGTAATTCAATGTTTATATGAAAGTAGTTGTTTCGAGAATAGTACATATCGACGATAGTACATATGCACCTCTCATGTGGTAGCCACTATATGCAAAATACTGAGCCATAAATACAAGTGAATTGAATTAATTTTTTACACTGCACATTTTAGAATATCTGTCAAACTCTTATAAAAATTGATACAATTGTCGTTTGAAGTATTTAATAAAGATAAACTTTGTTTTTTACACTAAGGAATTTGGACGAACTGAATTGAATAGTTATCACGATAAGATTAACTTGACGCAACGCAGTAAGCCATTACGCGTCGCGTCTACTGTAAGACGACGGGAGACGATGCGCGGGGATAGAGGGGGAGTCTAAGCAATGAAGCACCATCGTTGAGAACGCGGGCAGACGCTTGAGGGCAGACGTCGTTGACGGTTGTGGTAGTTTTGCGAATTTCTTTTTAGGTAACAAACTGACGAAATTCAATACAGTCTTTGAACGCCTATTTCATCCTTGGGGTGGGAATTTTTTATTTCCATCATTGATGCTTATTTACGCTATACAAAGAACTTATCTACATATTTCAAGATTCTAGGTCCAGTAGCTTAGGCTGTACGTTAATATAAGAGTGTTAGTTAATCAATAGGTACCCACTTATACAATACTAGCTGTTCCCCGCTGTTTTACCCGTGATTCCGTGGAAATCTACCCTATGTGTTACGTGCCTACCCTATGTGCTATAAAATGGCCTTCCAGATCTCATGATTCAATACCACTCGACTGAAGAATATCTGGAAACTGTGGCTAACTTCACACTAATTGTTTGAGAAGCATTCGAATCGAAGTGGTATATACTCGTTATCACCTTTGCATATGAAAGATGATAGTGATACTTTTGAACAGTTTATAAAGTAAGCGTATTTCTTTCAATCTTCTGTAAGTTGCTTTTTATTTTTTTTTATTCGGCAATCTTGGTGGACCTTTTGAATAATTAACAATTTATCGTCTGCCCTTTCTATTTTATTTTTGTTGGGATTGCTAAAAAGTTTCTTTACCGCAACTGACCTGGTTTTGAAATTTCCTGAAAAGGGAACTAAACCAGAAATATTCAAAATGAATATTCACCCTATTTGATGAGTCTGGGAAATCTGACCTTTGCGAGATGAAACTTTTGAAACTTGTGATACATCTTTGATTAACTCTACTTAATTCGTTTCGCCTGCGCTGTGGCAACATTCATCAAAAATCAAAGACAAAATTAAAAACAAAAATGCAATTGGAAGCAGTTTCCATTATTTTTGTTAAAAATGGCGTAGTCCACTAGTCCATCCATTCCTAGTAAAACGGATTATCACAAATTGAAAATTAGATATACATACTTTGCTGGGTGTTTTTGAAGCTCAAGAAGCTTTCAACATTCGTTTATTGATTGTTATAGAAATAACTTTTTGTACATAAAATGAATACATGAAGTGAAAAATAAAAGAAGAAACAAAATTTTAGGAATTTTCTTAAATGAAAAGTGACGTGGGAGTAATAGTTGTAAAAGTAAGAGTTGAATAATTACAATAATTATTTGAAAACCAAAACCTCTAACGAATAAAAGTAATCATTCTGAGGGACTGAATATTCATTTTATGTAAAAAAAGTTATTCGCGATATCTGAGAGCAGCTCCAAGCGTTTAAGCTGCAAGTTTTTTTGCTTCTTTTTCACTTAAACTTACTCGACTTTGGTGGTAGTGGTGGTAGTTGTCCTATATCGTACATCACAAGGGGCAGGGGCGGGGTTCACGGGTAGAAAAAAGGAAAAAATCAAAATGAAAAATATTTTCGTAAAAACATCAAAAATCAGAACACTAAATTACAGGGGAGCTACAAAAATTGTAACATACAAGTTTGATTACTGAAAAACACGACGTTTGGTTGTAAGAGGGGTGGGGAAAAACTTACGTTTTTCTGCAAAAGTGAAAACACAAGGTATCAATGAAAAGTCGTCAATTCGACGGCCATCCTGCTTTGAGAATCTTAGTTCAACTTATACCTTTTTCGAATGTTTCAAAACTATGTAAAATTTATTATTCTATAAATGTTTCAAAATCTCAAAGAAGGCACATCGTTCAGAACCAAATGGTGTTTCATGAAACACATGCTTGTTAATTCTTTACATCTCTCTAAACTAGACAAATATTAACATATTTTTTATCTTCAATACATCGAAGTAAAATTATCTCTTTCTTTCTATTAATTAACTTTTAGACTCTCTATATTCTGAAACGGCACGAGCTTTTCATATTTATATTACTAATACTAATTTTATGGAAGTATTATTTTCATCAGAATTAATGTTCCAATATAAGTTTGCTGTTTAACCAACATTACATCAGAAGCTTTTATGAATCTTAACGATGATTACTTACGTTTCGACGACTTCATCTTCCTCCTCCTCTTCTTCGCTAAAATTTTAAAAGAAAAATTTGAACACATGGACTAACATATTTCGTTGCAGTTAGCAACAAAGCTCAAGGGACACGAAAAAACGAAAAATAAATCAAACTAAAACAAAAAATCGTCGGGTAGGATTCATTGCGTTAAGCTTTCTTGTTGGTTTTTCGTAAATTTGACTTACGAGTAAACTTCTTCTTCGTCAGACATGGTTATAGGGATTTAAGTAACTCTGTAACGAAAAAAGATGATTTATCAATGGTTGCTGTGTCAATACTGAATAAATTTGAATCGGTCCATAATATAAATAAAACAGCGGCCTAAGAAGTTCTCGAAACTTGGACGTTGAACAAACAATGTGGGATATATTTAGGCCGAGCTATGCAGATTCTGCGAATGATTGTATTTTTTTGTAGTCCCATCGAATATATTTTCGTGTTCATTCAATCAATCGAAAATTTTCGCATTCCATTATGTTACATGTAGAAGACTAAAGGGTTCTACACAAAAATATTTTATACTGTGATTAAACTCCTACATTGTTTCGTATGAACGTTGATATTCATTGTAGTTCAGAATAAATTTAATTTTTTCTTTCTCAGGTCTAATCATTAGATCTGTTACACTTTTCTAATTGTAAAATCAAATAACGTGTTTGGTAAAATTACGTTTAATTGGGATTCTTTCAAAAGCTACTTTAATTTATTTTCAGTTTCAATCTCTTTTGCAAACATTAATAAATAGTACACAATGTTTAGATTATTCATAAGTTCAACGTCAATTGGCGAATCCAGATATTTGGAAATTGGGAACGAAGTCATTATTTTTCCATCAAATATAAATGAATGTTTGGGTGGGAGTATTATGCGAGCACAAGATTCTAGCTGGGCCATCCAAAAGTGAAAATTACACCAACGGCCGACTGTGGACGTATTTGGCAGCGCTCATTGGAAGAGTTTATTCTTAGAGTCAACGTCTGTTATTTTACCCAGCTAAAAATAAAACTTCACACATAAACTAGCGAAATTAGGTTCATATTTGTATACATAGTATTGAACTCTTATTAGCTCTGTTTAAAATTATTTCATACTTGATTTACCTACACCTGAATATGTATGATATCAAAACTGATGTTTTCAAAATGTAAAAGAATAATTTTTTCACTTGATATTTTTGGTATTAGGATCTTCCACATTATACTAATATATGAAAAGCGGAAAAGAAAAGTACTGCACTGAAATGAAAGCAGTTTTTGAAAGGAAAATAACACCAAATTATTCTGCAAATTGTTAACCATAAAAAAACTGATTAGTCTCCACAATTTATGACTTTCAAATATTCCGTGTATTTTTTCTAAATATTACCTATAAATACTCAATTTGTACGTTGATGAAATTTATTGGCAGTTATTATGGAACATTATAAATGAGTCTTCTTGTGAATCTCAAGTTCTTCGTACTTAGAAAGTTTCTTTAAATGAGTTGCATATTCTATTGAAGCATTATGCATTTCTACCGTGCATAATGCTTCAATAGCTTCAAAAACCAAGACGAGCTTAAGTTGAAGAAATTTCTTTTTTTTGTTACCCGACAAAATGATATTTTGCATTTTTCATAATAATGCAGAAGATGCGAGCGGTTATAAAAATGCTTGTTTCGTCACTTGCACGAGTAGTGCACAATATAAAAGTTTCGGAGCGAATATGCATCGTCAGACTCGAATTCGATTGTTAGTATGTCCTCAAAAGGAAGCGTATTAAGCTGATGGCAATGAAAAATAGACTTACAGCAGACGACAGAGACGGTCCAGGAGCACCACACAACTCAGGGAGCCCGCAGTGACTGCTTTAATTGTAGCTCGGATTCCCGGAGAAGAGTCGCAGGTGCGTGCGCAGTACACCCACACCTCGATGGGTATTTTTATTTAGAAATAGATAGAATAGACTAGTTTTACGTTTCTATATACCTACTTTTGCATATTCCTGTGTATTTTGTAAAGGCGATACCAAAGCGACACCCTATCAGGCTGTTGATCTCATTTGAAACAACGGATCGATCAATCTGATGAGAATCTCGTATGAGTACGAAGCTAGTTTTTATGGAGATGCAAAACGCTGCAGGAATAACCCTTAGGGTAAGGCTTGTGCAGAAATGCCGCTGTGAAATCGTCTTGGCACGTTCATTCTTCAAGGTTGTCATTCTCCGAATGAAGATAGTCTCAAAAAGTGTAGGGGAATGGAACTGAACCTCGAAGCGATAGACAACTCTGTAATTTTCTGCGTATTTCTGATAAATGTTGTTCTCAGATCATTAAAAGGACTAAGTGACACATTTTCTATGGTGTCTATAGAAGAGTGGAAAGTTCCTAACCTTCCATCAATTCAGAAAATTGCTTGCGATATTGGATTTCAAGCCTGGTGAAGAGTTCTACTCAAATATAATTCAGCAACTACGGGGTATACCTGCGAACATATGCGTGATACATTCAGAATTTTTTTTCGATCTGTCAATGAAAGGAACGTCTACTACAGGACAAAATTTGAAATGTTCATTTCAATTTTCAGGGCATGTTACGATACTTCCTATCATTCAAAATGGAGAGTTTGTATTAGCGATTTTTTCGAAGTTTTTATATTACACTGTACTAGCTGTAAACAATCAACAATTTCCTGCACCTTACAGATGTCAGGTAGCACACTTTTTTATCTAAGATATGCGGTGGATACTCTTAAAAATTAATTCTAATATAGAATAACCATTTCTGTACATTTTTTGGAGCCATATCCACAAATCCTGGTCTTCTCGCTGTTCCATTATCCTATCTTTATTGCCTAACATGTATTGAAGTGAACGAGCAGTTTTGAAAACTAATGTTATAAATAGATGTTAGAAAATTGCTTTCAATGAAAGTCTGTGAATGATCCTTTCAGTACCTATTTCTTTCACTGAAATGCAAACCTGATTTTTTACTTAAATGATCTTTTCAAATATTGTTTTTGTTTTCAGCCTATCTTCTTGCCAATCAACAAGATATTTGATCATAATTTTACAAAAATTTTTCTTCAAAAATACCAATTGTATAATATCCAAATCAGTGCTATTTTTATAACTTAACTGCTTGCTGCCACCAAACGAGTTGAAATAGTATCAACTGAATTTAAGAAATCTAACCAAGTCGTGATTTATGAATTTTACAAATGAATATTACTGGGATTACATTCCAGTATTAATTACTAGACCAAATAGTGCATCACAAGTAAATTTTACAAATAGACAACTTATTTTTAGGATATTTTTAGTTTTGATGATCGGTAGTAAAACATCAGTTAAGAATAATAATCTCATTTTATTCAATAAATATGTATATATAAGGTCAACCCTATGAGTTCATCAAGAAAGTAGATTGAAAATAAATAGTATTTGGGAATAACAATGAATGAAGTAGATAAAAATGAATATTTCAATAACTTTCATAGAATAGACCCTCTAACACTTCACAACATACAAATAGATAAAAAATCTCATGTTAATAACAAATACTATGAATACTATTATTATCACCACTGTGTCAAGTGCACTTTCATCACGAATTATATATAAATAACAATATCGAAAATTAAACAAATCGCATATCTGCAAAAAAGTTAGTTGATTTACGCGCTCATAAAAAACTGACATGTTCGAATTGTTTCAGATGAAAATCTGGTTGTTATTTAGATTGTCTCTGATATTTTGTTATAGGCAAAGAATCATTTCATTTGCTATTGTTTCAAAGACTAAACATCTTCACAATTTTTCATTAGTGATTCATATTGAGCAAGTCACTTTATTTCAATAATTTTGTATTTTTCGAAAAATTTGCTATTTGTGGGTCAATTTTGAATTTGTAAAGTTTGTCAATTATTTTTCAATTTGTTACATGAATGGATGCTACATGAATGCTCCATGGTGCTAAACGTGCTGAAAGCAGTTCTCTAATAAAAAATATACAAAATAGCTGCAAATGCCACTCACGTTAAAAAAAACGAGTGAATCAAAAATAGAATATATCACCACCGTGCACTGAGTTCATGTTTTCATATTGTTTCAAGAATAAAAATCAAATAGACCATATATATGAAGAATCGTTCCAAATGGCAACTTTCGATAACAAATTCTTCGGCCAATTCAGTATCTATTTCTTCGCAACCAGTTCACGACAGAATCAAGATGTTTTGTTTTCCAGTTGATCTTCACTTTTATCCTATCAACCGTGCTCTGAAGAACTCCGGCAATTGACTTTAGATCGTTTTGGTGCAGCTTGTAGAAAGTAGTCAGCTGAAATAGATTAGTTTGGTTATTATCTTGGTTTAACATCAATCCAAGCGAAATTAATTCTATGATATATGCAAGAAATATATTTCAGAAGATCATATGTATTTGTGAATTATGTCGGTTTGGCCATCACTGCAAATATTTCATACACAAGGTCTATACTTACATCTTCCAAATCAGCTTCTGTAGACAACTGACCAATGAAATCGTGGAATATGGAACTTAAAACCAAGTAGACTTCTTCGTACTCTTTGTAGATCCTATCCCAATTGAGTCTAAGGAACTGGAAGCCCGTCCTTACCCCAACGGAATGGCTGATGGACTGCCAAACGTACGGAACGTACTCTAGACTAATGTTACCACTGAGTGAATATTCCAAGTATCTAAAATAAATGGTGAATAAAAAATGAATCAAGAAAAACTGTCTCGGAGAATATTCACCTGTTAATTAACCACGGGTCATAAGAACATCCCAAACTAAGGTACGCTGTTTGCAAGTCTATCGAGGATACGCTCGGAGACAGGGTCCTATTCCACAGAAAGTCCCATTCTAGAGGTCCCCCCGATTTGATGGCGGTGCACTGTGCTATGTATCGGTAGTCTACAGATATTCTGAAACATGAAACGAAAAAGTATGCAGTGATATCAAAGAAGTAGGCAACATCTGTTTTTTTTTTTCATCAACAAACACCCGAAATTAGACTTGGTGATTGGTTTTTCTTTCAACTAGGAAATAATTATATGAACACTTCTCATCATTTGTCGTAAACGAGCGCCTCACAACAGGTCTTGCATCTGGTGTCAGTGACCTATGTTATACCCTTCTTGCGACTACGTTAAACCAAGGTGTTGAAGACACAGGCCATGATGAATATCTCAGTTTCCGACTCGAACCCACTTAATCTGAGGAAGGCAAAGGCCAGTTGTTTTGATAAGTTGAAGTCTTCAATTGTTAGGTGAAGAAGACACTTTGCATCGACTTATCGTTGTGTAGCTACAAGAGTGAAGTGATTATTGCGGCTTTGATGTGGGCTTTTTGCTGAACGGGTTTCACTTCGGTGACAACGTTCAGTGTGGAAATCCAAACGAAGTTCATTAGCCACTATCAAGTTGGATACAATACAGCGAACACCGAATCATTTCTCAATACATTTTTTCCGTTTTGAGAAATTCTTCGAAAATATGAATTAATACTCACTACAAATTACCTAACTAATTCCATCCATTTATTGTAAATAAGAGAAGGGGCGATAAAAAGTGTATCCGATTGATATACTTTTATGAAGATAGATTTTAATGCCGAATGACTTACGGATTGATGGAATCGGGATCGTCTTGCTGCATCCACTCGAAATACTGGTTCCTGGCCCAAGAGATGCATTTGCCGTACCGCAGCTTGCAGGCAGACGTAACGATATGCAGCCTCAACAACTTCTCGTTTTGGGTGTCGTAAACCCTCTGCTCGGTCGTCAGCTCGTTGAACATCGGTTTGACGAGCTTCAGCAGGAAATTGTCGTACAGTCCGGAGTACTCATAGTTGCTGATGATGTCTCTGAGGTCCTCCATGTTTCGGAGGGCACTGTACCAGGGAATATAATTGGGCTCTGTTATGTAGAGGTATTTCACCAGGTCGAAGGCTATAGTGTAGTTGATGTAGCCGGCGTCGGCCAGGTGGAAGGCATCGTCGATGAGTTGACCCCTGTTAGCTACTGGTATGGAACCCGGGCTTCTTCGTAGCTGGTAAATCAAGAGTTTCCAGTTTTCTGAGTCGTAATTTACCCTGTAGAAACCTGTGGAAAACGTATAGATGAATAGCCAGTCGCCACAAATTTCAAATAGCCAGTCGCGAGAAATTTCAGGAGATAGTCGACGCGACGTCAAAATCCGGGGAAATCTTATAATGAAACAAACGGAGAACGAGAGATGGTAACGCAGTTCAATGTGTACGTTTCCTCATAAGCATTTAGACAACATTTCATGTCTGTACCAGTGTTTGTCCTTAAATTATTCAAGAATTTCAACTGTTTGGATTAAGACAGAGACCGGTAAGAAAATGCCAATATTGCGCACGTTCTCAAGTACGTACTATTTCTTCTTCTACAAGTAATCTAATTCCTACATCTGGAAATACTGTTTGATGAGTTATTTGAATTCCGTTGATGGTGTTTTGAATAAGCTAAGTGTAAAAATTTTATTTTTACAATCACTTATTTTATTCAAAGGAAAAGTTTGTGAATACGACAAGTTACTGACTAATTCGACTCTTATGATTAGATATGCAGATGATATATTGAAACATAGACTCGTAAAAAACAATTTTACCGCGAATTGCTGAATTTAAACAAATTCTGTTTCCAACTTTGAAAGTAAAGGAAATGAAACTGAATAAAGCAAAAAAAACAGTTTGTCAACATTCACAACCCACCAGTTTCATCGATATTCAACAGAATCCAAGAGTCATTTCCTACTGCTTTCAAATCCAAACTAGTTTCCTTGATGTTTTCCAGCCACAGCTGCTGCACTTTTCCGTTTCCTTCCTTAGTAAGGTACGTGATGGGTATGTACCACGACTCATCGGACGTGATGTTTGCATCTTCAGTCATTTTTGTTTGGTTTATCGTTGCCATTCCAGATGCGTAGTCTCTGGAAATTGTTACAAAGGGATAACCGCTTTGAAGAGTCCAAGAATTCATGAGGGCCTTCACCGTGACGGTATCGGGAATCAGACTTTGATTTAGAGCTTCCGTCGTGTACAGAGACCAGAGGTCATCCTGAGTGGCAGTTTGGTACGCACTGAAAAGACGCATTAGCTAATATGATTTCAAACGGTATGCAAGTCAATATAAAAACGTTTGTTTTTGGAAACGAGTGATCAAAACTCACTATTTTTTGAGATATTGTTGTAATCCTCTTTTGAAGACATCCTGGGTCAAGGTGGAGTTCAGCATTTTCAGGATACTGCTTCCCTTCTGGTATATAATAGCATCAAACATCTGCTCGATTTGGGCGATATTGGAGACCTCTGTCTGAATACTGTGCGTTGACTTTAGACTGTCGTAGTAGAGGGTATTGTAAGTATCTCGAATCTTGACGCTGCTGTAGGCGTGCCATTTGGGTCTGAGCTAAAAGAAAGATTGCACTTGCGAACTTTTCATCCAGAAACTCTCCATGTAACATAAAAGATATTTTACCGTTTAGCGACACAAAATCATAAATAATCGAAAAAACTTCTTTGTTTCAGTATCTATCTACTGAAAATATATAAAGAACAAAATAACAACAAAAGCAGAACTTGATTAAGTCATTTAATATAATCATATTGCAGCTTTGAATCGCACAATCGAATTGTGTAGCTAATCAGACAACAAATAACACTTTATTGTTCAGAAACTTCTTCTGAGAAGAGGATCTTTTTCAACATAGAGTACTGCATTTGTGAAAAATATTCAATTTTTTCAATAATTGCTCTATCTTTGAATATTTTCTTTTTCTCAAACACATTGTATGAAGAATGTAAACACTGATGAATAAAAACTTTCCAATAACTCGTACACTGATGTAGATCATACGCAGGTGATACTTTCACTAAAAACACATGTACAGTGTTTATGATTGAGTTTTATATTATTGCATTTTCATTTATCACCTAGAGTTGAGTTTCCCTTGATTCTAATTGTTTCAACTTTGAATATGATTAGTTGTTTCCGTTGGGCTTTCAGATTTGTATCTAACAGAGACATCTGAGGATATTGTACATATTTCTACAGTAAGTTTTCTCTGGTATCAAATGCAAGTCGCCAAACTCCGAATGTTACGCAAAATAAAAGTGGTATTCAAAACAATGTTTCCATTAATGAATCATTTCATTGCTCATCTTTGTCACTGAGAAATCACTTAATTATTTACGCGGTAAAGATAATGATAGCATATACTTACACTTGTTATTGCTACTTCGGATATGAAAGTCCCAAATCCTTCATTCAACCACAAGTCTGACCACCAATCCATCGTCACGAGATTCCCGAACCACTGATGGGCCAGCTCATGGGCAATTTTAGCCATTATGAAACTTCGTGTTTTTATACTATTAGACATCGGGTCGAAAAGAATTGACGATTTTCTGAAAAAAGTAATCTTTTATGCCGAAGGATGTTTATGAGCGGACTAGAGTGAGAAGCTGAATCTAATCATCTGATGATGTCAATTCGGTTAGCAGAATGTGTGTTTTTGTTCTAGAATGAGAAGGTACTGATATGCATGGCACATGTTGACTCGAAAAAAGTGCCAGTACCTTAAATATATTATTACTAGCTAAATGTCGTGTTAGTTGAGTTGAATTAACTTTTTATAGTGTTTGGGAAGCACGAAGTCGGGCCATACCAACACGATTAGTGTTGCCAAGTCATTTTCATGTTGAGCAGTAATTTGTGTCAAAAGAAAACAAAAGATCGATACAAAAACAGTACAAAATATATGAATGAGTGTTAAGTGACTTTCGTATTCATAAGTATAGATTACAGTAGAAACGGAAGCAATTACCTAAAAAGAATTGACGATTTTCTGAAAAAAGTAATCTTTTATGCCGAAGGATGTTTATGAGCGGACTAGAGTGAGAAGCTGAATCTAATCATCTGATGGTGTCAATTCGGTTAGCAGAACGTGTGTTTTTGTTCTAGTGTGAGGAAAGTATTTTTTTCGGGTTCATTTCACGTCGGAGGTTCCAATTTCACTTGTCAAATTAGAATGAGAAGGTACCGATATGCATGGCACATGTTGACTCAAAAAAAGTGCCAGTACCATGAATATATTATTACTATTTGAATAAAATATATGAATGAGTGTTAAGTAACTTACGCATTTATAAGTATAGATTACAGTAGAAACAGAAGCAATTACCTGAAGGAGATCAAACCCCAATTTTCCATGGCAGCCTTACCAAAGTTGGGAACTGCTAACATATCTAGTTTAGGCAGCGGATATTTCATTCCAAAAAAGTCCTCCATGAACTCCATCACCTCCAGGGTGACGTCCAGAGCATACTGTGCCATGCTAAGGTCTCCTTCAGGCGCCCAAACTTTGATCACTGTATCGAGATTGGTGGCGTTGGGAGAAATACTCTTCATGTCGCTAATGGTGAAGCCGACAAGGTAAGTCGACATTGGAGGAGTTGCATGGAAGTGGTCCCACACCCAGTCTAATGTTCCGTTACTGAAAAATCCATGTCTCTAAACACATTGATTTCTTGAACTAGCATCAATATACGTACATTGGTTCTGTTTCTTTCAAGGGCATATTGGATAAAACCGTCATGTTCGTTCTTCTTGCCACGCTAATTTCGAAGGGAGCCTTGAAATTTGGTTCATCGAAACATGGAAACACTCTTCTAGCGTACACCGGTTGGAAATGGGTTGTGGCCAACCATCTGGTATATCAGCAAACAAATCAAGATTAATTTTCAGCTATAATAGCCAGTGTCACATGTTACGAACAGATCAAGTCAAATCAAAAGATAATTGCATCTCATCGACAAAGTCTTATGTAATAAGTAATAATTGTGGTGGCTGAAAAATATATATATATATTTTTCTACTCCACACTAAAACCAGTATATGGAAGACTCTCGAAATACTGAATTTATTCTGTTATTAGTTTGTACATGTTTAACATTTGAAAACTCGTCAAAGCAAACTCGAAACGTTCTCACACAACTTACTTTTCATTTCCGGACAAATCTTTATAGCTCGTCTTATACAAGCCCACCAGGTTGTCCAGAATATCCCCGGAATATTTGATGTCAATTGTATATGTCCCCCCTGAAAGAAGGGGGTCACTCATAGATATCTTCAGTTTCAGGTGTTTGTTGTCTCTGATAACGCTCTCCACTCCCAAATACACTTGCTCTGTTTGAATGACTATTTTTTCGGTGGAAGGCTCCACGACGGGTGATTCGGTGGTTTCGATTTCAATTTCTTCAATGTTTGAAGCGTTTGTAGGGGTGCTTGCTGTAGTGGTGAGGGTGTTTGCTAGGGAGGCGGAGGCTTCTGTGGAGTTGTCATCTTCGAGTGCCTGTGTCAGGTTGATTGGTTTTTCGGTTTCGACTTCTCTCCGCGATATATTGTGTACTCCAATTTTTGTTTCATTGGACGTCAACGGTTCTGCATTTATTTCTACCTGAGAATAATAGTTTTTTTGTATTATTAGAAACGCGAGCCAAAAAAGAAAAATTCGACGGCAACAGTAGGGACTGTTGGAAATATTTGAAAACAATTTATAGACAATTAAGAACTTGATCTTCTGAAGATTGTGGACAGTGAAGGTCGATAAAAAACTGATTTACCTCTACAAAAAACGATGTTTGTTCAATATATAAATAAGCTAAAAAAGGTTTCAACAGTTACTTTACAACATCTCCTCATTGTACAAACTTGGTTAGTGAGACACTTGTCAAAAATATTAATACGGTCCTGATATGTAGAAAAAGTGTTGAAATGCAAAGAAAGAAAAAATGTACCTACTACCAATGGAGAAAAAAGTGTATATAGTTTAGGCCTGAAAAAAGGTTAAAAAACAAAAACGGGCAGACTATAAAAAATGGTGTAGTATTGAAAAACATAACGATCGTTTTAAAATTTAAACTGAAAATTAGAAATTGCCATTGCACATGTTACATAATTTTAGGAGAATGGAAAGAATGCATTTAATCTTAATGTAGCCACAAGTATGAAGTATTTTATATAGTTTTTATGGAATTTACTCACGTATTTTGTTGTATAAATCCGAATATTAGAGTCCGTTATATTCAAATCATCCCAGTGCAGTACAATTCTGTCGGTAGTTTGTGTACAGTTCACCTGGATCTGGACGTGTCCTGTGAAAGTAAAATTATTTTCGTTATTTTCGTCCAACAGAGGGTACACTCGAAGTCTGTAGTAAATCGGATACAGGAATTTGGGGAGTCTCAATTCTTCTTGTGGTTTTTCTTCATTCAATGTATCATTGAGGAGTTGCTCGATGTCATTTGATTCGATTATGATCTGAAAGAGAGTAAATGTTTCAAAAGTATTTACTTTTCCCACTGACAAAAGATAAAGCGCGGAAAACTGTTGTAGAATTGCTAATTCAACTATATAATGAACAATGCCCTGAAGATTGTCTAAATAAAATATAACATAAAAGTAATGTATTTATTTTTGTAGCCTAACTTGATGATTCTGAAAATATATTTCCTATTATGCAAATCAGATGCGAACTCTTAGGAAAATTGTAACTATTCAATTTCATTTCTAGTTTTTTGTGGGTCAATGTTAGTAGATGCTCATCGAGTTGCTTCTTCATTATGTAATGTCCTAAATTAACGTTATTCTAATCGTCCAATGGCTGCACTTATAAGAAAATGATTGATTGAATCATTAGAAATTGTATATAATTGACATTTCAATTAGACGCCTCCATAATGAATACTTGCAAGAATTATGAGATGCATCGAACCGTGTGAAATTCATCTTTCCTGAAAAAGTGCAAATGTTACACTTGGTTTACGGAAAATTCATTTTAAAACAAAGGGAACATAAATTATACAGGGAAATTACAGAAACTGGAATTGAATAAGGAATAAACCTTAAATATTAACAGCTAATACCCGATTGGAAATAAACGACAGGCGTCGAATTTTCTCTCTGTTTAGAAATAGATTGTTGTATCAGAATTAGTTTTGAACTATCTCCTTATACGTTCGAACTCTAATTTCAACTCATTTCACGTTGTTCCTTCATAGATAATATCGGTGCTTATTGTTAACCTCGTACTTTAGTGTTAACAGATTATTATGTGACAAAAAGCACTCAAAACAGTTTCCTGGGGTATTCTAAAGATAATTTATTTTCGCCGTCTTGTATACTTGTTTAATGATTACATAAGTAATGTGATATACATTATCTAAATCTTTATCAAATTTCAAGAAGAAAATTCGGAAAGTATCTACTTCTATTATTTTTTCTTGCGAAGGTCAAAGTTAAATTTATTTGATAATTTCGAACTAACGTTAAATCATTACTATTTGTTAGTAGGTATATATTGAAGATATCTACAACCATGCTTGGAAGTTAAAAGTATGCGATAACGATAATTAGTCACAAAGTGATTAATATAAACAAAACACGTACTGAAAGAAAAATGGTGGTCGTGTCACGTATTGAACAAACACGTTTGTTCAAATGGACAATCAATCCTTCCGTATTCATCAATAAATATTTAACTAACTCGAAATTGATAGTTCAGATTAAGTGATCTCACGTTGAAAACCAATTTCCGGTATGTTCATACAAACTGCAGAGTTCTAAGAAAACTGCTCATTCAAAAAATAAGAAAAGACACATGCATATATTTCAAAACTACCAGCAATTCTCTTGGTGAGAAACTAAAAATTCAAATTTAATTACCGATAACCTACCTAGGTTTCGAACTAAATATGTTGTAATAAGTTAGATTTCGGTTGAATTTGGATCACAACCTTTAAACGTTATTCTAATCGTCCAATGGCTGCACTTATAAGAAAATGATTGATTGAATCATTAGAAATTGTATATAATTGACATTTCAATTAGACGCCTCCATAATGAATACTTGCAAGAATTATGAGATGCATCGAACCGTGTGAAATTCATCTTTCCTGAAAAAGTGCAAATGTTACACTTGGTTTACGGAAAATTCATTTTAAAACAAAGGGAACATAAATTATACAGGGAAATTACAGAAACTGGAATTGAATAAGGAATAAACCTTAAATATTAACAGCTAATACCCGATTGGAAATAAACGACAGGCGTCGAATTTTCTCTCTGTTTAGAAATAGATTGTTGTATCAGAATTAGTTTTGAACTATCTCCTTATACGTTCGAACTCTAATTTCAACTCATTTCACGTTGTTCCTTCATAGATAATATCGGTGCTTATTGTTAACCTCGTACTTTAGTGTTAACAGATTATTATGTGACAAAAAGCACTCAAAACAGTTTCCTGGGGTATTCTAAAGATAATTTATTTTCGCCGTCTTGTATACTTGTTTAATGATTACATAAGTAATGTGATATACATTATCTAAATCTTTATCAAATTTCAAGAAGAAAATTCGGAAAGTATCTACTTCTATTATTTTTTCTTGCGAAGGTCAAAGTTAAATTTATTTGATAATTTCGAACTAACGTTAAATCATTACTATTTGTTAGTAGGTATATATTGAAGATATCTACAACCATGCTTGGAAGTTAAAAGTATGCGATAACGATAATTAGTCACAAAGTGATTAATATAAACAAAACACGTACTGAAAGAAAAATGGTGGTCGTGTCACGTATTGAACAAACACGTTTGTTCAAATGGACAATCAATCCTTCCGTATTCATCAATAAATATTTAACTAACTCGAAATTGATAGTTCAGATTAAGTGATCTCACGTTGAAAACCAATTTCCGGTATGTTCATACAAACTGCAGAGTTCTAAGAAAACTGCTCATTCAAAAAATAAGAAAAGACACATGCATATATTTCAAAACTACCAGCAATTCTCTCGGTGAGAAACTAAAAATTCAAATTTAATTACCGATAACCTACCTAGGTTTCGAACTAAATATGTTGTAATAAGTTAGATTTCGGTTGAATTTGGATCACAACCTTTGAGTAGTTGACCTTCCTGTACTTGTTGACTGAGATGAATTCGTAATTCAAAAAAAAAATAAGAATGCAATTTTTCTAATTGAAAAGTGCAATAATTTGTCGTGAAGTGAAACCAAACTACAAAATTTTCGACAATTCGACCTCCTTTTAAGGTGAAATCGGCACACTTCGGCATATATTCTACGCATAGATCGAGAAATAATAAACAAAATAGTGAATTTTGCATCTCATTTGCATTGTAATGTTGTAAAAAACCTTAGAAACTTGAGTATCCACAATATAATGAGGTTTCACGTGATGACTTTGATATGCTGTATATTTCAATGACTAATATCGTTATTATTATATAATGAATTCAAAGACCGTGACATCATATTGAAATTCTATAGTAATCTGTTGATGTTCACTCTGTTCGAGTTTCGATGATGATGAATCTCCATTTTTTTAATAAACAAGTTTTAATAATCACCTTAGTTATATTGTAAATAAATAAAGATCATTGTATTTTTCTATGAGTACAAAGAGTTGTACATAAAAATGATTTATTGATTTACGAGTAATTAAATCTTCAAGATCATTCAAAATTGACTTCTCATCGAGACAGGTCGTATCAGAGCAATCTGTTCCACTGGAAAAATAACCTCAACATCATTCTCTAGGTCATTCTCTTGAATTGGATAACTCATTCGAGAGATAAATTTTGAACTGGGAAATCATATTTGAGTGAAATTTCCTTCTTCAATCGAAATATCGTGTTTGAGATAATTCTCAAAATTTTTCCATTTCGGTGAATTAGTTTGAGACGCTTGGTGGTATTTAAAAATCATGTTTCATAATTTCACCCTATTAAAGGGCTGATTCAGTAAAAATTAGAAAAGAGGTTTCACCCCTAATACATTTTTCAAAGCTGAAATGATTCTCTAGATTCTAGACAATATGGAGTGGCACTTACTGTTTGACTTTCGGTTTTTGGTCCATAGTAGTACATGAGAAGAACCACCGTGATCAGCGATGCTAAGGCAAAAACTACAAAAGCAATAGCCTTCTTGGTAGTAACAAAACATCCTCCGTTTCTGTTGTATTGCAAGATTGTTTCATCGGAGAGGAACTCCAATCTGTTGGAATGGTAGCCACCTCGACCCATTTTTTATTTCTGAAAAATATGAAGTACGATTCATTATGTCAAAAATCTTCGACCTTGTATTTTTCAAGAATGTGAATAATAAAACAATATTACTCAGTAAAACTATAACCTCTGACAAAGTAAATCTATTGACACGACAACTATATACTTAGGTACATATAAAAATATATTCTCAACGCAATTTTTGCCAACCGTATTGGTTTCATTGGAAGATTTAATCTTCATTTGTTAATGGAAAAATGATTTTCAAGTAATTTATTCAACCAAATTACCAATTAATAGTAGTAAAATTGGAAAATATTGGTTGGTTTAATATTATCATATTCGAAAGATTCAATTCGATTATAGCTGACTTTTTCAGGACTCTTGAATGTAGTTACTTACGTATTTTTTTAATAACTGCAGACGTTACTTTATTTCACTTGAACCATTTGGGATAACACTTTGAAATTCTAGGTAAAGAAATATTAGCAAACAAGAAGTTGCCTTATTGAATAGATTGAAATACACGAGGTGATTAATTTGAAAACAACGTGCACTTTTACACATGTTTATCGTTTATCCGAGCATGCCAGTCATTCGGAAATATCGCGAAGTTTATGGAACAAGATATCTGGGTATTTCTTCTTGTGTGAATAACTCTGTTACTGGAATTTTCGTGGCAAGAATACTCCCGCTACGTACGTGGAATTCCTGTTGACACAGGTGACAGTGAACAACCTTCAACAAATGACTAATGAAATATAAATAAAATACATGCATTAGTTTTGTCAATTAAATCAGTTGTTATTATCTTTTCAATGTTTCTAATGGGTTTTTTCTACACCGGAGATTCCAGTTGTAGCTTTCAGAAAAATATTACAAAAAAATATGTTTAGCTATTTGCTTTTTGACATGGCATTCTTGGTGCGTACCTATTCAAGAAAAACTTTATTGTGGGATTTTCACTAAGCAATGAAAAAATTTCTAGAATGGTTCAAATAGTTTTTGAGTTACCACTACAAACAAATAAATAAACAAGTAGTTTGTCTTTATAATATTAATTCAAAAAAGTCTGACATTTTATATCGGGAGACCTTGGCGGTCATTTATTGAATTCCTTCATCAGATATTGAATGAATATTACTGGAGTTTTAATAACCAAGTGATAATCTTCAAGAGGAAGATGAAGTTTAATCGTGCCGACGTGTTAAAACTAACGGTTTGGTGTCGGGATAAAACTTCAGTAATATTCATTACTACTCCAAAAGTTCCAAATAGTGATCACAAGTGATCAGATATTGCCTGACATCTCTATCACGAAAGGAAGGAGCACCATCGTGTTGGAATCATCAATGGAAATCAGTTCAAATATTCAATGAACAATTATTCATTTCCAAGCATACTATATTTTGAGTTTGATTTTGTCGGCAGTAACGTGGGATTTCCCAATTTCGACAATTTTGTTTTCTGACAATGTGGAGTCATCAGAAAACATTACATCGTTTAATCGGTAGAATACGATATTTTATTGATTGACTTTTAGTTGATTAATAGTAATTTCCATGCTCTAGTTAAGGCTATTCGACACAGTTCTAACTGGTACTGGATCATGATAACATAGCTGTTGAGTTTTATTATCAACCTGTTTACTTGATAAGTTCGATAGAAAATACAAACAAGTGTGTATAATGAAGAATCCCTCACAAAATCAATTGAAACCGATCTATCATCGACATAAGCCTTCCATGTCAAACAAATCGCGTTTTGGTAGATTCGGACATTGAGGTTTGGAAAAGGTAATGGGGAAAAGAGCCGACCCTTGTTTGTGACAGTTTACAAATATTGGTAAGGTGAGGGTGCTCTTTCAAGATTTTTACAAATTTTCCCGAAAAATTGTATCATGGACTCAACGATTTTCCTTCTTCATCACATTTGATTTCACATAGATTTGAGGAGTTGCAACATATATCACACCTGGAGTAAAGAATTCGATAAAAAAAGGTAAACCGCAGTATGTCAAAACTCAAAAACGAATTAGAAGATCAGTAGCTTGAACTTGGTGATGATGATAAAGATAAATATTCATCTACTAATAAACGACACAGGTCCAAAAGTCAAAAACAATCACTCAGAATACCATATCGCTACTTGAAACCTATGTCGGGTGTTTTTATTTCGAAATAATATCTCATCAACTACTCAACTCGAGAATCAAAGAGATCTACTGAAGATAGCTTACCCTTAAGCAGATCCCGTTGTCACTGAAACGACATATTCCTCACCAATAAATGTATAATAAAATTTCGCGCACAAAGTACCCAATTGAATGTTCGTTCGCGACTAGGTACTACCGCGAAATCGAGGTACCTGAATAATGGAAACTATCGAGCCGTGGTAAACACTTAACAATCCGGTGTTTTTCTATCACAACTAAAAACAACTTTTTTTCGGAGATCAGTTCTACTGCGCTGCAGTGATTAGTCTTCCAATGTTAGTCGCCACCTGATCGAGAAATGGTATGCAATAACGAATAAAAATCCATCGATAGGAGTACATTCGGCATATTAATGTTACATAATATGTTGCATTGAAAAATAATGATCGTGTGTTTGATGGGAGATGGGGTACCCTTGAAATCTCTAGTTGTTAGATTTGGTTCTCTCACATTCTCGACATTATTTCAGAATTTTAAATTGCTGCTGCCGACCACTATTGTTAATTACTATTGTGGCCATAATTCTCATATTTCATGATGAACTCCTACCGCGTAGTAACGGCTGCATCCAACAATTTAATGAAAAAAGTAATGTAAGTAATGTTTGGAAATACAATTGCTTCTCAAATAATGTGATTATCATTTCATAACACTCAGAAGTGAAAATAAAACACAAACTGTTGAAGAAACTGAAATATTTCATGAATTCAAAAGAACATCCTCGATACTTTTCTTGTGTTGGTAGGATATGGAACTTTTCACAACTTCAACATACTCCTCACAGGTCGGTTCCTTCAAGATAAGGTTATGACATCAGTTTCTTGCGTGTAACTGCTCTTGAATTGTGATCTCCTTCCATCCTTCGCACATAGTTTCCTTCATTATGTATACGACCATTACTACATACTATCTGGAGTTGTATTTTTCTAAAGCGCCATGAGCTATGAGCAACTGGCTGTTGCCGTAAGCTCAAATACTGAATGAATGTCATTTTTTGTTTACAAAATAGTTTCTTACTCGTTGGATATTTTTGCCTTGCACAATGTGAACGATTTGAAATTATGATTCATTTCCAGTTGACTTTCATAAAGGTGAATAGTTTGAGTTCTCCACTACAACTTTTATTATTAATTCTGATTGTAGACGATAAAAACTCTTATTCACCTTTACAGGGAAGATTTATAATTTAATCCATTCATGTAATAGTAATACGGAAAGTTTATCTGAAGCCGAGGGTTTCTGTCAAAATAAAAGTGAATCGATAAAAACACCATCTTTATCTAAAGCTCAAGCTGCACTTCAAGATAACCAAATAAAACTCTCAGAGCAAAGATATGTATAACGGTGGTACCTTATTTCTTCCATTCTAATTTGCAGCTTCGAATTTCTTGTCGGTTAAGAATCAAAATGGACAAAAAACGTTCACCTTTTATATAGCAACTTTTCAGATGAAAAATATCATCTTTAGGATGATGTGAATGATGATGAATAAAAAAATATATAATAGTGTAATGCTGTTTCAAAACAAAGTAATTTCACTATATCCGTCATCAATTGTCACTCGTCATGTAAATATAACTCAGATTTAAGAATAATGACACCGGTAGAGTCTAATTTAATAGTTAATACTAATCATCTTGTTGTCTTTTAACTGAATAATGGGCTTCAACAGAAGCATGATTCGCGGGAGTGGACAAACTAGCCCAGTAAAAATTATCTATATCATTTTGTAAAACTGCAATTGAAAATTCATTATTGATATTGTTTACTTGGTGAATTCAATTCGTTTTAGTTTTATGGGGATAATATAAACCCTACTAAATTTTTTCTACTTGATTTCTGAAAGGATGTCAGGACGATATAAAGGCTAGTTTCTCTGCCAGATATGATAGAGTTGAATTTTCCATGACGAAATTGTACATTAAATGAATTAACAAGCAAGCTTATTGAAGAAAAGAATAATGGAGGAAAAATGAAGAGTTGATATAGATCCGGAAATTCAGGGTGTTGAACTTTTCAAAAAAACTCCTTTTCATTGCAAATATCCCTTTACCCGATTATAGCCTCAATAAGATACAAGTGGCGGCTCGAGACACAGTTTAGTCAACATCATTGACCATGATTTATACATTAACCAAAATGTTGTTTTTTATATTTTTTTTTGTTACAAAAATTAAATATTTTTATTTTTCAACTAATGCAATATATTTGAAATATGTCACAATTTCAACTTAATATACTATAGTTCCAAAATAGTAGGCACCAGATTCTGAAACACAACTGAGGTTTTTGCCTTAATATGTTTCTTACAGTGGCCTACGAAAATTATACTAAAATCACACAATTATACAAAATAACAACCTTGTCAACAATGTTTTCGTTTTAATGCAACAATATTTCTGAAAATTTAGTGCCAACTTTTATGGAATTGTACTATAACACAATAATACATATAACTAATACGGAACACGTCGATCATCCTAGCTATGAATGGTAAATTGGAGCAATTTACAGAATTCTTATAAATTAAATCTAATTTCGGTTCCTCGAATGAACATTAACAAAGGACAATTTGACTACAGATTCAGTCGCAGTGTGAGTTTGTCTGAATGTACAAGAAAATTGCAGGGTGGTTTTGTGAACTGTGATATGATACAAGGTTGAGTGAAGTTTTTGCAAAAACTGCATACTTATAATAGCAAAGTGGTGAGTATGGAATTAATAATTGAATTTCGAATGTCACTAATGAAATGAATATTGTTGAAAAGAAAATTCAAGTTTTAATTTTTATAACAAACTCAAAGGGTACGACCAACTATTGATGAGATCTCAAACTACTAATTTTACTACTGAAGGAAATAGTGTTGGAACTTTTGTCGGTGAAAAATTTAATCCAGAATTTTCTTGTTTCATTATTGAACACAACATAAAACAAGAATAAAATGAAACCATCAACGTTAGACATGAGAGAAAATATGTAAACTAGCGTTGTCCCCAGCCAATATATTGTAATAAATTTGGATAAAACTAGAAAAATCCAAGGTAAGCCTAGAACGAAGAACAATAAAGTTGCCAGTTGCATCTGCAGTTTCTGAATGTTGTCTTTGTTTCCATGAGATTCGACAGTTTTCGTGGTAACCTGCATCATCACCGCGAAGAAGACGAAAGTGTTTATCAAAATGATGGCACTAACTGGCATGAGGAGACCTAAATATAACGACAAACCGGAGGGGTAGCAGAAGCTATCTACCACCATTTCGTAGCTTTGGGTATTGGATATTGCTGTTAAGGAAACCGGTATAAGAGCAAAGCCCCAACCGAAAGCCAGGGAGATCGTTACTATTTTTTCAGGCAATACTGTGAAGACATTCACGAATCTTACGTACTGCAAAAAGGAGTAAACTAACATCCAAGCAAACTTCGAAATGATGAAGTAGTGAATGAACTTGCCCAAGAAACGGCAGTCGCCAACTATAGTTGTGTATCTAGCCAGTTCCGTTAACAACACTTCCAGAATTATGGCTAGACATAAATTCAACAGGATGATAGTTCCTTGTTTCTTTCTCCATTTTTTGAAAGCAATGGCTGTGACGAAGATTCCGCAAATTCCGCTTACTGACAGAAAATCGCCAATATATATCAGAACATTCAGAACAGTGTCAATTTTTTTGGTCGTTTTGTTGAGTTCTAGAATCAACAGAGCGAAATGGGTGAGATGAGAAAAGTGACATGTGTGAAAACGAATGTCGTTATCAACATTTTCAATATATGTTCCCCCAAGAGTGGACCAGTTGCCTCTTTTCCGCATGGCTTTCTTGCCGTAATCCCAAAATCCACACTCCGGGGATGAATTAGCATTAGATTTGAACATAATCGGTAACATACTGGGGAGGTAACATCCGTACTCAGGGATCATCACGCTCACTACTGGTCCCAACGGTTTTTTAGAGTAGTTGCTGACGAAGAACCGATCGTTGAAGAAAATAGTGGTTATTATAGATATGTTGCCATCCTGAAAATATCCCAAGATATCTTCCGGTACGTAGACAGCCATCCAGAATCCTTCTTTGTACTTTACGTCATCGAAAGTGTCGTTTCTTTTCATATTCTCGACTCTCGTTCCATTAATTCCGGTGTAAACCACAACTCCTGATATGTTACTATCCATCGGGTTGCACATATGAACAATCAGATTCTCCTTATGGATCACCAACTCTCCTGAACCCAAAGCAGTTTCATTTAAAATACCATCCACCAAATCTAGAATGTCGTCGGTGACATTAAGAGTCATCTGCGCTTGAGCCAATTTTTCCACTTTGATGGTTAGTAATTCATCCGTGATGTTTGCCGTGGCTCCTAGACTATCGAAAATTTCATTACCGAGGAAATTGCCTTTCCGTTGAGAGGAATAAATATTTTCCAATAGTTTCTTGATGTAATAAATGGAGATGACTGGCAGGTCTGGCTCCTTCCTGATGATGCTGCTCACGTTTGTTACGGTGTCGTTGGAGAGGGTTTGGCCTAGCAACGATTTCAGGTACAGGGTGTCTTCGGTCGGTTTTTTATCTTTCAAGCACTCACCCACTACTTGATCCCATTGGGCGCCGTACAAGAAATCACCTTTGCACAAGCGATAAATCGGCATTCCGTTTTCTTGAAGACATATTTCTTCGGGAATGGCAGTCTGGCCGATGGCAGTCAACGGCCAAGTTAAATTTCCGTCCTTTGAATACGTTGTTTCAGAGAGGCAGAACTCGCTACTCCTGAAGTACTTAACTCGTATCGTCTTCCGCGATATGTTTTTCAAATTCCTTTCGAAAGCATGAAACTCTTCTTCTACATTATCTCCTTCGGAAGTTATATGCAGCAAAAAGTTGATATCCATGAAGTTGTAGTAGAAAACTTTCATAACTCTTATGTAGCTCGGTTTGAAAATTTCGGTAATGTCGTCGGGAATGAATTTTTCATACCGAATCGGCGACTCTACTTGGCACTTGGAAATCGAACAAATCTCCTTTATGACAACCCTGAGAGCGTATTCGAACCCTGCCGCTTCTTTGTAAGCAACAGCAATGTTGGATTTCAGGACATTTCCGTTCACGAATACCTTGCACCAGTATTGACCCTTGTACTTTTCCAAAGATACTTCGTACACATTAAAGTCCCCAACACCATTGCGCTGCTCGTGTACTTTGTCAACTTCCACCCGTTTCTTCAGTTCTAGGAACGAGGCATCGGTGAAACAGTAAATTGTGTCCTCATCACCGTGTCCGATAATTTTCTGTGGCGAGTAGATTATCAGATAGAGCCTTCTCTGAGCCGCATCGAAACTGAGATCCATGTTGACTTTTCCGTCGTCGATGATCTGCATGGTGTAAGACATTGAGCAGAGAGAACAGTCCAATTCTTTTTTCGTATAAAACCACCTGTTCTTGCCCAGAGCCTGCTTGGAACCTCCCAAGGCTAAAGGAGCAGCTTTGCCGCCTGCCACGGAACAAATGTCGTTTCCGGCTAAGTCGGACAGAATATTTTTGTCCACGATCGAGTTCACTTCCGCTAGTTTGGAACAATTTCTTTTCTTGCAGTAACATTTCTCGGAGTTAATGCTGGCTTTGACGCATCCCTCAGGGCAAAGATCGTTCCCTTCGCGCTTATCGAACTCGCAAATGTGCTTGTGGATAGCGTTGCAGTACTCCGGCTCCAGTTTCACTTCCTGCGGATTCAAGATCACGCAGTCCTTATCGAAAAAGTCTTTTTGAAAATCAGGAGAAAGTGAAGGAGCGAAAAGGGGCCTCCCAAAGTCGCTGCCCCACGTTACGGACTCGTAGGGCCCATACTCGACGAACCTTCTCAGTGGCAGCCAGACGGATTCGTTGGCGAGGGGCTGGGAGTAAGAGTCGTTCGCTATTTTGCCAATGTTGCATTTGTCTTCCCACTGTTTGGCCTCGGACACGAAGATGCAACTCTCTGAAGTTTCTTCGAAATTCGCGGGACATCTTCGATTTGCTTCGACGGTTCTCACGCACTCTGCCGGAGTTTTGGGTGTCCAAGTTCTGTTACTGCAGATCCTCACCACGAGGTTTCCTGATTCGTCTTGGCACGGCGGGATGGACAGAATGATTGCGTTGTTGTAGCTTCTCGACTTCCATAATACTTTTTTTGAACTGTTGCGAACTCTGGATTCTTCTTCAGGACATTTCTGAAACAAACGTTTGCAAATCAGTCATCTTTGTACCAACATTTTTATATTTGTAGAATTAAGTTTCATAAAGTGATGGTTATCGAATAGTTCAGCTCTTTAATTTTTCAGGAGCATCGATATTTAATGTTACTATACCAAAAGTAGAAAGATTTGCCTTTCGTAAAAAAATCTGTAAAGATATCAGAATGTTATTCTATTCTAGACAAAAATCATCTTGGTTTCCCCCAAAGTTCCATATTGGGACTTTTAATATTCTTATGCAATATAAATAATATGCTGAATCATATTACTCCTGATAATCTCACAATACATGCAGACAATAAGACAATAATCACGAATATAGATTCATATGAAAAACTGGTAAACACATTCCATCCTTTGACACGTGAATTCACGTCTTGGTTCCATATAAATTCATTAATTGATAGAGGCAATATCTTGATCATCAAGCACACAGAGCACAAAGTTTTTGAAAGTTGATTTCGATAGTGAAATAAACTAGTATTCTATCCACTTAAATCCACAAAATTTCGTTATATATGCGAGTACACAAAGACACAATTCAAATAATTCAAACTTTTAGGTTATTTTTGACAAGATTTTATTCATCCTGCTTACATATAAACATACATACAAAATGGCGGACTAGTTTTTTTTAACACCCGAGATATGGGAATCAAATGAAGGGATTTTACTGAAAAGAATGCGAAAAATGAAATGGCGTCATCCTTAATAATACGAAAACTGAAATGACGTTATTCTAAATTCAATAAAGAGGATTCGCAAAGAAAGTGGACTATGTTGTTTTATGCAAACCAATGATATGAATATCAAATGAAATGGTTCAAGCGAAAAAATAAAATAAAATATTGGAAAACAAGATGTTTGCCAAACCAATTTTTGAAAGTTATAGCTGGGTAAAGGTTAGGAATATTTTGATATAAATATGAGAACCGATCGTGCAACAATGACATATTAAATGAAATGAGCAGAGTAAGGAATATGTCCATCGAAAACTGAAAAATAAATTAATAGTACCTACCTAAATATCATTTTTTGATATAAGCCTTTAAAAACATGCTCTTAGAAGAAGAAAAATTTAAAATTGATACAAACCCATTGATTTATTGCATTACACAATTCATATGATATAAAAGCTTCTAGTCACTTCATGACAATAATGAAGTCTGTTTACAAATTTAGTCCCTACATTATGAAATGTTCTTGGGTTAATTTCGGTGGGGACATCCCTTTTTCCATCCAAGATATAACGTCCTTAGATTTTTTGTGGAGATTCGTGAAATCTGAAGTGTACGTTATACAACAACAGTCTATTCCAGAGCCGCTGGTTAGAATAAGAAGAGGTACCATTTTTTAAAAATGTTGGATAGAAAATTGGAATTATTAAACGAGATATCACAAAAACCCCTACTCTCATTTGAAGAATGTTGTTTGTGCCATAGCGTGAGTTGAATTTATGCATTTTCATGATTTTTTAAGCAGTAACTGTGAAAATACCTTATAAGAGAAAAAATAATTTCAGACGAGATCTTTTCTTCTTTCACACATTCTTCTGGAGATTATGTATTAACATTTCCAGTCTCTGATATCAAATATAATCAAAACACGTGGAAAAATTTCAGTTTTCACTTTTAAGAAAGCATATTCAACAAATTGTTGGTTTTTTGTCGTATTTTCTCAAAAGTTTTATGATAATCTGATTGAATCCAACTGATTTGGAGGAAAACTTTTCTACGAACAATTAGTTACCATTCCGTATAAAACGTTTCATTTCGTAATGTTGTTATCGTTCGGTTATATTTGCTTTTACTTAATTTTGACATCGTCAACACATTCAAACCATTTAGGATACCGAGAATCGCACTTTGGGTGTTTGCCTACCTCTGCACCTTCGTGATAGCCACACACAATTTTCACCAGCAGCACTATCGTCAACAAAAGACTGGCACAACTCACTGAAGAAAACGAGTTGAAGCGAAATGTTTTCATCTTCACACTTTATAGCACTCACAAGTCCATTTACAACGGCAAATATCATTCAACATCATTTGTTGATACAGCTAAATTACACCTTTTCAGAACAAACACTCACACACTCATAACAAATTCGTTAATAATTATCCCATGATCGGTACTTGTGGAAGAGAAGTGGGGATGTTTTGCTTCGGACCAATGTAATCGAAACAATAATTGCAGTTACTTGATAAGGATTTATTTTGCACTATTGATTGTTAGATAATTATTCATTAACAAGACACTAAACTGTGATCGTGATTATTCCCATTTTATGGTTTTCGAATACATTAAATGAGAGAACAAGCAGCATTATTATCCGCATCTATCTACTGGATGAAGCAATAGTTTTGTGTCTCATAGAATCCAAATTCCGAAAGAATCAAAATTATTCAAAATTGAATCAAATTTCAAAATGTAGCTGTGAATAGATGGATGGATATGTTACTAACTTTTTTTTTTATTATCCAACATGTTTATTATCAGAAGAATCATGAAATACAAATCAATCAACAGAGTTTAGCTTATTGAAAGATAGAAGGAAAAAAACCTCAAAAGTACTGCTTTGTTCCCTCCTGTTCATAAAAGAGGACATATGCCTCCTCATTTACAAGCGAATTTGGTGAAATTGGGGACACGTGTGACTCGTTGTATTCATATGACTCATAATGATTTTTTGAGGACGCTAACTTGATTAGCGAAACGCGCGTCGAGAGACCGTAATTTTTGTTCTGGTGTTGGGAAAGTGTTTTCAACAGATTCATTTTACACCAGAGGTTCCAGTATGAACTATCAAGTCCTCAAAAAATATTTTCCTTTCATTTCCGAAATATTTATTTTCTTATGCGCATGCATCTCTCTTCTTTTTGTGGTTTGTGAACAGCAAGTTCAGCGCTTGCCTGTGAAAACATGCAAAATACATGAATAATACGTTTCGTGAAACTGAATTTTTTTTCAGGATCCTAAAAATGTGGAGAATTTGCGCTCTTCTACTTTTTGGTTGCATAATATCAGTAAGTATATCACGGTCCTTCATAACATGCTGGCTTTTAGAAACGCATTTTTCATATTATTCAACTAATCAGTTACGTTTTTCCAAAGACAAATGCGCGTCAGAGACGAAGCATAGATTTGATAGCCGCCCATGGTCTGATAACCCAAGAAAAGTTGCCTTACGATACGATGCCTGGAGGATACCACGTCTTCCTCCAACCATTCCCATCTGACGGATACTTTGAGGGAAAGATCAAAATCAACGTTACAGTTCAGCATAAAACTCACGAAATAGTCTTACATGCTCATCCTGATCTGATATTGCTGCATTGCAATATCACGCAGCTGACGCCGCCAGATGACGAACTGAGGAAGGAGTAAGTACCTCATTCGAAACCTGATATGTATTGGAATTATCAACCGTGATCATCAAAGACTCTAAAATTTCCCACTTCGAGCGTCTGAGTAAGATCGTAGATATTTATTTAACGAATATAAGTTTAAAAAGAGCACATTTTCGAAAATAGCTGCAGGTAACGTCATTATAATTGTTTCCTAAGTCTATTTTTCAAGTGGTATTGGAGCATAATTTTTTCATTGTCGAACTTGCAAAGGAACCAATACCTATGTTATTTTGCTGCAAGGTAACGAAATGTATTGTATATTGTTTTAAGAATAGAATAGAAAAGAATAGAATATTTATTTACCAATATTTGATACAATAGTGTATATTTGGCACGTCACTTAAATATCACACATAAATAAATATCACAAATGTCACAAATAAATGTAGAGTCATGTAACAAAATGAATAAAAACTGAATCATCACATTTACACACATGAACATATTTACAAATATGATTGTATAATATAACTTATACTTGTCAATTTCACAAAAAAACAGGTGTATATGAGACAAAACAAAATATTTGTCAGGTGTATATGGGATAAAACAAAATACTTACACTACACAAAAAGTTTACACAATGAGGAAATAATTTAGATTCCTCATTCCTCCTATTTTCCCTTTGACAGGTCATTTAGTTCTATTTATAAACTCATCTATACTATAAAAAGCATTCAGCATCAAATATTTTTTTATTTCATTTTTAAATGAAGATAACGTCATTTCTTTCATAGGCTGAGGAACATAGTTACACAAAATAATACAGTTATAGTATAGAGAGTTTTTGAATGCAGCTGTTTTATGCCCAGGTATCGACAATAATTTTTTATGTCGTGTATCGTACATGTGCCTTTCCGCAGAGGTATTGAAAGAGAGTATATTAGTTTTCACGTACACCAGACATTTATAGATGTAAATGCTAGGTACCGTAAAAATATTATTATTTATAAAAGTTTCTTTACAGCTAGCTAAGCGATTTATATTGAAGATCAGTCTCAGTAATCTCTTCTGAGCAACAAAGACGCGCTGTAAATGACTCGATCGTCCCCAGGTTAATATATTCAATGAAATATGTGAATAAGCTAATGCATAGTACACACTTACAAGACCCTGTTTGGCAATTGTGTCTTTAAGCTGTAAAATGGCAAAATAAGCTTTATTAAGCAGCTTGCAGACGTGGTCAATGTGTGGTTCCCATGTTAACTTGCTTAAAGGTGCCAAGGAACTTAGTTGTTTCAGATAGAGCAAAATTACAGCCAGGTGTTAATGGCCTCCTAAGGTTAAAGTTCATAAAAACCGTTTTTCCATGGTTTAAAATAAGTTTATTTCTTTGACACCACGCATACACTTCGTCAAGCGTTACCTGAGTTTTGTGGTAAAGTTCCTCCTCAGTAACACCCGACACAGTAACAGTGGTATCGTCAGCATACAAAGTGGTGGCACCATATTGAATATGATTTGGTAAATCATTAACATAAATTAAAAAGAGTAGTGGGCCTAAAATAGAGCCTTGTGGAACACCGAGAGTTACGTCATGCATGTCTGATTGGCATTCATTACATTTTACAATTAGTTTTCTATTTTCCATGTAGGAATTGATATAGCTTAGGAGACATCCTCTTATTCTGATATTATATAATTTTTTAGACAGTATGTTCCTGTCCACTGAATCGAAAGCTTTCGATAGGTCAAAAAATAGAGTTAAAAACATATTTGCCATCATCTAGCTCTTTATATACATTTTTGAAAAAATGTGCGGATGCTGTCTCTATTGATTTTGATGGCCTAAATCCATGATGACAATCTGTAAAAATTTTGTTCCCTTCAATATATGCTAAAATGCGGCAGTAGAGATTTTTTTCTATAATTTTTGAAAATGCACTTAGCAAGGATATTTGTCTATAATAAGAGAATATAATAAGAGACACACCAAATTGACAATTCAATCCTCTATGATTAATAATGTAAATACATATGTGCCTGTTTTGCAGGCATGCGACAATGTTTGCAAATTATACGACATTAATTAATTTTGAATCTTTAATCTTTATCAAGAACCCCTGCTAGTTTTATCACCCGGGATCAAACTATTTATTCGGTGTATCATTGAAAACACTCAACTCTCTGGTTCTCTCTCTGGTTCGTATGAATCGCAGTTTATTTTTCAAATGGTTTTCCAACCATAAAAGTTTCAGCTGATGCATGTAATTTTTTGATAATTATTAAAACTCTTTCTTTCTATTTTGGAGAGAGGATTTTCTAAAAATGTTTAGTCATCTCCTGATGATGCTAACTTGGTAATCGATAGACAGCATTTTTGTTTTGGTAAAGGAAAAGCGTTTTCAATAGATATTTGATGGAATTGGCCGATACTTGATGTACATCTATAAAATATTCAAGTAAAATTTCATTGTGAGATTTTCCAATTTACAAAACTAAAACACGTGTTGCAGTTTTGTAAAATCTCACTTGAATGCTCCTTATTAGTGTTTCCTTCTAATTGATCACTCATTATAAATATTATTATTACTCTATTTCCATCGCTGTTCCTTTGAACAAAAATGCACTATAAACGAGTTTTTCTACTTTTTGCCGAAGAAACTCAACAGATGACGGTGAACCAGATACGACTCCAAAACCTATCGGTATAGAATCTTCTGAAAAAGTAAGAAACAAGCCATTGTTCAACATCGTACTACAAACGAACGTGAAGCCAGGGGCACTTTTGGAAATTTTCATTCACTTCACCGGAAGGCTCTTCAACGAAACCTCCGAGGGATTATTCAGAAGCAGCTATGTCGATCCCATCACCAAAGAAACCAAATGGTTCGTGTCCACTCACATGAGGCCGAATATGGCAAGAAGCGTTTTCCCGTGCTTCGACGAGCCTGTCTACAAAGTACCCATAACGGTCTCTATCGCCAGGCATCAGAATATGACGGCAGTATCTAACATGCCTCTGGAATCGACGAAACCACAGTGAGTAGGATATAATTTGTAAACTAAAATTGAAATTGTAGCAAAGTGACATTTTTTTTTAATATTTCAGCGAAGTTATGGAAGATTGGGTGTGGGATACTTTCCAAAAAAGTCCTCCCATGCCGACATTTTCGTTCGGACTTGTAGTATCAGAATTCAGTTATCTCAGCTATAATGTAACAGATGATGAAGGTGAGGACATTCTTGAAAATCTAATTAATTATAGAGAGATAGCCCTTACTAATAGCAGTAGATATAAACCATTTAGGAAATTAGAACAGAAATTACAAATTTTAGGGATCCAAAGAAAATTGTCATTTTCTTGTTAGCATTTTCGAATTATATTCAATTTATCTTCAGTTCTATAAAATATGTTTGATCGATGATGTTTTCATCTCTTGTAATAGAGACCTTCATCGAGAGAAGATCGAAGTTCACGAAAAAGGTCAATTTACTAAGATTATACGAAATCGATCCACATGGATAGAAATGTATAGCCTAGTTTGAAGAAATATCAACTCTATTTTCTGAATGAGTTATCACCGTTGATATTGATATTGATATTGAACAATGTTCAATTTGACCGAATACCAACTCCAGAAAATTTGAAACTCATTAATACGTTCAATTGTACGATTTTCATTAGTGAAAATCATACAATTGTATGATCATACAATTACCTGTAAAAATGAGTTTTATTATGGATTTTCATCAAGTATCGGCCATTTCTATTCAATTCCTGAAATTTTATCAGGTTCATAAATATTCCAAGACATTTTGTCGAGGAAATTGAAATCATTCAAAGAAATCTATTCATTATATTCGGCGTAAAACGTACTTAACTTACCTTATCCCTTCGAAGACCGGTATCTGGGAACTATAAATTTTCAATGAGCGGAAGTCTGTATTTACTAGAATTCCGGAATTGTTTCTTTCATGTATTCGTGAGCTAAAGATACTTAATCTATACATAGAATGATTAGAAATATTGGTTATCAAATAATCCACAAGAATCCTTGATTCTATTCGAGGTGTACTGATAACTCTTTCAGAATATACATTCAATGAAAACTATTGTAATTCACATTGAAGCCATATTTCCATTGAGAGACTAGTTTTTGTCAATTTGGGATTGCTTCCCTCCTTTCTTTGGTAGATTTCCACATGTTTTTATATAAAGATGGAGAAGTAAAAAGCCAACAACTTTTTTTTCCCAAAATCATATTTCAAATTGTTGGAATACAGTTCCGATGGTTTGAGCTCTCAAGATGAATCAAATGTAATTCAAAATTTTCACCTAGAAAATGATAGTTGTTCTTCGAGCCTGATAATCCTTTTCCAAAAACGTTTTTAGTAAATATTAGCATTTGGATCACCAGTCTACATATAAAGATTGTACAATATGTATTTTAGATGTTAGTTTGAGGATTTGGGCAAGGCCGGATTACATTTCGGCAGTGCAAAATGTTTCTGAGAAGGTCGAAAAATCCTTGAACGTACTTGAAGAATTCTGGGGCGTCCCGTACCCTCTCCAGAAGTTGGATATATTTGCTCTGCCGAACTACCAAGCAACGAGACCAGCTGACAGTTGGGGCCTTCTCTTATTCAAGTAAGAACCCTCTCCATCTCTGCTGCCACGCACTAACCAGTATTTTATTTAGAGAAAGTGAATTGAGTGGACGTGGGTCTTGGCACTTGACCCACGAGCTGGTGTACCAATGGTTGGGGGCCCTGGCCAGCCCGTTTTGGTGGAGCGATGCTCATATCAACAACGCCCTTGTCAGATATGTTACAGCTTATGCTACCCAGAAGGTAAAATGCTCACAATTTGCTTTATCTGGGTTTATTTCTCGCCGTGTATATCTTTATCACTAGTTTGTTTGTAACAATAAAGATTACTAATCTGCAACGCACCTTGTTGAGATTGGAAGTTATGAAATATAACTTGGCTTAACTTTATTAACGATGACTTATACGACTCGAGTCGATTGATTTATATTTTCATTGGTAGTGAACACAAATAACAGCTTCTGGCGCGGTGCGTTGCATATGTAAATTTATGAAAATGGTTATGTTATTTAGTTATGATGATAAATAGTACTAAAAATACACGCCAATTCAATATATAAAGGATTTAGATGAATCTTTGATGAAAATAAGATGGCATTCAATATAATAATTGTGAAATCATTATTGATTTTTCATGAATAATTATCATTTATTCCTTTCAAGTATTATCATTATTAAGTGAAAATCTAATGAAATCCAACAGTAAGTGAATGAAACAATAGTAAATAATAAATATAGTTTAAAAAAACTAAAAAACACGCTTTTGAAGAACATCGAACTAAAAAGTTAAAACTATTTTGAACTATATTTATTTTTCACTTTTTAGTCCGATTTTTTGCCAAAAATCCTTTTTTTTTTTTAATTCTAGTCACTAGTATTATAATCTTTAACAGACGGCGCACGAAGACGGCGTAAAATTCCTCTCAAACAACATAATAAAGTTTGAGCGTTGGTTTGAGGTCTTAAATTCTATAGTAATACTGAGATGCAGGTAGTTAGTCTTCAACAGAGGGCGGATAGTTCTAAAATTTGTTTCGAAGTAAAGAGAAAATTTGCAGTAATAATTTCAAAAAACAATTCAGTCTTCATGTTTTGATTTGAAATTTCATTCAAAATATTAATGGACTAAAAATATTTTTTCAGTGAATAATTTTATTTTTCTAATCAACCTTTTGATTTGTTATGTATGTCAAGCACCTTATTTCTAATTTTTCGATTTTTTGAAATATTTAAGTAACTGAATTTTTTAGGTGTACAATTAACGATAAAGTTTCCATTGTTGAAATCCATATTCTGGTTTGCTTTCAAATAATCGAATTAGATTTTAAAATGTATCTTCCGTTTCGTTCAAAACTTTTTTTTTTCTGTACTGAATCACGGGTAATTGAAAATATTTAAATATTTCATCTGTTGTACAATATTTCGCTAGTAGTACGAAATTTCGCTAACACTTATAATTCTTAAACTATGTTTTTTATTTTCTTTTGAACAACCTATCAAGGAGGTTACGTATAGCGCCATCTGCCCGCGAATAGCTCAAGCTATATGTTATTTTCTATCCATTCACTTTTATATTTTTATGCTGTATAGTTTTTATATTCTCATACTTACATTTATGTGTTTCATGAGAATATTCATTATTATTATTTATTTCAATATGTAGCGTTATATTATCACTTTCTGATAGTTACGTACAGAGCCATCTGTTCGCTAATAGATCAAGCAATAATTGATAGTTACGTACAGCGCCATCTGCCCGCGAATAGATCAAGCAATAATGCCGATAATTCTGTCAATACAGATCCCGATCTTGAGAGTTACACACAAACGCATACAATCATACATACATACATACAGGTGAAGCTAATATAAAGCGTGTAAAAAAACTTTCCTAAGAGTTTCCGAGTTAATTTCAAAGTTGATTCTTATTAGTCAAATTATTGCAAATTACTACAGTTTGCTTAAGATTTTCACTATGAGGCTTCACCAGGAGTATAACGTACAAAAGTGTAATGAAATAATAAAGTATAAATGAAATATCGAAATATTCATCTCTCTCAACTACTTACCTAGTAGGTTCTGTCAAAGGCCTGTTTCAACAGATTTTTTTAACGTTTATCATGATTTCAGATGAACGAAACCGAGCCATTCAACAATTGGCCAATGACAATGCTGTACTCCATCTACTATGAGTTCAGCAAAAGATATCCCTACGGAAAAGGCACTGCCATCAAACAAGATTCCACCTCTGCTAAAACTGAACTGATCTTCAGGATGTTGAACTATACTCTGGGAGAAAGAACGTTCATGCACGGAATGCAAAGGTTTATGAACGACAGGTAACGCATTCAATATCAGTTGTGTCTTCATTGAGGCACCTTAATTTCGTTTTCGAATTATTCCAGGCAATACAAGACTTTCTTCGGCGACGATATTTGGCTCAGTTTAACGGAACAAGCCAGATTCGATGAAAAACTTCCTCAGCCGATAACTGTAAATGAAATAGCAGCCTCCTGGATAACAAAAGATAGGTTGCCTGTGGTGACGGTTACGAGAGATTACGAAAAAAATAGTGCAAATTTGAGTCAGGTGAGATTTTTACAAATAGAACTTGTAGTTTCCACTCTGCATAATGTATTTGAAAAAAAATTATGATTTATAATCAATGTTCAGAATGATTTGTTCAAATATGTATGAATTCAATTTTATTTCTTATCTTCACTAGTTATCAACATTCCGGAATAATAAAGTAGTTCAGCATGTTATATAGTTATGAATACTTGATATATACAAGGTGTAAGTTTGAAAGAAATCCATAGAATAGAATATGAAATGATTGTAATATCACAGCAATTTTATTATTGACCTGTTAACTATTATCAATTCTAGCTATCACTAAATATTGTACTTTAAAATTGGATCTGACCAACAACTGATTTATTTTGAAAATTAATAATAAAAATTTCACTCTCTATCTTCAAGAATAATAATAAAATATACCGTTGAATGCTCTCCTGAAATTTTTAGACAGTTAATTCTGGAATTCTCTACAAGCACAGTCTTTTTTATCCTCACAATTTCGGTGGCAAATGAGCTTTTTTTTTCGATCACTGCTAATGCTGATTTAACTATTTTTACACAGAAAAAAATTATCATCACATTCGATATATTTTGCAAAATATTTCTTTCGAAATCGTAGGCAACAAGTTACTCATAAATGTTCTACTTTTGATTGAGGTGCTTTATTCGAAATACATCGAAATGTGACAGCAGCAAAACCATCATTTTCAGTAAATTTTGATTTAAAATCAAAAGAAATAGTGAGTACAGATTACTAAACAAAAAATCGATGAATCTTTTTTACAATGATTTTATTATACTATTATGAGAGAATTTATTAATCTGCCTTTCTAATGTTACCTACTATGTATCAAGTAATTACTTTTCAAAAGAGGGTCTATTTGAGAGAACGTCCCCACGATGTACCAGACCAAGAAAAGTTTTTGTGGTGGATTCCTATAGTTCTCGTGAGGCAGGATCACCTCCAATTCAAAAACACCACTCCGCAAACATGGATGAGGCGCGAGAAAGACATCACCATCGAAAATCTGCCAGGAAAAGACATGTTCATCATCGTGAATCCAGAGGAAATCGGTCTGTCATGCACTAATTCGTAACATTTTCGAAATGAATAACTACTCTTCGTTGCAGGTCCTTTTCCAGTTAATTACGACGCCCGAAACTGGAACATGCTGGCCCACTTTCTGTGTTCCGAAAATCGCACGAAAATTCCCGTGGCCACGAGAGCAAAACTACTCCACGACGCATGGAATTTGGCGTATGCCGGCGATCTCAGTTTCGCCACGGCCCTCAACATGACTTGGTTCCTCAAATACGAGAGGGAATATTTGGCCTGGGACCCCGTATTCACTCTGATCGATCATATAGGGCGCCACATTGATAGCTCCTCGGTCCACAAGAAGTTTCAGGTACAGAGTAATATACAGCTGAAGAACAGTTATCGTTATCAGCATCGTTTCCACTTATTATCTCTAGAATATTTGTTAGATATTCATCCTGTGAATTAATTCTAAGGATGGATGCTAATCATGTTAGCATAGTTTCTACATCTAAGATAGGTTTTTCCTATTTACGTCTCCCTGCCTTTCGGGTTGCCCAAAATTTGTTGGGAAAAAGCATTTCGAAAATATTCAACCCGTAGATATTTGTTGCATCCGATACCCCGGATAGCACGCAGATATAGCTTCCCTTTTTTGGAAATTGTAGTCAATTTGTTTCTTCTTGTAAGCTTCCCGAAAAAATCCCCACGATATCTCGGCTGAGCCCTTAACTGCACTCTCAACACAATATCCAATATCCTCTTCGGAGAGGCAAGAGCAAATTTCAATCCCTTGTTGAGAAGATCGAGTTCTTCATTATCAGAATATTTCCTTCAATGTTCATAATTTGATTTATTATTCTATTTCAAAGAATCAATTTTTTTTTTCAATCCCTACAAAGACCCCTTTCACAAGATTTGACGTTGCAGACGTACGTGAGAACGTTGCTGACTCCTCTGTACGAGGAGTTAGGAAACGAACCTCAAGAAGGTGAGAGCGAAGGCAGGGCACATCTAAGAAGTTCCTCGAAGATATTCCTCTGCCAGGCAGGATACAAACCCTGCATCGAAGAAGCTCAGGCGGCCTATAACAAGTGGATGGAGTCGTCCGTCCCAGACGAAGGAAACCCGTAAGTATTTCGCAAAAAGAATACCTCTACAGCTAGTCTTCTCGAGAAAAATCAATCGCTTTTTGTTGAAGGGTTGCAAACCAGTATATCTGCCCAGTTTTTAAATGGGGGACCATGAAGGAATGGGAGTTCGGTCTCCAGCGCGTCATCAACTTCCCTCCGACGCGAAAACCGAGCGAACGCACATATCTGCTAAAGACTTTGGCAGGATGCCCGAACGACAGTAAGAAGATAGAAAGGTTGCTGGACATCGCCATTCTAGAGCAGAACGGAAACTTCACGGATAATGATTGCTATCTCATCTTCAGTATGCTTACGGGGGGTGCTAATGGTTACACTAGCCTATTTAATTTCTTGAGGAAAAACTGGGACACAATTAAAGTGAGGTGAGTTTTTTCCTTCAGTTCGACAAAGGAACATTCGCTAGTCTGCGGATCATGCTAATGCATGCTGCTACTTTAAACTGAAATATACTTGATAATGGGGTTAAACCCGAAACCGGTCGTATAAATAAAATTAACTAGTGGTAATTAGACAAAAGTGTTTTTATTATCTGCATTCAATCATGAATTACCACAAAATAAACAAGTCGTCAGACACACATATTGATGGCTGTAACTTTGTGTTGATATGGATGTATGGAAGAACTATGAATGCTAATATCCGTATGAGGTAGTTTATGAAAAATTCAAAAATCGTGTTTATTAAAAATTTTTGTTATTGTGAAATCCAGAATATTCATTGAACCATTTTATTCCATCTCCATGGAGGACGTGGAAAGGTGCAGAGGATTCATGAAATTCAAGAACTTATACAACTGTCTACTTGTTCTCGTGCTAGAATGCCAGAATGTCATCCTCATATCAATACCAATGAAGAAACTTTCCAGCAAGCAGCTTAGTGTGTGTATTTTTCGTTCCAAATTATCTATGAAAATTTCTGCCAGCAAGGAACTTAATGGGTTTTCCATTATATTAGTTGAATTGTTTCACTGTTGGATTAATTGACCTTTTGTCCAATAGATTTTCCACCATGAAGAATAAACTAATATTCCTCTTGAAGATGATCGCTTGGTGATCGAAACACGTGCCGAGGTGTTGAAAATAACGGTTTGGTGATGGGATAGAACCAGTTCCATTTAATTCCTCTCACCGAAGTTTATCTGTGATCATTTTTCAAAACTGTTACACTTTTGAGACAAAGTAAGTCCAAACCAATGTCTTCCATTTACGACTAACATTTATAAAAGAAAAATCTTTTGAAAAATTTTAGAAATGTTTTCTGAGGGCTCATTTCTTGGTTTCAAAGAACTTTATTGTAACAGTAAAATGTATTTTGATACCAAGCATGTATTTCCCTGTATAAACTGGAGCTAAGTATGCAAGGTCGTTTGAATAAATAGCGCTTTTTTGCATATCAGTATGTTTGGTAATGAGCGATTATCATTCAAAGTTTGAAATAACGAGTGAACGAAAATGAATAATACCGATAAGGAGCTATTTTCTACGATGATTTGGAGGTTTTGTAGCTAATAAGTATCGATTTTAAGAACATTTGGAACACAAAAGGAAAACGATTAGGAAAAATAAGTCTATTGTTGAATCTCTATTTTGAGATTTTCATTATACAGTTCACAAAACCGTAACACATGTTTCGATATTCAAAGGATGCCTATGACGTGTTTATACTGACTTAATTAGTCTATTAGTCAGATAGAATGAACACGCCTGAGGAAGCTATAGCGAAAAACGTTTTTGCGGTTTCGTAAACTATTAGTGTTGAATTTCTTTATGGTGATTCTTGTCTTTTTAATACTGTTTCTTCTTTATGTTCCATTTGATATTTTATTAATACGTTGTGGTGTACTGGACTAAGTAATAAAAAAATAGTTTTATTTATTTTCAAGCAATTACGATAGTTTATCTCAAGGATCTTAATTGTTACCTTCATAACTGAACTCTAATGTTGGACTGCATGGTTTCTTAATTGAAACTTTGTTGATGTACCATTTGGGATTTCATAACAATTCTTGACCAATAAATAAGTGAAAAAGTAAATAAAGAAAACCTCTTAATGAAGTGGTTTTATAAATATTTGTTATTGGGTTGTTTAAAAAGCATTGACGGTTCAATGTCATGTGCTTTTGTAGCCTCATATCTCATAAAATATTCATTCCACTGTGTCGTGGTATACACCGATCGATAGAGAATCTTGTACATACATTGAGCTATTCATTTCTTCCCAATTTCAATTTCTTGCCTCTTTTCAGCTTTTCAGTTTTTCTCTACGAATTCAAATTGAATCAAAGCGCTGCCGAAACATCCCGAAAAAATGTGTATGTGCAGCCTCACGCACTTATTAATTGGTTTGTTTTTGGTTTCAATATAGATTCGAAGAGAAACCTCATCTCTGGAACACCCTCGTCACTTCTGCTACGACGGTTTTCAAAACTCAGGAGGGTTTGGACATGGTCTCCGAGTTGTACGTGGAAAGGCAAAGCGAATTCGGCACGGCAGATTTCGTCATCGAAAAGGCGCTGAAAAACATCAAGGAGGAAACCAAGTGGAGCAACGAAAATTTACCAGTGATCGAGAAATGGCTTGATCATAACATAAAAACGAACGATGCAGATCGGACGTGAATATTCATGTAGTCGCGTGATATTTATTATGTTGTAAATTATCCATTATTGACTTTAACATTCTATTCATGTATCCAATCAAAAATAAAGTTTTTGTTTTTATACTACTGGCAGTTTTATCTCAACCTATAAAAACCCGACCAAATAAACCCAGCTTCTTAACGAATCCGATTAGTTTCTGTGGTGAGTGATCTTTCAGGTCAGATGGTGTCAGAACTGAGGAAGACTACTTTAAAGGGGACAAATAAGGAGATAAATGAAAATTCATTTTAGTTTTTGAACAGTAAGCGTATAAATAATATTTCATCTGATGAATGCAAAATTGTGATTTTTGGACGTTATCACCATCTCGATATATCGAATCAACAGGTCTCTTACTCGAGTTCTCGTATTCTTGACGACCAACTCAGAGACTTTGAGGTTTATGATAACTTGTCGTAAACAACTTTATAAGGAAGATAAACATATTGCATTCACTAGAGATTCATTTACAAATAATCGAAGATAAAATTATTCCGGTAAGAGTCAATATAATAAAAATTAAATACAAACATCGCTTAATAATTTTAAAAAAATATGCTTGTCAACAAACATATCAACAAAAATAATCATTGTAGTACACATTATTGATAACTATTACTGTTAATAAGTACGTATTCCAAAAAAATGTGATCTAATTTTTGCAATTAGGTACTCATAGATTCTGGTATTTCGAAGGTCATACTGAGTGGTGCTTTATAAATGTATTTTACGAATATATTCAACACATTTTTTCACAACCATCCTCTTTTAACGAGGGCCAAAACCGTATCTCTCAACTTTCGCCTATGATTGGGCCCCAGTAAATCCTTTCTGGTCCAATCGGAATCCTGAAAATTCTCTGCGCTATTCTGCACTTTATCTTTCTCGGTGCAGATGGGCTTCAACATCATCAGGATGTGGAAGATTTCAGTTTTCGCCACTTCGTCGAGTTCCTTTTGAAAGAATTCCCAAGAGAAAGGTGCCAAATCAAAATCAAAATCTTTTAGGATCATCAAAAACCTCTCGTGGTATATTTTCAAAAAGTCGTCGAAATGTTTTTCCAAAACCTCGTTCTTCACGCTGGTGTAAAGAAAAAATACCAAGTCCCGAACGCAACTTTCATATGTAATAAGCTGCAGATCTACAATTTTACTTTTTATAGGAGCGTCTTTGTCATTCCTCAACAGCATGGTATTGCTTGTCCAAAAGTCCATATGGCATAGAGCACCCCAGGGTTCATTTGGAGTCGGTCGATTAACCGGAGGGTGTGACGCAGCATAGTTACAAACGTACTGCAGTTTTTCTTGGTATGATTCTGGAAGTAGTGCTTCCCTTGCACCCTCCATTATGGAATCATTAAAAGCTCGCTGAACTTTTTCAGGCCATCTTTCCATTCCCCCGTTCTTCACAAGGCAGGGTCTGATTTTTTCATCGAAAACTTTCGGTCTGATAATTTTCAAAGCGATGGTAGAAGCGTGAAAATTGGCTAAATCTTCCAGAACAATCTTGGCGGCATCAAAATCGAACCCCTTTAGCCTGTCTTCAGTGTAAAAACCCTTCGTTTTGAGATTTTCGAAAATAAGTACTGCACCTTCGTCAACTCTGTTGCTGTTCTCGTCCAGGCTCACCCTAGCTCCGTAGCATTTAGGAAAGAGTGTGTCGAAGCATCGTTCCTGTGGCACTCCGAACTCCTTTTGGAAATCCACGATTGCCGGCATAGCTTCAGTGTAAGCTAGGACTTCTTTTTTGAATGTTACTTCCACATCAAACGCTATTCTCAGCAACTCGCTTTTAGGTAAAAGCTTCGCCACTAAACTTAAAGATTCTGTTTCTTTCTTCTCGTTTGTCTTCATTACTATCAAATCCAGAGCCAGCATCACCGATCCATAGTGTTCTCCTGGTGCGGTAAGGGTTGAAATCCTCTGATCGACGATATCGAAATCGTAGCCCAAGGATTTGAGTAACAGGCGCTTGATATCTGTTAGTACTTTCGAATTGGACATTGCAGCTTTAGAACTGATTGCATGAGCAATCGATTCGCGGTACTCGTCGGGAATAATGGTAAAAATATTGTTACGCCTCACTGCAATTTCGATGCGATAACAGTTACGATAGTACGAATAATACACGGTGTTTCTACAAAACTTGTAGACAAAGAATGGTTCAGCACAATTTAGGGAAGGAATAGAATAAATTACAATTACTTCAGGATGTTTGCAAATTTTGCCTCATGTATCTGAAAGGTTTGTTTCTATGTCAAAAAAGTCCGGGAATCGGTCAATAAAACGCAAAATATGTATTATTTATTAATCCAAGTTTATTGTATCGCCTCTAAAATATACTCCTTCCAGAATGATACACTCAATCATCAAAACATTTTTAATCGCATTTTTTTAATCGACTCCAGTACTCGGTGCGAATTATCTGTTATGTCATCTATTGACTGAAGTGATAATTTTGATTATTGAAAAAAAATCCACAGGATCAATATTACGCAAATACGGTGGCGATAAGATTTGTTGAGGTACGAACTGATTCGAGAGATGAAGAAATTTCAGTGGCTATCTTTCTCAAACTTAAACGACGATTTTCATTTACAGTTTCCTTTACTTTGGCAATGTTAGGTTCAGTTCAAGATATCGAAAGCCGACCAGATCAAGGCAAATCTTCCATCACGTAAAGTCATATTCACCATAAGTCTTATGCATAGGTATGCAAATTCGACGCTTCGGCATACGAGATTCCATTACACAATTGAATTGAATACTGTACCTAAACAAACTGATTTTCTCTCAGGGTCTGATTGGACTGCGAATTGTTTTACATTTCTTCAAAATGAATTAGCGTATTTGTTAACCAGTAAGATCGATCATCTCAGAAATGAGCTGTAGCTGTATTTCCAAGAATTGGTTTTGATCTTTCACATTTCTTTATTTGTTTAAAGACATTGTCCATTTTTTTCGATACTTTTGATTATTTTTATTTTTTTAAACGTACTGATCCGAGTATTTCGGTCCTAGTATCTCAATATTTCATTATATATCTTCTTAGATTTCAATCTGTCAACCCTTCTTCAGACAATGAAAGTTCGAACTTCCAACATTCACTAAGAAACATAAGAATAGAATAAGAATAAAATAGAACGGTTCCATGCCACAAATGAGCATCACCCGGCAGCTTTGTTTCGACCGGCATAGTTCTCATCAGTGGTAGTAGTCCAAACCAAAAATGCTTTGATTACTTCTAGCGTGAAGCAACCTGAATCAGGTGCCATTTTCACTTCGATTTGCTCTGCTACTACCCCCAATTTCTCCATACTGAATGTAAGAACTTGCTTTCGGTCCACTATAGGCTTATTCCATGTTGTTGCTGAATACTCTGGAAATAGGTAATATATCTCTGATAGCTGAGGAATTCTTTTTTTTTCAACTAACTGGTAACCTTTTTCCCATTTGTCTTCATTTACTCCACGTATTCCTCAAGACATCCAAGTTTTTGACTATTGTACAAGTCATACTCTACAGACAACAGTTTGAATGAATCAGAACAGTTCAAAAGATGAGAGGTGATATATAACGTAAACAGTTGATTGAAATATTGAGACTACTCAAAATATTCTTCATTATCTTAGGCTGTCATTTGCGATTAAATGTTCTTGGCTTTTTTTTTTAATGTGTTCCAAGTAAATTTTTTACTTCGTCAACCGTATCCAAACAAAACTGGCTCAAATTGATAATTGAAAAGTAAGTAGGAGTTGTTTTTTATATAAAAGAAAGAGTATCGTATACATTGTACACATAATGGCATCTCGTAGCTAAGTTAAAACCACTTTTGTTGAAGACTACCATTATAGGTAGTTTCAAACTATCGCTAACATATGGCGCCACGAGGAAAAATTTGACATATGTCTATAAATATTCAATCTCACCACAGAACACATCAACGTCATACAATTCTTTGAACTTATTGTTGTGCTGTACTTATTCTAGTGATTTTTTTAACAGTTTGAAGTTGAAGCTAAAATTATTATTTTCCGTCATAAAATTGGGGTTGTGCCGTGTGTGTTGTCATGTTGTAGAAATGGTGGCGTTATATGTTTATTTATTTTTATGCATTTCCACTAATTTAATTTCAGCACGTAAGTAACCGTTTTGATAGGTTATAACGTATTTATTTCTGAATGGACCACAACATTTTTAAAAGTAAACTTCGCCCAATTATGATTCGATTTTTGTGATTAATGTTTTCATAATTGATATACCTATACAAAAATATTTAGTTTTATTGCTGGTTTGCGCTATTCTAATTCAATGTGAATTGAGACCAGCCCAAATCCAATGAGTCATTATTTCGTTTCAAATTAGAATTAAATTATGTTTTTAATTAGATGCCATTAATGCTCTTGTCATGGCATACTGAAAAATGTGTCATTGCTTACAAGATGCATCAAAGGGTATTTTATTACCAACATACAATTTTTTCCAGTAAATTCTTTTCAACCTTGGTGACCTAGGAAAGTGACTCCCTTCACTATTTCAGAAAATATTCAAATATTGAGTTCCATAACAAACAGCACTAGGACCAGTTTTTTTCAATATATTTTTCAATAATCTTTTCCATTTAAAATCAAAAAGTATTAGTATTGAGTTCTTATTAATTTTCCAGAATATTACGATGAATACGAATGCAATACACCTCTTTTCACTAGAGCAGCACTAAGTGCTACCTCTTCTATGAGTGGAAGAGGACCAGAAAATGCTGTTTTATATGGTGAGTTAATGGAACATTAAAACCACCTAGAATTTGTATCTTTTTTTGAACATTTGTGGACCGATTCTAGCAATAGTTAAAAAATACATTTCTGATTCCATTTGTAAATCATTGCAAGGGCTATCTAAGTCGAGTTTACACTATTACCTTATTCTTAGATGTTATGATGATGAAAAACTCACTTGTGTGAAAAAACTTGAAAGATGTTTTCGTTTACAGAAAATTCAATTAACTTGATGCTTTTTTCAAACTGATGAAATAATGAAAAAATTGGAGGTTATGTCATCAAAACAGAGTTTTTCAGCAATCAAACACTTTCCAACGGCGATAAAACTAATAGCCATAAAATTAACATATAGGTTTAATTATTCTTGTATCATACATGATTCTCAGGGTCTAGTTGCATCATCATTCATACAATTTCAGTCACTCTCAACAAAAGGAATTCCACTTCATAATTTTTGTGTAGGTGAGCAAAAGTGAGATCCTGAAGAAACTCCACACGTTTTCAGTAAATTGATTATCAGTAGAGTCGCAAAATGAATAGAAATAATGTACGTTGGGCATTCAATATTTCCAAATGGAGACCATCCCATTCCGACATATTGCTCGCATCTTCTTGCATACAAACCGAAGAAAAAGTTCGCTTGACTAGATTCGTTTTCAAAAAAGATCTAGAGTACTCCCTTATAGGTCTACTGATGCTGAGAAAATTAGTTTGCGAAGCATCTGACAAAAAATACAATGAAATCAAATTTATAAGAAGTGATAAGGGGAAGCCTCTCCTACATCCAGATAGTAACGTTCCTAAATTACACTTCAACGTATCACATCACGGTAACTATACCGTTTGTGCTGGACAAAGTGGAGACATTATGTTGGGAGTGGATGTTATGAAACTGGAGTACCAAGGAGGCAAATCGATCTCAGAGTTTTTCAGAATCATGGATAGACAATTCTCTTCAGTTGAATGGGATACTATTAAGGGGGCAGGAGATGAAACAGAACAAAAAGCCATGTTTTGTAGGTGAGTGGACTTTGTGTCAGAGATACTGGAAGGGTCTCAAAATTTTCGTTGACTTTTGAACTACTTCAAGTTGATTTCAGATGAAAGCAAAAACAGGGTTGAAAATATTTTGAAATTGATACCTTTACATTTTCTTGAGACATCAAGCAAGCGGAAATTTTCTGTTGAGACCTATTTTTAATTTTTATACACTGATAATTTCACTTTTCATCTCCTTTTGATGTATCCAGTATCAGTTTTGGGAAAATAATTTTTCATTTTAGTTTGTCAGTGATTTAGATTTGGATGTCTTGTTTTCTCTGCTTTGCCGAAGAGTAACTCTCTCTTCTCTATGTTCCAGGCACTGGAGTCTGAAAGAGAGCTACGTCAAGGCAAAAGGAGTAGGGATAACATTCAATTTGAAAGACACTCAGTTCCGGGTGAAAACGAAAAAGCTCTCTTCTGTTAACTTGATCACTGACACGGAACTGTATTTGAATGGAATAAAGTTGAACTGGCGATTCGAAGAGATGCTTTTAGATGCAGAGCATTGTGTTTCGGTTGCGATCGGTTCTGACAAGGATGAAACTATTGACTATGGCGGAGAAAGTTTGTTCAAAGAAATCAGTTTTGAACAGTTGATGGAAAATTGTGTGCCTCTCACTGAGGCCGATGAAACTTTTTGTGAGAATTATTTTAAAAAATTAGAGAAAACTTGAATTTCTTCTGATTCATTTTTTTATTATGTAATAAAACTCTGTATATGGAAATTTTTAAGAGACGTATCAGTGTGTGGTGTTGTGTAGTTGGTTTTTTGTATTAGAGAACAGCCCATATCATTTTACTTTTTGGCTGTTAATCGGTCCACAAATGGTAGGGATTTGTTAGAATTATATTTATATTTGTGTTTAGCATAGTACATTGTACCACCCAGTAGTAGGCACTGTGTTTATTCCTAACTAGCATGAGATGTTGTTTAGATTTAATTGATTTTGATTTCCAGTTGGTGTTTGCATGTTATTTTTTATTTTATTTTGTTTAATCAATACCTTGAGTTTAATCAATATACTGATTTGATTGAAAATGCTGACTTCTTAATGGATGTCGTCTAAATTCTTAGATTTTATTGTTGATATTAAGAAACGAGTTATACAGGATGAAAATGAAAGTTATTTGATTTTGAACTAGAAAGAAAATACATTTTTCAATATCGAAGAAATTTGCTGAAAATATATAAGAAAAACATTTCCACTGGTATTTCATTCAATTTGAAAATAATGTTACTTGAAATAAGATGTTGATAGTCTAATTTGTTTGGTAGACTGTAATTAGTATCACTTCCAGGAAATGTTTTGATAAACTTCAATAAAATAGTATCTAATAGTATCTAGTATCAAATAAAATATAATAGTTTCAGATTTTTTTTATGATGTTTTTCTAGTGACCAAAGTGAAAATCTTATTTTTTTTTTTTAATTCTATAAGCTACAATTTGTGGATTCCATTTGAAAGAAAACAAACCATGAAATTATTTGAATTTGTTACAAAACCTTGGTTTATGAAGCTTTTATGCATCCATCATCCTTCAATATAACTGATGATTAATAACAAAAGGCTCTTCAACAAGATGTTATTTCGACAATAAACATATATTTATCTATCTATCTGATTCTGGGAGCCCATATCCCAAAGGAAGTCATCTGATTATATAGAGTGTGTTATTTTGAGCTTCTATCAGAAGTTTGAAGTCACCGGAGAAATTGTCAAAAATGATTCCTTTATATAAGTTTTAGATATTAGTGCATTGGACTTTTTTTTGGTCATTTATAAATGTGTAGGTTATCAAATAGAAGCATTATATGGAAGTTAGATTTTCAAATTGAACGTCATCATCGTCTTGATTTATACATGCAATAAAACTTATCAAATACCTTTCGAATATAATTAGATTTTCCAAAAAAAGAATTTCATAAGCAATAATTAATCTGTATTGACAAGTCACACTCTGAAAATGATCCAAGACAACGGTATATATTTTTGGCGTTTCTTATGAAAATTTCTACAATACAAAGGTGGTAATGCATGGAGCTCCAAGGACAATGACTTTGATCAGTATCTGATTTTTGATCTGGGACAAGTAATGAACCTAACAAGGATATGGACTCAAGGTAGGCCTCACAGTAACGAGTACGTTATGGAATATCAGATCAGTTACGGTACCAACGGTCTCGACTATGCAAATTACAAAGAATCCGGCGGAGATACTATGGTGAGATTTTATTATGATTGCCACGTTTATTTATTGTTAATTGATTTTCAAAACAAACTAACAAATACTTTTCTTCTGCTTCGGAAGTATAGGCCTGATGAGTAAAGTGTTTCTCATACTCTACATTTTTTCCTATCATATGAAAAGGGATCATTGTTTACAGAATAAACTTCTTGTTTTACGCTATAGCAAAGTATAAATTAAACAAAAAATATAAACGAAACGAAAGATGACAAAAAACAACAAAACACATCTTGAAAAAATATTTTTGCATGATATAATTATTGCTTATTGCGTTTTCATAGATAATTGTTAATTTTTTTTGCAATTTTCTACTTCTCCATTGCTAATGGAGAAAGCTAAAAACATGTTTTTTTTCTATTTTTTGAAACAAACAACAAACAGTTTAGAGACATAATCATAAATAACAGTTTAATATAGAAGAAATGAAATTTTTCGTATGTTGAGAAAATTTTCTTCGACTCTGAAGGTTAATGAAATGTATTATTCTTGTTCAATTCATTGTGATTATTTTTATTGAGAATGAATTGAAATGACTTTTGTAATATGCGCATGATTTTGCTTTATTTTTTCTACTGCATGTCCGTGAATTTAACCTTTTGGTAGCTTTTTGTATTCCTGTTTTCACGCATGATAATATCTCTTTGTAGTTAGCATTTTTCTTTCTTGTTACAATATGAGCATAATTTAAATACCAAAATATTCTATAGTCTTCCTGTGCCGTAGGTCAAAGTTGTTTAACTTTTTTAATTATTCAGAAAGATTAATTGTAATATTGTAAAACATTACATATAACATCATAAACCCAATGTTAACATCCAACTAAAGAATCAGTGGCATCATAGATTGGAAAGATAATTGAAAATCTTTCTAGCAAAAAAATGTTTCATAAGAGAGAATTATAAAATATTCAATTTGTTGGAAATTAATTTTATCTAACCCTATTATTTAAAATTGTTGTTTTTATCACAGAAAGCTGTACTCTTTGTGAATCATAGCAATTAGAACCTTTTTTTCTCAGTATGATGAAACTATACTGTGTGTATCTTAAGTAATGGCTTTAATGATTCCTTTGTCATATTTGATGAAAAAGTTCATATAAATGGAATCCCAAACTTCGTTTTTATGAAATAAGGAGTAGGGTATTAAAGTTTTATTGAAAACATGTTTCAAATTTGAATTGAAGGAGTTATCTTTTTAGGAGTATGAATGATTAATTTCAATCTGAAAATACTTGGCTGGCAAATAACGAATGGTTTTTAGATGTTTCGGGGCAATGTAGATGGAGACACGGTCCACAAAAATGAATTTGAAGTTCCAATCATTGCTCAATGGATCAGGATAAACCCAACGAGATGGAGAGACAGGATCTCTCTGAGGGTCGAACTATTCGGTTGTGATTACGGTAAGACTATTGAGAGTGTATCAAAAACTTGTTACAAGCTCGTTTGTTATACTTTTACAGAGGCGGACGATATGTATTTCAACGGAACCTCTCTCCTCAAATACGATCTACTGAGAGAGCCAATTTCGGCTCTGAAAGAGAGCATAAAGTTCAGATTCAAAACTAGCGCTCCGAACGGAGTTGTCCTCTACAGCAGGGGAACGCAGGGAGATTACATAGCTTTGCAGCTTCAAGACAATAGGATGCTTTTGAATATAGATTTAGGTTTGTAGAGATGTGTTTGACTCGGTCATTTCAGATTTGATTTTAAAACTGGTTTCTAGGCTCTGGAACGGTGACCAGCTTATGCGTTGGAAGTCTGTTGGATGACAACTTATGGCACGACGTCGTGATATCCAGGAATAGGAGGGATATTTTGTTTTCTGTTGACAGGGTGGTTGTGTATGATAAAATCAAAGGCGAATTTCAGCGACTGAACTTGAACAGAGGGGTAAGTCTTTTCATAGTATCATAAAATATTTGAATGAGTATCGGTCTTTCATCCTACTTTGATAATAAAGTATTACTGTAGTATTTAGTATATTAAGTACCAAAATAGTTAATATTATTATTAAAAATACACAAGGAAGTATTTGGGTGAACCTTTTCTTTTTACTTTCGAATTGTCTCTAAACTTTGCAAAAACTTTGCATCAAAGCATATTTGATGTTTTTTTAACCGTTTAATTTCAGTTTTACGTTGGTGGAGTTCCAATAAAAAAAAAAAATTTTTGGATCCTCGGTTTTTTCCTATTGTGGTTAGCTTTCAAGAAAAGTGATGTCTATTTCCATGAACTATAAAATGAAAAAATAAGATTGTGTTTAATATTCTCAAATGTCACCAAAACCGTCATTTATTGAAACCAGAAGTAAAATCTCTCTTGACTCTTGTATATTTCTTCGATTTTATACGAAAAACTCTTGACCATTCTTATTTGTGAAAAAATAAGCAAGTTATTTTATGAACTTGTTTTTCATGAATTAAAGATATCACAATACACAGAGGGGGGGTTTTAGAAAATGTCAGAAGGTTTATGATATGTATTGCATTAATATGCACAAGTCACTGATGAATTGAATGCTAATTTCACCCTGGTCGAATGTTAAACCTGTCGACTAACACTCCTTTGTTGTCCATTCACCAGGAAAATCGGCTTGGAGTCCTAAAGAGAGCACTTACTTTGAAAAACTAATCCTGGATCTCGGTAGTCGTTACGAGATCCGGTCCATGGCCACGCAAGGCCGTGGTAGCGGTTCTCACGAATACGTCACGGAGTACATTCTCGACTACTCTGACGATGGTGAAGGTTGGAAGAGTTTTCATGACTCTGAGGGAGAGATCGAGGTGCATATTAACCCCTATTCGCTTTAATATATTTTCTGAGAAGGTGACTCGAACTCGCTGGGGTCAATGTGCAGTGTCAAGCATATTACTTTTTAAGTGTTTCATTACTGCTCCCACGAAGAGATTATTGTTACTTGCCAGAGATGGAAAAATAATTTTACTAAAAGTTTGGATTGGACAGTGCTCATTGCACTGAAGAAACGAGCTAAACTTTTTTTTTTGTTTTAAAATGTCACATTAAAATTACTTCTCACTCCACGTGTGATTATTCTTTGTTTTCTATTGACATGTTATTATCCAAATATATTCCAGCGAGTTCTAACATCTTCATCAATTCTTCAATTTCTTACTGATCGTTTTTATCTTGTAGAAGATTTCATTAAGGTTTCAGATACAACATTTTTCATGAGATTTCAGTAAATTGCATAGCAAGTAATATTTTTTGCCGAACTAATATATGCACTTTCCGAATATTGCCTTAATTCACATCTGCATACTAATTTTTCAGTCTTGATTTATTCACATTTTCAATCTGTAAATACAATCATGTGTTTCTGCTACTTATTTCATATATTGTATATAATATTAAAAAGATGGCGTTCAACTATGGGGAAACGTTCAAATATGAAAAAATCAATACCCTGTGGAGTTGCCCAGTAAGGAATTTGTAAACCTACCGACCATTTTTTTTTTTAACAATCTCATATTTTCAGGAACCTCAAATCATTCCAGTTACGTTCAAGACTCAGCATTCCTTCGCAAAATTGAAGGGATACGAAGGAATGTCCTCTCTTAATTCTTCTTTTGCGTTCAGAACGTTTGAAGAAAATGGATTGATGCTTTATCATGCCTTTTCTACCAATGGTTATGTTGCTGTGAGTATTTTTTTTTTGTTATATAAGTTTATCTATTTCGAATGTAACGCAGGTGTTTGGATAAATGATGACAGTTATGAATGCTCGATTAAAATATGCTCAAATATTATATTTCACAGATGTGCTGAAGTTTGCTGCAATTTCATTTTCTTTTTCTAATCAACGCTGTTTGCCCAACAAGTTCTTATTGCATGTCGATTTGGTTACAGTAGAAATCATTATCTTAGTTGAGTTCACTACTCCATTTCTTTTCTCTTTTAAATCAACCAGTTAGCTTCAGTTTGGCTTCATCTATAAGTTGAGTAAGCTTCATTTACTTCTTTAGTTTTTTTTTTCATTTCATTGTCACACCAAGCATAACATTTCTTATGTACATTATGATCATATTATAAGTAATACACCATAAACCTCTTTCATTTGATGTGATTACAGAACAATTCAGACATTACAACATTTCAGACAGTACAATAAATTATCATGATTTTGAACATGCAGATTACTGTTCTAAGAATGAATATCTTTCTAATGGAATGTACTTTGCTCGTATCTCTTTTTCTATGAAGCTTTAAACAATCAAGTCGTCTTCAACGTCGATTCTCGGCCCATGATGACGACGCGCCTCCTGAAGATCGTGACTGGCTCTCTGTACCTGATCGCGGGCGGCGTGAACGCCCCCCTTGGCTACTCCAACACCATATTCCCCGGCTTCGTAGGATGCATGAGGACCATACGCATTGACGGCAACAACAAGCTGCCCACAGACTGGACCAAGGAGGAATACTGCTGTGGGGAGGACGTGGTGTTCGACGCCTGCCAGATGACGGACCGTTGCAACCCGAACCCCTGTCAGCACGGCGGCGTGTGCAAGCAGAATTCAATGGAGTTCTTCTGCGTATGTAAGGTGAGCCATTTGAAATGTTTGAGAAATATAAATTGTGGTTGGTATAAACCAAATGAAGACTGGCTGGCTGATATTTAACTAGAGGTCAATCAGCCTATCTGAAATATCTTTTGTTTCTTCTGCTCCTCAGGGAACCGGCTATGGAGGAGCGGTCTGCCACACTTCCATCAACTCTCTCTCCTGCTTGGCGTACAAGAACGTTCAAGCGGTCGGGCAGCGCGCAGAAATCAAGATCGACGTCGACGGCAGCGGACCCCTCGCCGCGTTCCCTGTCACGTGTGAGTTCTATGCAGACGGGCGAGTAGCCACCTTCCTCCACCACAGCAACGAGGAAACTACCCCTGTGGATGGCTTCCAAGAACCGGGCGAGTTCTCGCAGGACATCCATTACGAGGCCGACGACGATCAGATCGCTGCGCTCATCAACAGGTCGCTGACTTGCAGACAGCACATCCAGTATGCGTGCAGGGGGGCCAGGCTGATGGGGTCCCCATCGGAGGAGATGAATTTCAGGTAACATACTTTGAGAAAGTGTTGAGCTTTTTGTCGGAACTTTGTTTAGCACAAGAACAAATTGAATTTTTTTGGAAATTAACAGTACGATACAATTTGTTTAATGTCGATCAAGATTTCACATTCGGTATAAATTATGAAAGAATTCCAGAAGTCCAGCAAGAAAAACTAAAAGATGAAACTACACATTAAAATATATATGAATTATTCACAAATGCAATGTGTAGTAATTTCAAAAGTTTGAGCTTTCTTCAGAACTATAAAAACCGTTTTCAATTAAGAATATTTCCAGTCTATTTCTGAATGATTTTTATGTGGTATCTTTCTATGTGTGTATTATTTCATTGTAATACCTAATTTCATAATGTTTGGGTGCGTTTTTAATCACTGCCGGACTAAATAATGATAATTATGAACCATTTTGGTATAGCGTACATATATATGTACGCTATACCAAAATGGTTCATAATTATCATTATTTAGTCCGGCAGTGATTAAAAACGCACCCAAACATTATGAAATTAGGTATTACAATGAAATAATACACACATAGAAAGATACCACAGAAAAATCATTCAGAAATAGACTGGAAATATTCTTAATTGAAAACGGTTTTTATAGTTCTGAAGAAAGCTCAAACTTTTGAAATTACTACACATTGCATTTGTGAATAATTCATATATATTTTAATGTGTAGTTTCATCTTTTAGTTTTTCTTGCTGGACTTCTGGAATTCTTTCTATACTGAATGTGAAATCTTGATCGACATTAAACAAATTGTATCGTACTGTTAATTTCCAAAAAAATTCAATTTGTTCTTGTGCTAAACAAAGTTCCGACAAAAAGCTCAACACTTTCTCAAAGTATGTTACCTGAAATTCATCTCCTCCGATGGGGACCCCATCAGCCTGGCCCCCCTGCACGCATACTGGATGTGCTGTCGGCAAGTCAGCGACCTGTTGATGAGCGCAGCGATCTGATCGTCGTCGGCCTCGTAGTGGATGTCCTGCGAGAACTCGCCCGGTTCTTGGAAGCCATCCACAGGGGTAGTTTCCTCGTTGCTGTGGTGGAGGAAGGTGGCTACTCGCCCGTCTGCATAGAACTCACACGTGACAGGGAACGCGGCGAGGGGTCCGCTGCCGTCGACGTCGATCTTGATTTCTGCGCGCTGCCCGACCGNTATGAAATCAAAAAAGGGTGCCTTGGATGAGAGAGAAGGCCGCTACACGCTGGGGCCGTTGATATGCGAAGGAGACGATCTCTTCGACAATGTGGTGACGTTTCGAACATCCGACGCCACCATCAACTTACCGACCTTCGATATGGGCCACAGCGGCGATATTTATTTCGAGTTCCGAACCGCCGTTGAAGACGCCGTCTTGTTCCATTCGACGGGGCCAACAGATCACATCAAACTGAGTATTGTTAATGGTAACCAGCTGCAGTTCGAATATCAAGCTGGATCGGGGCCCATGGCAGTTATCAGGTAAATTATCATAAGAGATGATATTAGGCCAATTAAAAGCGTGTTTCTTTTAGTTTTTTCGATTATATTTATTAATTTTGATTTTCTTTTGAACGATCTATCAAGGAGGTTACGTACAGCGCCATCTGCCCGCGAATAGATCAAGCAATAATGCCAATAATTGCGTACAGCGCCATCTGCTCGCAAGTAGACCAAGGAGATTGCTTATAACGCCATCTGCCCGTGAATAGATGAAGCAATAATGCCGACAATTCTGTCAATACAGATACCGAGCTAGAAATTTACATACATACAGGTGAAGCTAATATAAAGCGTCTAAAAATTAGGAAATTTTCCAAAGAATGAAAGAAAGTAATTAATTAAATTTTTTACAATTTACCTTGATTAAATACTGCTTAAAATAAGTCAATACCCTATGAAATAGCTATATTCAATGTATAATCTGATGATCCATTATCAATTTTCATATTGATAATGGAATATTTATTCATTTTATATTTCGGTACTTATGATGCACTGTTTGGAACCTTTGGTGTAGTAATGAATATTGCTGGAGGTTTCTCCCAACACCAAATCGTTATTTTTAACACCTCGACACGTGTTTTGATCACCAAGTGATCATCTTCAAGAGGAAGGTAATTCAGTTTAAAATCTTCCTCTTGAAAATAACGATTTGGTGTTGGAAAAAACTCCAGTAATATTCATTGTATTTTGGTATTCCAGGTTTGTCTAACTAGAACATTCACGATAATTCAGGACAAATTGGAGATGTTAATTCATACTGACAGTAATTCATAAAGAAACAATTATCTCAATTAATCCTCATTTGTTCTATTTGTAAATTCAGTATACGTCAAATGTTGGCCCATTTTGAAAGCAATCAATAGCAAAACGCAAAGGAGACTACATTCTATCCAAACAATGATCTAACTAAGAGAAATTGTATTTAATGAATAAATTACAGGTCATATTTGAAAAAAAATTGGCACGTCATTCCCTAAATTATGACAAATTACTGAAATTTCCTTATTGATAAAACACAACAAAGGAAAGAATAATTATTTGTCAAATTGTTCGATAATTCGTAGCAAATTGACAGGAAAAATTGAAAGAATCTCAAACAGTCACTATATTTTCTGAAAAATCGAAGAAAGAAGGTAATAATGGATCAAATTTCAACTAATTACTTGTATTTAAATATTTCCAGATGTTACATATTTTCATTTGAACATTCATTAAATTCCTTATGAATTTAAATAAAAAACTGCTTCATTTTCGAAGAATTCAAGATTCTACCACAAAAGTTGATCTAGAACTAAGATTCCAAAATGAAATTATTATTTTGTAATTATTTGGTACTTGGTATAATATTATAATATGATCTGTCGGAACTTTCAATTGTATTTGAATATTAACTTGAATCAAAAATTTTCTCATTTATATATCTTTCCTTTNTTTTTTTTCCTGGCACATGATACAAAATAATATAATTTAGAAGCAACTCTACTATTTTGACTATTTCAACCATTCACTGAATATGTTGACATCCTCACCTGAATTGTTATTTATTTTTTTTCTTTTGTGGTTCTCAAGTCTCATGGAATTTTAAATTAATGAATTTGATTTTTTTTGCAAGGTATGACAGCTACATGTGCGATTGCCGGTGGACTGCTTTCAAGGGCCCCATTTGTGCAGACGAAATAGGTGTCAACATGCGCCAAAGTTCCATGGTCAGATACGACTTTGACGGTTCCTTCCGTTCCACCATTTCCGAGCACATCCGCGTCGGTTTCACGACCACTAACCCCAAAGGTAGGTGTTCTTCATTCAAACTTTATTCTTATCAATTGATCCGAAATTCCACAAAGGTTTTCTGCTGGGCTTCACGTCAAACATGACGGGCGAATACATGACCATTATGGTGTCCAACTCGGGCAGCCTGCGCATTGTCTTCGACTTTGGCTTTGAGCGCCAAGAGGTACACTACCCTGACAAGTACTTCGGGTACGGCCAGTACCACGACCTGATCGTCTCGAGGAAGAACGGAGGCTCGACGCTCGTAATGCAGGTGGACGGGAACGAGCCGAAAGAGTTCAACTTCAACATCAAAGCCTCGGCCGACGCACAGTTCAACAACATCCAGTACATGTACATCGGCAAGAACGAGTCCATGACGGAAGGCTTCATCGGGTGCATCTCCAGGGTCGAGTTCGACGACATCTATCCACTAAAATTGCTGTTTCAGCAGCAGGGACCCGGCAACGTCAAGTCTTTGGGAAGTAAGTAGAGAGTCGCAGCGAATGGCTCGTTGTTTTTATGATTTCGCTTCTTCAATTTGCAGCTCCATTGACTGAGGATTACTGCGGCGTCGAACCGATCACGCACCCGCCCGACATTGTTGAGACGAGGCCGCCACTCAGTGTCGATCCCGACAAGTTGAGGAAAGCTTACAACCAAGTCGATTCTGCCATTTTGGGAAGTAAGTTCGCCGATGAATTTTTTCAATCGGATATTTTCCTTTTTAACCGAAAACATCCTGTCCATAAGTGGCGGGATGTATTCAGTACTGGTGGTCTACGTTAATTCAAAAATTAGTTTTTATACTATTATTTTGACCCTGAATCTGTTATGTTAACGTCACCCACTGGTCAACACGTTTACTTTAATAGTCCTTTATTTTTTTCGTTACCTTGAAAATAAAGGAGTGCAAGTAATTTTTAAATACAATCTATTACTATAATGCTTCAAGTAATGAGCCATCTTTTTATATTTATTTCATAATGATTTTTCATTAGAACTGAAGGTGTTATATTTTTAGGAGTGATTAATTTTTGGAAAAGAAAGTTTTTGGCTTTCNATTCAAAGTAGAACTCATGTGAATGATATCTGATTCTTATTCCACAACAAATGTTTGAAATACAAACTGAGTAGAGAAAAGTATCTTCTGTATAATTCAGTGTTCATATAAAAGTATTTGTTTCGAAAGAATTTTTTTCTTTCGTGTAATTGAATGTTTATATGAAAGTAGCTGTTTCAGGAGGACTTTCTTTCAGTTTGTGTCTGAAAGTTACTTCTTTGCATGATCTACACATCCATGTATAGAGTTACTTATTTAAAAATTGATTACTTCCTTCCTTTCTTTGGAAGATTACCTCATCCTTTTTTTGTATCAAAGTAGAAAGCCAAAAACTTTCTTTCCCAAAGATTTTTCATTACATATGAAATTTATATTACCAATCTAGGTCACACTAATTTTTATATTATGTATTTTGTACAAATATTGAATTTGAACACACTTTCATTCAAAAATACATATATTATCCCTCGGATTGGGGAACAAGATAGCACTTTACACAAATGGTTTTTAGTCAACTTAGGTCCCTAGCTGCAAAAGCTAATATATTTAAGATATGGTACTCTATTCTGGGTAGTTGCAATCATTCATCCTACGAAAACGTGCCTTCAGATATAAAACCAAAGGCAAAACACGAGATTCTTGTAGACCTTTGTTATAACTGTGCTGTTTCATTTGAGATTTCAAGAAGTATGTAATTGATAGATTGCACAGGATTTCGTCAGTGAACAGTAGATCTTGGGTCTAATCAAGTCGGCCACCCCTGATGTATAACAACATGTTGTCTATTCATCTATAAAAATTTTACCAACTCATTTTTCAGGTGTTCTGGCAATCGTTTTCTTAGCGCTGATCATCCTGCTCATCATCATCGGCAGGTACTTGCACCGACACAAGGGCGAATACTTGACACAAGAGGATGCTGGCGCTGACTCTGCTCTAGATCCGGATACGGCAGTGGTGCACGGCACGACGGGTCACCACGTTCAGAAGAAGAAGGAGTGGTTCATATAGCTCTGCGACCGTCGGAAAGAACGAGGCCTAATAGTACAAGTGAATATGTAATAAAGTTAGTTTCGGACACACATTTAGGGCAGATTGGATGCGGAGGCTCAACAGTAACGGAGTTGAATATTGAACGAAGCAGAAATTTGCTCCGACCGTGGTGGCTTATTCAATTATAGAATTTATATCCTCGAAAGAACACTGCTTGAGAGTACTTATCACAATCGTGTTTCCTCTGTTGAACCAAAGCTTCCAGAGTTATAATATGAAGAATTATACAGGATGAAAATTATAAATTATGAAGCTTTCCTATTGAAAAGCTACTCTGGCATTCAAAAAATTCTTTTTTTGTCGATTCTCGTTCTGTATAGTTCAGTTTAAAACCATTCCAAATATGAGATTATGAGTAAATCAGTTTTTTTTTATATTCATTACACCAAAATGTTTACATGTTTATTTTGATTTTCTGTGGTTATTTTCCGTCCATTTTTTATTTATCTTAATTTTTATTTGTGAATTCTCTCGTAGGTTGACTTAAAAAAAATGTGTCTTTGGTATATTGTTTAAATATTCTGATTTTATAGGTCACACCCAGTATCTAATGTATGTAATCTAATTATTTGTATATCTTTTTTACATATAAAGTGTTGAACAAATTTTTAGCATTACTAAGTTACACTTTTTTCAAGTTACCGGAATAGATCCATGCACNACTCAAAAAAATTGTCGAGTTCAACCATTGTCCGCAAGATGGCGGAACTTGTATAAAAAGTATGAACAAAAAACAGGGGATAAGTTCAGTTATTGTCCAGAAGATGGCACCGCTTGTACTAAAGAAAAGTATGAACACAAAATATGCAATGAGTTCAGTTATTGTCCGGAAGATGGCGAAACAAGTATCAAAAAAAAAAAATTATGAACATAAAATATGCAACGAGTTCAGTTATTGTCCAGAAGATGGCACCGCTTGTACTAAAGAAAAGTATGAACACAAAATATGAAATGAGTTTGGTTATTGTCCGGAAGATGGCGTAACATGTATTGGAAAAAAAAAAAGTATGAACACAAAACACGTGATGAGTTCAGTTATTGTCCGTAAGATGGCACTGCTTGTATTAAAGAAAAGTATGAACACAAAATATGCAATGAGTTCAGCTATTGTCCGTTAGATGGCGTAACATGTATCGAAAAGTATGAACACAAAACACGTGATGAGTTCGGTTACTGTCCGTTAGATGGCGCAGCTTGTACTAAAGAAAAGTATGAACACAAAATATGCAGTGAGTTTAGTTATTGTCCGGAAGATGGCGTAACAAGTATTAAAAAAGTATGAACACAAAATATTACAGTAGGTCAGCCATTTTTCGCAACTTTCATTCAAAAGTATAAACACAAAATATATATGAATTGAAGGGGTTATATTTTTAGGAGTGATTAATTTTTTGGGAAAGAAAGTTTTTGGCTTTCTACTACTCCATCTGATACAAAAAAAGGGGGGATGAGAGAATCTTCCAATGAAAGGAAGGAAGCAATCAATTTGAAACTCTATACATGAATGTGTAGATCATGCAAAGAAGTAACTTTCAGATACAAACTGAAAGAAAGTCCTCCTGAAACAGCTACTTTCATATAAACATTGAATTACACGAAAGAAAATAATTCTTTCGAAACAAATACTTCTATATGAACACTGAATTATACAGAAGATACTTTTCTCTACTCAGTTTGTATTTCAAACATTTGTTGTGGAATAAGAATCAGATATCATTCACATGAGTTCTACTTTGAATGAATGGTAATAAATTGTACTCACATAGAACACTGTCACCCTCACTGGTATACACCGATGTTTCGCCTTAAGACACTTGCCCTAAGGCTCTTCAGTACCAAATTGGATAACATTATAGAATTCATGAATGAAGTGTGTGTATTTTCTATAATGATACTTCTACTTGAAGATACTTACAAGTAGTTATTAACATAAGAATTGAGAAATAGTAACAAACACAATAATTCGTAATGCTAATTTGGTTAGCAAATCAAGTTGCAGTATAGAACTTTTTTCATTGGATGCAATTTTTTTTCTAACATTATTTCAAGACATCTCAAACTTCACAAGTATTTTTGAGGAAATACTTTTCTATTGCTAAAATAAAAAATTACAATGACTTATCTTATTTGAACTCGAATGAAATTAAGATTTATTTAAACTTGTTCTTCATCTCTGTCAGCAGGCTCAAAATTTGAGAAAATCATCGAGTTTCTACTTTGAAAACCTTCTTCTTCACCTTCTGTTGAACAATATTCAAATCTCTGCTTACACTAAGTAATATAGATAAACGTTTTTAACCCAACGTTATATTTTTCGGTAAACAAATCTCCCGTTTTTACTTTTTTTTTGCTTGAATTTTATAAATTTGACAATAGCAGACAATATTATCAACTTCCGTCAACTCAATATATAAGACCACCAGAAGTAGAAAGAAATATTATAGTAAAAGGAAATCCGTAACCATCTCATTGAATTTCTTCGAGTATTTCAGATGTATGTTATGTTTTCCTTCAGGAAACCTATACTGCCTGAAAAATAAACTCGAATAATAAGAAAAAACCTTTGAATTAATACGCACTTGGCCATTTTGATATTGGAAAACAGAAATCCAGGATGCTCAGACGCTACCATAGGATCTTTATCACCGTGGAGTATAAAAGTGGGGCACTTGATTTTCTCCAAGCAGCTACTGCACAAGTCACCGCTGTTTTGATTGTACAGAGCTGTAACAGCATCACACCATTTGTCAAACATGTCTTGCAGCCCCTTCTCTGTATAGAGTGCCACAAGAGGAGCTCTCATTTTTTCAGACCACTTGGATACATCTCTCAATTCTGAAAAAAACTCCACTCTTTGAGCAAACATTGTATTACTATAGGGGAACTACAAATTCGAACTCACTCTGGAAAGTTTCTACCTCTTCTGCAATAATGTAGGAGCTAGCACCCCATATAACCAATTTTTCCACATTATCTGGGTATTTAGATGCCATAATAATCCCAGAAATGCCACCATCACTCCAACCAAGTAATGAATATTTGTCGATTCCCAACATCTACAAAAACCGAAACATACTCTATTACATATTAATTGAATATTATTTGGGAAGGTACTTGTGTTATTCTTGATATTCAAGATTTTCCGCTCTTATGAAATCAAAAAAGGAAATTTCTTATTACTAAACAAAATACATTTCAGAACAAAAATACTATATTAAATGAAAGTTATTTCGTTGGGTATTTTTACCTCCCACAATCTGAAAAATATAAAAATTGTAATGGAGAACTGTATATATGTGTAGAAAGGGCAAACTTTTATTTTTATATTTTTCAGACTGCTGAAGGTAAAAATACCCAAAGGTCGATAAAAAATACCATGTTCCTTGACTCTTTTTGGGTTTTTAAGCTTCCATAAACTGGATATTACTGGAGTTTTTTTACCCAACACCAAACAGTTATTTTTAACATATGTTAAACAGTAGTATTCATTACTACAACAAATGTTCCAAACAGTGCATCACAAGCTCCTTAACCTGAATAATAAAGTATCTCGTAATTGTTCGGAATATATCAATGTATGATACTATCATTTTTCCCCAAATTTGATTATCGTGTTACCTACTGTATTCTTTTGATCTTCAAAAAATATCACCACTCCAAAAACTACAAAATCGTGGACTGAGAATTATTTTAAAGTTACAGTGGTTGAAAATAATTATACTTTTAGGTAACACAAACCATAATACTATCCTTCTCAAATCTACGAAAACTTTGAAGATTAAACCTGAAACCGTTTCAAAAAATTATAGTTCAATGAATCAGTTTTTTTCCATTTCGACATAGTCGTATCAACCACAAGGATTGTTATCGTGACCATAAGATATGCTTTGTCAATAAAAATGTTTCTTCCTCAGTCAATAAAGAATATTTCTCTCTCCCTCTCTCTCTCTATTAGCAACATCTCTATATTCATTTCATAATTTTAAATTGAATATGAAACTAAATTTTATGTAAAATGCCTATGCCACCAATAAATCCGACAAGTCTTTCATTATCGCAACTTCACTTTAAAACGTCTCCCAATAATTTCAGCATCTGAAAACATAACCTTCCATTATGTTGTAACACACATTCAGTCAAAATGTGTTTGATTCTGAGAATAGTTTGACACACTCACATCTAGTAATTTGTCACCAGTTATGAGGTGTTCATACATTAACTTAGTATGGCCAATGTGAAGGTATGCTAGGATGACTTGATTGAGCCTCTTTAACGGGGGATTTTCCATGGCAGAACCAATTTTTTTACTTCAATCAGTTTGGTGATAGAAAGGTTCAATTGCAACGGCCAGTTGTCAGTAAGGATTGATGATAGTTTTTGATATGCGGGGACACTGAATATTGAGAACTCTATTTCAAATATGTGATGCAATTAGCTGATACTTGAACATCCATGATACTGTATAAAAAATGTATTGTGAGAGTTTACAAAACTGTGACATGTGTTTCACTATGCAATATATCTTCTTCAGGCATATTCAGTACCTTCGGACAAGTTGGATAAATCAACATAATATTAATTTCCTGGCAAATTAAGTAATTTATTTACCATACATATTTTAAAAATCATTTCAGAGAAGTGGAAACATACAAATTCAAAGAATACTCTTACCCATTCTATAAACTGTAATGTAAATCACCTTCATGAATTCCTGTGCACATTGTGCATCATCTTCATAAAAAGTAGTGCAGAAATTACGATCTGGAGGTCTACTGTGGCCGTACCCAGGTGGATCCCAAGCAATAATTGTGAATTTACTTTTATCTAGGCCTTCGATTTGTGGTTTGAAATCACTCCAAATTGTTCCTAAAGCTCCCGGTAAACAGAAAACGACTTTCGGGCCTTCACCTGATTTTACATAGTTAATGGTCTGATCTCCGACTTTGATTTTCTGTTCCTGAAATGGATTTTTGTAGAAATTATTCTATATTTGGAATACTAATAGCCTGAAGGTTTCCTTACTTGTACAGTGGACATTTTTAAAACTGGAAACCAAGAACGAGAAAACTGTAAAATTCGACTGTTGCGAATTATATTCATAACCATTTTTTTTTAATTTCTAATTAATTCTATAGATGTATTTACAACAAATTAGTTTAAAGTTCATGGGTACAATTCAAATGTCAATAAGCATGTCAATTATATCATTAAAAATATGAATAACTATTCCAAACTCAAATCACAATGTTGTCAAGTTTTCACAATCAATAAACGAACTATCGGTTAAAGACAGCAGCAGTTTGGCGCATCACTTGTCACATGATTAACTTCGTTCTTCACTGCTCCCAATAGGAAACACGCATACAGGTGTCTTTTCATGGGGAATCATAGATATTATAATATATCTATGATAAAATGTGAAAGTGGAACCTCTGGTCTAGAATAAATAAAACTATTTCCAAGAAAAATCAGCCTGGGGCTTGAACCACCGACCACCACGGCGGTCACTTTGAGTGAGTGAACAAAGCACCCACGTCGAACCGATCGGCTACCGACCGAAGAACCAAGAGTGCCGTTGATCGAGAGTTTTCGTCAGAATATCTTACATTGATTTACGTTGTTTTATCACATCAATGGTAACATTGGTATTTCCTGCAGTTTCTGTATAGAATATTTGCCTGCCACAGAATCAGGTGTCAAGTTTTATTTCGGGTCATTGCATAATGATGTGTGTTAAAGAAAATATAGCTGTTTACACAATCGTCGTCGATTGTGGATTCTAACAATCGAAACGTCGTGACGTAACTTGGTTTGGAATCTTTTAATTTTTCATTTTTTGTTAATATTTTTTAATTTTCAGCTTTTATTGATATTTTAATTTTTTATTTGTTGTTTGTATGTTATTTCTTTGTAATTTCAGTTTTTTTGTTCAATAAAATTGCCCGAAACTGGTCTGCAAGTGTGCCCGTTCCATAATTGAAGGTCGACTCTTTCAGTTGTATTGCCAATTGCATATGCAGGACATTATCTGTGAAAATTCCTGCACTGACGCCTGTCGGATATAATCCAACGCCCTTCGTGGTATTAGCCAGGGGAGTAGTTGTTTTCTGATAGGTGTCAGTCCATTAAACCTACTGTGTAGGTATATAGAGACTGGCTGGAACGTTTGAAGTTCCATTTACTTTAGATTTAATAAAATTGTTATTTTCAGTTAATCTTTGTAAATTTTTTTGAAAGACACAGATATGATAAACATGTTTTCAAAGTAGAAGAAAATCTGTGACCAGCTTATTGAATTCTTCTGAAAACCTCAAATGAACATTGTGCTTGCCTTCAGGAAATCTGTGTAGCCTACAAAAGAGATTCTGTCAGTAAGGTAGCGCAAATCGGATGACTTATAATGAAATAAATGAAGATGACCTCTCTAATGAAGCAGACTGCACCAATAGGCAGTGGACCCGAAAAAAGAATCTCTTTTTTACTTACATTACTGCTTTTATGTTGCAAAATAAAAATTCTGGATGCTCCGGCGACATCATGGGATCTTTGTCACCGTGAAGTATTAAAGTAGGACATTGGATTAGCTTCAGCCAATTGCTACAAATGTTACCACCCTTGTTATAAAACTCTTCAGCCGTATCGCACCATTTGCTCCACATTTTCTGAAGTTCTTTTTCTGTGTAAAGGGCAACAAGAGGACCTTTAATTTTTTCAGACCACCTACTTATATCTCTCATACCTTAAATACACAAATTGAAATAAAACTGAAGCTTATATATCTCAACATACTGTTATAGTATTCTATCTCTTGTTGAATGATGTAGGAGTTGACACCCCATATAACCAGCTTTTCTACGTTCTGCGGGTACTTGGAGGCCATGATAATGGCAGAAATTCCCCCATCACTCCAGCCCAGCAAAGAAAACCTATTGATCTGCAGTTTCTAAAATTAATGGTGATGCATTCTGAACTGGTTACATTTCAGTTACCTTCATGAGTTCATATGCATAATGTGCATCATTCTCGTAGAAGCTAGTACCAAACTGCCGGTCTGGGGGGCGACTTTGGCCATAGCCTGGTGGGTCCCAGACTATGAGAGTGAATTTGCTTTTGTCTAACCCTTCGATTTGGGGTTTGAAATCGCTCCAAATGGTTCCTAAAGCACCAGGTAAACAGAGGATGTTTGTGGTTCCTTTGCCAACTTTTATATAATTGATTATCTTATCTATTATTTTTATTTTTTGTTCCTGAAACCGAAAAATGTCTAAAAACATCTACATTCATTACTCAATTGAGTCCTACTTACGTTTGTATTGGTCATTGTCACTATAGTTGCGACACGATCATTTATACTATGAAAAAAAATTAATAAAAATACACAATGTAATTTCTTTACTGATAGAAGGTCAAAGGTTATCAATATTATTTATCAAGAAATATCAAAGAAATAAATCAAGTTTGATATATTCAAAACACAGAAATTGAACAGACCGTCAAATGTCTAAATTTTGTGCACAAATGGCGGCAACAAAAAGTGAAAGTGAAAAATGGTCAATGAAACTGACGAAAATCAATATCAAAACATACTAATAAAGACTACAAGATTTTCACTGTAAAAGGTTTTACAAAAATGACGATACGTGTTTTTCAAGGAGAAGTGATTATCCCTGCTTGAGTAAGAAGTGTTGTCTATGCAATAGGGAAACACATGTCGCGGATTTGTAAACTTCACAGATGAGAAGTCGAAATGTTCATTTGTTGTAGTAGGGCTCTTGTGCCTACTATACTTTTTATTTGTCTTTCATATGGACTGACAGGAATCGATAATGCTTTCAAAAAAAACTTTCTAATAATTTCGACGGGAATCAAAGTATAAAAATAAAGTTTTATATGAACTGCAATAAATTTAGGACATATAGCAGTTAAAGTAAATAGGCTTATCACATGCTAAAACTAGATGCAGTAAGAATACATTGTAAATAGAAAACAATGTTAAAACCCTGCGTTAATTTAGATGTCAAAAATGCGGTGTAGCTGTTGTTTTTAGACACTTTTTCAATGGAATGACATCTATTGAAAACACATTTGTCATGTTAATACTCAGGACTAAACATTTAAAAAGTCCACACTGCTGTTTCCACCTACCATAGGTCTCACCAGTAGTGCTAAGCTGAACGACTCAAGTCATAGGACAAGTCTTGTTTGGCAACTGACTGACGTGGGAACTTAGTTTATCTCTAATATTCGAGGATAAAGTTTTCTGCCTATCCCAAAGATGGCGTCTTTGTAAGGGGAAATGTCACTTTTACATATAAAAAAACTTGAAATGAGACAACTTGTATCTGTTTGATGTGATTTATTAAAAAAAGAGATTAATCGAAAATGAATGCATAAGTTACACTGGAAAATAGCGGTGAATCAATTTGAGTTTAATGTGTAAATTAGTAATGTGAATACTAAAAATCTTAATCGTACAATTCCCCGCTTTCCATGGCTTGCTGATAATTCTTCCCTCCTTTCTGTTCTGAGTCCAGTTTAATCATGTCGTCGATTCTTAATATCGTAATGGCGGCTTCGGTGGCGAACTTCAGAGACTTTATTTTGGACATGGTCGGTTCCAAAACTCCGGCTTTCTTATTGTCCCTGACTTTTCCTAAAGAAAAAAAACATTCGCCAATCCATCCCCTACGAACTCGGTCATTTTTCTGAACGAATAAGAAAAAAGTTTTCAGAACAAGCTCCTTCACGATATTTCAATTTCTCACTCATCTTTGGGTGATAATTGAAGACGATTGTGAATATTAACAATCTGAATGCTGTAAAGTAGTTTGGTTTCAAATATTTTTTCTTATTCTTTTTATTTCTCCATTTGTAAATTGTTAATGTTTCATTTATTATTAGCCCCATTTTACCAACTCACTATCATCTCAGATCACAAATTAAGTTACTCATATTCCTACATTTCATATATTCCATTAATTCAATGTTTGAATTGCACATATTTTAAGACAATAAAAATCTAAAGTTCACCAAGAAATATTGTTGAACAAATTTGAGAAAACTACTTCTTCAAATCCATGAAAATCACACTCAGGCACTATGAGTGGTTGCTTGATTCCAAATGTTTTGAAGTTCTAGTGTGTGTACCTTCCTTTCAAGCTTTGGCAACGAGATAATGCTCGGATCGATTACTTTAAGTATATTTATCATCACCAATTTCAAAAGNAAACTCTATATCGTTATTATTAATTATAATTCAATATTGAATATGCGAATGAATATTTTTATCAATTTGAAGCAATATGCAAAAACTCAGTCAAAGGGAAACTGAAAAAATCAATTACTTTTGTGTGTATTGACAGTCAATGTCAATGTGATCAATACAAACAAACATTTGATGAAATTCTGATTAAGTCACTTTTATTATGGAGTTACATAAACTGAAGAACATTCAAAATATCCTGGAAAAATCCGTTTCAACGACACTGAGTCATTTAAAAAATGCCCAGTATTTTCAAGACATCATCGAATATTCCAACGAAATAAACAAGGAAGCAGCTGGAGAGAAAGAAATCGTACAGCAGAAGATAAAAAAAATGCTGGAACTATTAAAACAAAAGTCTGAGTTACTAAAAGAGAACCGAATTGCGGATATAACAGACTTCAATCAGTTCAAGAAAGAGATGATAACAATCCAGGAAAATATAAAGAACCTCAAAGCAGAAGCTAGGATGAAACTTGAACTGCTACAAAGAGAATATGTAGAGATTGGTGAAGATACAGATTATTACACGGGGCTACTACCCACTTGGTCAGAAGCAACAAAAAAAGATGCACATGTTTATGGTAAGATTGTACCTACAGAAGATTATTAATATGGCATTGGGGCATAACAGTAATAACGATAAATATACTTTACAAAGACATTATTGGTCAGATGAATGTATAGAAAAACACATATGCAAAATAAAAAACAATACAATGATTATTCAACATTGTTAATACTCAGGACTAAACATTTAAAAAGTCCGAAGAGGTCGTTATAAAATTCCTACAACCTAGATTCGGGTCTGTTACTTAATATACACTAGTCTTATTGTAGGTTGCTTTATATGGTTTGGTGGATAGTTATAATTTTTTGCATGTCTTAACAGAATGGTTCTTTAACGAGGAAAAATGTCGGAATTGACAATTTCACATGTTTTTTTTCAGGTAATATTAGTTACATATAATTCATTATAACATTAAAATCAACAGTTCAAAAATAACTTTTCAAAACTCTCAAAGGTGCGAACTCGTTTGCTCTTTTGAAGAGTGACATGATAGAAAAAGAAAGACTCTAATTTTGAAATGTTATTTCATATGATACGGAGTCTCTAAAAGGAACAAAGTCACTGTACTGACCATTCGTAAAGCTGCAGCTTCACAAATGACTTTTCTGAAGCATCAACACATATTTCAATAAATAGTGGCTACACATTATCTAAAATTGTACACCATATCTTATATTGGCCAGTTTTAGCAGTACGAGTCCCTAGTAAAGCAATGAAGTTTACAAATCTTTTTTATTGTTAAATTTTTCTACCCTACCACTGATTCAGACCCCATACACCATATCTTATATTGGCCAGTTTTAGCAGTACGAGTCCCTAGTAAAGCAATGAAGTTTACAAATCTTCCTTATTGTTAAATTTTTCTACCCTACCACTGATTCAGACCCCCTCACATATACTTTTTATTCTAGTTAACAGCGTAAAAGAATCGATTTCCCTGAAAGGTCCAAGTTGTAAAGAAGCCAAAGATTTCATTGACTTTGTGAATAAAAGTGAAGGACACGAGAACGGTTGGCGCAAAGAAGACCATCAACTGTTTTTACGCTTTCGGAAAAAGTTTAAAAATGCCGAAGATGCAGCTCTGGAATTACACGAGACATTACCGGATCTTTCTGTAGAAGAGATAAAGCATCACGAAGAATGGTACAAGAGGTACCTGATTTTGCAAAAAAAGAAAAAAGATGCAATAAAAAAATGGAAAAAATCCAAAGCTAGAAATGAACACAGTTCAAATAGAGATGGAACAGTGGCAGAACCAACATTCGTCCCTAAACAACAAAATACTGAAGAAGTCCGAAAGAAATTATCAGAATGGAAGCTGGAGAAACAACTTCAACAACTCCAATTCGAACAAGAAACCCGTCAAGCTCAAGACCAGAGACGCAAAGAGCTCCAAGCTCAGAAGCAAAAGAGAGCAGAAGAATTGAGAAAGTAAGTATTCCTTTAAAGCAAACCACGATTCCCCAAATGCTTAACATTTTTTGTAGGTTAGTGGATGAATGGAAGTCTACCAGGGCGATCCTCGAACAGAAAGAAATAGAACACATGCAACTGGCAGCAGAACAAGAGAAAAAACGAAGAGCTGCCGAAGCAAACATGATGATCAAACAGTTCCAAAGTCAAGACGATCTGTACATCTCCAAAATGTTGAGAGCAAGAAAGAAAGAAGACGCCTCTAAGCCGACGAGAAGTAAATCCAGTCAAACGGCCTCAAGAGATCCTAGGCGATTGCTCAAACCTACGAAGCAGTGGATCAATAGAGTGCATGATGACAATATCTATGCTGGCGAAAGCGGCATTCTTCCTTTGAAGAATCTTCCCAAACTGAGTGTACCCGAATGGCGCAAAACGGTTCAATGAATTCTATACAGGATGTTTCAGAATAAGATGCTGGAAGATGTGAATCCTTAGGTGATTTCAAGAAGAAAAGTTCCCATGAACCTATATCCTGAACCTGTTAACATTTGAGCTACAGGGTGTTGAAAATCTTTTGTCATCCTAACTTTGATAACATCTTAGATATTTGTAAGCACCAGCAGTCATTTTTTGATATACATTTTTTAAAATAGCCTAGATATTTTTGGAAAAATATGTACATCACTGCTTTTCCTTGAAATTAAAATCTATTTTTACAATCTCCATTTATTTTAGGCCAATTTGAATTTTTTTTTGTTTGCTTGACAATCATGATAATGTTGGCCCAATGTCGATCCACGCTATTGTTTTTCAAAATGATTGCTGTTCTGTTGTGAAAATGATTTACATCTATCATAATCGAAGGCCTACACATTTAAGAAAAAAAAATATTTTGACACGAAAAGAAAATTTTGCAAAACACCTTTTTCATAAACTGTGAAGCTAAACATGATTTCCCAACTTACCTGGACTCCCATCTTCATCTTGGCCTTCTGCAGGGAGAAGTCCAAGCACGCCAACTTGGCATTTACGATTTTTTTTGGCATGGCTTGACTGGCTACTGTACAGTTCAAAGCATATCCTTGGATGAGGAAGCTCTCTCTGGCACTTTTACCATGGGCCTTGAGAACATTAACAGCCTTGATGGGGTACATCGCATTACCTCTTGAGTCCGTTACTTTGATGGCATTTGCTGCGTCGACTACTATAGATGAAAATAGGTCTGCATCTCTGGAGAATGGTTCAGGAAAATTTCAAACAAAACGGTCGTAATTTTAAGGCTAGTTGAGTTACTGTAAAAAAGGATACGCTCCGATAATTTTTGAGCTCATCGACGTTTTCGCAACATTTATAATGCAATCATTTCCCAGATCCTCGACTGGTATGGTAAGACGGTCCTGTATATACCTGCAGGCTTCTTTGCAAGCCAGTCTGTAACCACTTATGATGGAAGTAGGGTGAATTTTTTGCTTGACCAGCTCATCTGCATTCTAAAAACGAGACAACACAAGAAACTATAATTTGTTTCACCAAAAATATATTCAACTTTTCATTTCAAATATTTGTTTCAATGATTTGCACTAGTTTTTGAAAAATATTCAATAAGACTTGAGTATTTCGGTCTCTTGGTCAAGAATTTGAAGTCGAAACATGGTGCTCGAGTTTACTGTTTTCTAATATTATTTGTTAGCAATTACAAGTCAAGAAATTACAATTGTTGCTAAATTTGATCTAGAAGACAAAAAGACATCAAAGGTTGATTCTATTTACACAGAATTTTCAAAGGCATTCGTCAATGCAAATCATAATTTGTTGTTGCATAAACTAAATGCTCTGGGTAGTCAGGAAAACATTCTGAAATGGATTGAAAATTATCTTGCCAATGTGTAAAATATGCTAACTCATTATCCTTCTCAATTGCAGTTCCATTTAGTGTACCGTAGGAATATCACTTAGGACCATTACTTTTCAACCTATTCATAAATGATTCAAATGATGTCATTCTCTGTAGTGAATTTCTTCTGTCTGCTAATGTTCTGAAGATGTTCAAAATTGATCATGACTCATCCAATACTAAATTATTTTAGTATAATTCAACTGAATATGGGGGTGTACGTTCGATTATATTCTACCTGTTGGTATTAGCCAGGGGAGTAGTTGTTTTCTGATAGACGTCAGTCTATTGTGCAGGTAAGTGAATACTGGCCTCAACGAATTGTTCCTTTACATGATTTGATTTATACCCAGTCTTCAAGTATGTCCACTTACTATAGATTTAAATTCATCTTGCTTTTTAATTTTTTTATGAAAATCTAATTTGGTCAAACTCTATAGGCAAAAAAAAGGCTAATAACACTAGGGTTGTAATCTAAGATTGATAATGCTGCCTCTCAGTTCAGTGCATGTATATTTCATTCAAATAATAATAATAGTAGTTTACCAAACTAAATTACAACTTTGCTCACTGGCTATCGAAAGTCCTTCCCCCCTATGTTTGTTTATTTTCACAAATTAATACAGTTAGTTGGGCGAGCTTTTTTTTTAATGAAACACTATGCAAATAAGCGCCACGTTTTGACTTCTGATTCCTGATCACCAACAAAAAAAGATAAATCCAATTGAAAATTTCTCAAAAACCAGCACGGGCAGTGAAAACATTTACCAATTGAATATTTCATTTCCCATACCTTCAGCAATTCAGCTGCAATGACAACAACAGAAGTAGTACCGTCGCCAACTTCTTCATCTTGAAGTTGTGCCAATTCGACTAACACCCTAGCAGCAGGGTGTTCGACCTCCAGGAGTCTTAAGATGGTGGCCCCATCGTTTGTCACAGTTACTTCTCCAACATCGTCTACCAACATTTTATCTAATCCTACGGGGCCTAAAGAACTTTTAACTATATTGGCGATGGTTGCGGCTGCCATGACTAAAGAGAAAATTGTCGATATTTATTGGTGTTTGAACCTCGTGAGTACCTTATTTGGTTAGGCCGGTATGCAGGGCCGATATATTTGAGAAAGTATTTGCATCTTACCATTTTGGGAACGAACTGAAGATCCAGTCGTTCTGGATCCCGCAACGGACAAAGGGCTGGCTAAAATCGACATTTTTCAACACATAAGTTTTCAAATCACCCACAACTCTGAAAATGGAAATGAAGGAGATCAATGACAGGTGACAAAATTAACAGATGACAGATGACAAAACAGCAGATGAGAGACACGGAAAAAAGCGCGAGTTCTTAAATTCAACAGAAAATTTCTGGCAGATCAAGATTCAGATGATGTGGTGCTGCAGGTTTTTCCTGCAGCTGAAGAGCAAATGCGCTACTGGAATCAATGAAGTCGCCCCGGAGCGCCAATTAATTTTTTTTGTTTCATAATTTGTTTTATCTTCAACTAGAAACAATAAATTTCTGATAGATTGCTTCAATTAATAGACACGCGCTATAAAGTTAAGAATGAGCCAATATATGAATCTCTCGGATCCATCGATGTACTCATCGATGAATTCAAAAACTCCTAAAATGTGACAGGTGCGTTTTGTTAAAATCGATAAAGATTAGTTCTGGAATAAGTTCCAGAACAAACAGTACAGAACATCGAAAATTTGTTCTTGATCAAACAACCAGAAACAGAACTTTATTTTTGGCTGAAATAATCAACCTAAGTTAGAAATTTCAAAACATATTTGTCCGTTGACAATTATTACGTTACGTCTGAAATACTCATTTATTATTAACGTTTTTTTTTGTAAATTCAGCTCATTTTGATTTAAACAAATATGACAATTTCATTCGTCTATGGTCGATAGTGGAAAGACAAGAAAATCCCCGAAATAATTGATATTGAATACTTAGACTTGGAAAATATGAAATGAGACCTATGAACAATGACAAAAGTCCTATTCTAAACGGCCCATTGTTATTTATTCTCTATTGTAGAATAACAGATTGACATAATAACTCATACTAGGAATTAATTTAGTGATCCACAATGGTTGAGGTGATGGTCCATCAAGGTGTATGTGAAAATATTGAAATAGCCCTAAGATTTGTGTCCAAAGTAGACCTAAATGGATTTTTGGTCATATAATAGATTTTTTTTGGAGCTTAATCTTATGGTTATCCTGATGTAGTCGTGAGATAAAGTCTAAGTCATCTTCTGATGATATTAAGTTAGTGAAACCCACAGCGAAAGACAGTATTTTATTCTGCTACGGAGAAGTGTATTCAATATATTCATTTCAAATGAGAGGTTGCAATTTCACCTATCAAATGAATACTTTGTCAATGTAGTTTCAGTTAAATTTCATGCAATGACTTTCGACCGCAGTAACAGCATTTATTAGTTTTTAGATTCCTTTCAATTAGTTAGTCACCAATATTCATGCTGTCAACAACGTTGTTTGATATTATGAAAATTGTAATTTCGAATTTGATATATCTTTTTTGAAAGGGATTTCAAACAATCGTAGATATTTTTTCAGATACAGATTTTAGTATACCATTTTATTTTTGTGTGAGCACATATTTTAATGGCTGTAATTGACATTGAAGCACCCATTATCCATATGAGTAGTTGATGTCTACGAACACTAGTAATGGAACCAATGGTTCAGAATATTTTTTTGTTCTGAGTCAATACGTATTTGACAACACTGTAACAATTTTGAATGTCACTTTGGCGGCAAAACTCAAAATTGACACTTGTATTTTGCACAAATGCTTTACACCAACCTTTTACATTTATTTATATCCTTTATTTCCTGTTCAGCTTGTTTCTCATCTCCTCACCCTATTTTACCGCACCATATACACCTAATGGAGATGAAAACATACGCTACCTACGATCAATGCAATTTTTCTCTGATTGCCCCCAAGAAAGTGATAAACCCCTACAAGAAGGAAATTGAAAACTTGGTGCAACAGAAACCTTTCGGAACATTTTGCCTGAAATGTGCAACGTGCTTGGCAGTTGCAGACCAGGTGGGTGGTAATTAATTTCCTTATCATGGATCGAAATGAGGTGTTCTTGTTTTCAGATAGCTCTTACTATAAGAAGAATATTGGAAAATTCGAAAACTGAAAACATGGGACAAGATTTTGCGAATGAAAAGCTTTCAGAAGAAATAAATGACCTGTGCACTAGTGGATTTAAAAAGTGGGTATCTTTTCTATTACGAAGACAAAGAGCAAATAGTAGTTTGATAATAATAATGCTTTCAACATAACAGAAATGATAAGATATGTTAAATATAGAATGAAATATATACATACTTTCATATTATACATACTGACAGATATACTCGTAAGTTCACAGTCCTCAAGTTGATTCAAATATTCTACTGTACTGTATAGTAGTGACTTGTTTTCAAAACTGATTACAAAACACCAACACGTTTCACTATATAGTAGCTTCTTTGAGTATAGTCTATTCTATACGATACTTTCCTAAGCTACACATGTCTACAAGGATTTTACTCGATGTATGAAGTATACTCAATTTATTAAGCCCTTATCTTTCTTGAAGCTAGTTATCAAGTTCATCATTAAAATATAAGAGAGAATAATAATTGTTTCTTTTACTTCACATTATGAAACATGTCTTCTCATTTGAAAAACTACACAATTTTAATTTTTCTGGAATAAGTCCTCCTTGTTTGACCAATATAAAAGACAAGATAAAAACCAAAAGTCAACAATCCAATACTGAAGTTTTGTATTTGTTCTAAGGAAATTGCATAAATAATCCCATGTCCAAGTCTTTCGTTTTTAAAGAACGTACAAAAAATAATTTCAGCAAACAGTGAAGATGAAAAAATCAGATGGGCCAGGAATAACGGATGTTCGATATTAAAAAAGCATCGATCCAAAAGAATCGATGTACGATAATTAGATTTCTTAGATGTAAGATTTTTAGATGTAAAAATGATCATTACTTATGAAAATTCGCAAAAACAGCGTACAAACTCAAATCACGAGTATCATGTGGTGCTGCAGGTTTTTCCTGCAGCTGAAGAAATGAAATATATACATACTTTCATATTATACATACTGACAGATATACTCGTAAGTTCACAGTCCTCAAGTTGATTCAAATATTCTACTGTACTGTAGAAGCAACCATTAAATTCATATAGTGACTTGTTTTCAAAACTGATTACAAAACACCAACACGTTTCACTATATGGTAGCTTCTTTGAGTATAGTTTATTCTATATGATACTTTACTAAGCTACACATATCTACAAAGATTTCACTCGATGTCGTACAAACTCAAATCACGAGTATCCGGCTCGAAAGACCAAAATTATGTTGAGTTTCAATATACGTGGACTGTATTTCCGGTGACATGAATTTGAATGTTGTCCTTTTGAATCGAACTGTGCTTACCTCGAGAATTTCAAAACTCTGTTTCAGTTTCCATTTACGGAAGTACAATCAAAGCAATCTAGTTACCAATAAATTGAAATGTACAGAACACGTCATCACAAACATGGATGGAAATTGGACAAAAAAGTAACTTATTCATACCTTATCAAGATGGATATTATTGTTGAATATTTTTCGTTCCAGGTTACGAGAAAAATGCAAGTTATACACGTCTTACATGGACCTGAGCCATATTAGTAATGATTACGTGAATAAAACAGATGAGCTCACTAAAAACTTGTGCAGGTAGGATTTTGTAACTTCCCCATTTATGAAATTTACAAAGCTTTTTCAGTGGTTCTGGAGTTTTCAGAGATTGTCACAATATAGAATTGGGAGAACTCAAAAAAATTCTCAGTGAACTGGAATGCGGCGAAGATTGAACTTGTCAAAAATGAGTAAAGAGTCTAGTGTCACAGAATCAAAGTTATAATGTGCTACAACACAAAACCTTTTATATTCTTTTCTTACAAAACTTATTTATGTAAAACTACATAAGAACTATCAAAAGATCACATCCACATAATTTTATTTCTTGTGAATTCCAATTGTAAAGTATTTCTTCATCCCAATTCAGATGGTTTGACTTCAGTAGTGGTGGCTCCCTTCTGAGTACTTTTTTGAAGTAAGTTTTTGCTGAACCACGACGGCCTCTCCCTCTTCATTTCTACAATTCTCTTTCCTTCGAAGAACTCCTCTGGTTCACCATCCTTTTCGCCTTCATAGAGCACTACTACTTCTTTTTCCACGGGCTCTAGTTTCAATTCGTTTTGTATGGCATCCTGCATCGCTTTGGTTTCATCAATGACCTTCTTGTAACAAGTTGCTGAAAACACATGTAATGATAAAAGGTGAAGTTGGAACCTCCTCTTGTTTTACATTTCTACACATAAGCGATACGCGGGGAAGGGGGATAAATAGGCAAACCTATAGAAGATCAAGTCTGTGCATAGGAAATCAGACGGAGAGGTTCAATTGAATCTGGAGTTGATTTACTTTAGGTAAATTTGTCTGTATTTGGGTTACACCAGGTAATATTCTTTGTGTTGGATTCAGGCACCTAAAGTACCTGAACTAAGGCGTTCGGACCGCATAAAAGGACAAACAAGAGGGTGACACGATCAGTTTGAGTAGAGCCTTGATGATGACAGCACGACCAGCTGTCGAAAGCGCTCGCATATAATTAAATAGGAGTTATAAAGCTTCAAATCCTTTTTGTAACCTATATTAATATTAAAATACTGAAAATAAAGGAAAATTAGTTGCATCATTCAAAATGTTCTATAAGTATTCAACAACTATTCCAGTGGAATTCACCACATTTTTTAGAATATCATTAAGGATTAGGGTTAGTAGGTGATTTCGTCACCCCATTCTAAGGGCCTCTAAGTACTCCAACATTGCTCAAACATTTCCAAAATATTAATGAAAAATAAATTGGATGCACTCCCCTCGGAAGTATTCAATATTATAAGTTCATAAGAGCTTTTTTTATTCAAAAATTCGTAAAAATTTAACCAGAGAAAACCCTGTATGCTGATTTGGGACCATTAGTCACTCCTTCCGGAACAACAGACACTCCCATTACAATTTTTTATAAAAAGAACATGAAAACATTGCAAATACTCACGACACAGTACTCCTGCTTCATGATCGTCCCCGCAAACGTTGCAAGTCCTCAAATCGGTCCTGGGAGTGAGGATTTTCATAATATAGTCGGGATGCCCATATCTCCTTTTCATCCTCTTCTCCAAGGATCTCCTGCTTTTCGGCTGGGCCCACAGGAAGCCATCGCCTATCACGTCCTTCAGCGACCATCGGGGGCCCTTCTGGGGCAGACGATCGACTTCGATACCAGCGAGGCAAAACGCATCTGTCAAAAAGTGAGGTTACGTGACAAAATTGTCGAAAAACGTATGATGATTACGAGATGTAATGTTATGTAATTGCGAGATTACCTGGCGGATGTCCGAAAGCGAATATTAAAGACTGTTTGAGTCTTTGAACGGCTACGTTGATCCGCGTAATCAGTGAGACGGACATTTTCTTGGAGGTTAGGTGGACCGTACTTCGTAATCTGCCGTAGTCACAGAGTGGGACTAGGCGGGCCTAGCGCGACCAGGTGGACTGTGGAAAGGTGGTACAACGTGCTTCTTCACAAAAGATTGCCGTCTCACAACAGTCTTGGCGATGGCTTCTATAAGGTCTGGTAGAATTTGTGCTCGGGTGCACGAGAAACTGTGTCAGTGGGGACATTCACAAATCATCACGAAAAGACCGACGTGTGTGCGCGAAAAATTTGGATTTCAAACGCCGAACAGGAACTTTGTGCAGGACACCACACAGGTTAGATTTTTTTATTTTATTTTTTTAATCATAGACGCAGTATTTCCAACCAACCCTCTTGGCTGATTTTTGTCTTTATTGGCTGATTAAAAATTGCTGGTCGATTCGATTGAAGAAAGCAGCATCGAGCAAGCGAAAATAAAAGTGAATCTTTACACATTTACATAAAAATAACTTTTACTTTTTCGCGTTGTCGGCTATTCGAAAGTTTCATTGATGATGCGTTTATTGTATTAATTTCTCGTCCTAGATACTCGGCTGTATACACACAAACGAGAAAAGCTGTCTTACGAGATCGAACACCTGTTAGAGGAGATGCGTCAACTGTTTTTGGCTTTTACTTTCGATGGAAAGTGAGAGTTATGAGTAAAATACTGAATCCACAAGAGTGAATAATTCAGAAGATATACTTGTTGTGTTGAAACGTTGTTATACATACTCGTACTTAAGATCGCATTCTAAAATATCAGGCCCTGCCTTTCCTTTTGTTTTGAATGAGGCTCTGTCGAGATATTGAACCGAAGTCATTTTTTATGGAGGAAATCAGAGTTCTCTGGGTATTTTCACCTTCCACAATCTGAACAAATATGAAAATTGTGGATAGTGAGTGAAAGTATACAAAAAAAGGCCGATAAAAACTCCTAAAGACGTGAGAAATTCTAAAACATAGCATCAAACTGAAAATTAGAGACAATTTTAAGTACCTCAGGGAATCATATTGGGACCAGTAAATTTTTTATCATTCATATATATATGTATATACCTATACATGATAGTGGCTTTAATCTACTAATAAGCGTGTTTATATCTCTTTCATTATGTTAATATTTTTTCATGAGAACGTATCAAAAATTGTGATTTATTAAATACACCGTGGATGTTTTATGCTGTTTTCAAATCCTCTTTTTCATCTATTGGTACCAAAAATAGAGGCTTGAGAATTATCGATTACAAGTTGGATCGATAAAAAATTTACTCCGAAATATACTTGTGGAAATACGCAATAAAACACTTACTTTTATACCTATAGTCTATTTTTTTATACAAGTGGAAAAGGAAAATAAAACAGTTGAAGTTTGCATCTAATCAGAGAAAGCTCTTGTTTGAATGATCTCTTTTACCCAGTACTTCGAAGAGAGATAGCTATACAAATGTGGGTTTTCGACAATTTATTTATATTATGAGTTGTTTTGACAGTTTAAGTTTTTTACTTGTTGTTTATTGAAAAGTTTCCATACAACACAAATACTTGTTTTCACAATTAATAAACTGTGGATGTTTTATATTTCCCGGTAAGGACATTTTTATATCCTGATTATACCTACAATGAAACCTCAACTTTTGAATGGCTCTGTATATGTTCGGCATAATGGAATATTTAAATTGCCAGTTATCGAAGTTGAAAAAATTGAATATAAATTACGAGATAAAATATGTTTTCACAGAATAATGAATGAAGTACTGACGAATTTCAAGAAATTGGCCCAGAATTGTAATATTACTGAACTTCAAAAATAAAAGCAGTTCTTCCAGAACATGTTAGATTATTCAGAACACACACACATCAGTTGTAGACAACTGTACTTTTCTTTTTTTTTATGAACTTCAAGCAATTTTTTTCGTACAATTGTAAATCAAAGCATAACAAAATGAGTATAAAAGTATGTGCATTGGAAATTTCTATTCAGGCCCCGAACTAACTATTCAGGTGCTCCTAGAAAAATAATATTCCGCTGCTTTTTACACTAACACGGTATAAGTCACTGAAATTGACGTTTATTGCCAAGTGAAGAAGAAATACTTTTTTGTCGGGCTGCTAAGCAAACTAGTTGATATGAGTTTCTTTATCTTCTAGAGAGAAAATTGTCCGCTCTGCTTGCTCATCCTCCTAGATTGGGCCCCGTTTCTATTTCTACAACAATTGTAGATTTTTCAAATGTTTGTTGTTTTAAGAACGCTTTCCGCTTATTCAAAACGTGTTTTTGAATACTCGAAATTTGTTCAGTATGAGAGAATAAATTTCGCTGACCATCTGCCGTGAAAGTATGTTTCGAGGTACAGTGTATAACAAAGGCAGTTACCACTCTTACCTACAATATTCTAGGATTTTAACGAACCAGAGTAATAACTTGTCTAAAATGTAATAAACTTTCTTTAACATCGACTTGTGCAATATAGATTCTTACACTACTTTCTTTTTTTTAGTTTATATTTCAATATACACAGCCTGCCTTTAAAAATAAGGTGAAATTTCATCTCTCTCAAAAACTTTTTATTTATTCATCAATTTCTATTTCCCCAATCTTCAGAGTAGCCCCCCTCAGATATAATACACTTATGCCAGCAGTTTTTTCAATCCTTAAAGTAGATCTGATATGCACTTTTTGGTATGTCCTTGAGCTCTCTCGGCAGTTTGTTCAACTTGTAGCAATACATAATTTAAAAACTAACTATAACATAACTAATACTGCTGAAAAAACTATATCACTATGGCATCCGTGGAATTACTCATAAGTGGTTCGAAAATTATCTTACAGGAAGAAGTCAGATTGTGAAAACCTCATCATTCTCATTAGAAGGCGAAATAAAAAATGGCGTACCACAAGGTTCAATACTGGGACCACATAAGCATATATATATATGCTTGTGTTTATGATGACTAATGGAAATTTGTACCTTTGTCAATAAGACATAATGTTCTTTGGGCAATAAAGCATATTATTATTATTATAAGTACAGACATGTATTTCCTGTGAATATTTTAAAGTGGCTCTTTTTGATTTCTGTTCAGTAATTCTGAATGAATGGAATGTCTACTTGAAATTAATTAAG